TCTCGTGTGTTTACTCGCCGAACGACCGTAACCATGACACTGAATCGTAATGAGAATGCGTGAAAAAATATTCTATATCCCTTCACACGCATACAATCTTATACTAAGGGCTCCTGCGCAGGATGCGTCAACGCGTCACGCGTAGGAAGATACGATCCAATCGATTTACCGTTTGTCCGTAAGAGCGAGCTGCTGATTGGCTGACGCGTCTGGTGTGCGGGACGCGATATCCAATCGATTTACAGTTTGACCATAAGAGCGAAAAATTGATTGGCTGACGTGCAAGAGCTCTTTCTAATACTGAAAAGAATATTTTTACGCATTCCCATTACCATATATTACATCATTCGTGAGTGTCACGGTTACGATCGTTCGGCGAGTAAATATATGCGAAAGATGAATGATCTAACTTATACTGCGACCTGTAATACAACATAGTTTTCAACTTCGCCTACAGCTCGCTATCAAATAGTTCTCATAAATTAAGCAATAAATAAAGACTAATGATAGTATATAATTTCTATTTATAATTTCCCAAACATATCATTCTTCAAGCATATCGCTAAAGTTCAATAAGTCAGTGTTTCTCTAAACCGCTATCACATACGCCTCGATAGATTCTATGAAGTCCACATTGTTATTAAAATGCACCCTTTTTGCATTATTCTTTAGATTTTATTAATTTTATAATATACAAATTAATTTAATATAAGTATGCTGTCTTCTAAGCTGGGCAATAGAGCCAAGGAAACGAAACGAAAAATTAATTAAACGGAACTGTATCTCAATTTGAGATCCCAAAGTTCCACATATAAATTAATTTCGAAACTTACATATGGAGAAATAAGCGAGAAAAATATAGGTCCGAAAAGTCGCTGAAGCGGGAATCGAACCCGCGTCTTTCACTTTCCGAGCGACTGCTCTTACCAACTAAGCTATTCAGACCCTTAGATCGACCTATTTTTCATTTGCCCTTTTAGTAGATGTTAGTAAATACCGCCGTGATTAGCCCAAGGCGTGAATAAACTCAGAAATAAATATTTTTATCGGCTCTCAATATAAATAATATAAGTATGCTGTCTTCTAAGCTGGGCAATAGAGCCAAGGAAAACGAAACGAAAATTAATTAAACGGAACTGTATCTCAATTTGAGATCCCAAAGTTCCACATATAAATTAATTTCGAAACTTACATATGGAGAAATAAGCGAGCTTGGTAAGAGCAGTCGCCCGGAAAGTGAAAGACGCGGGTTCGATTCCCGCTTCAGCGACTTTTCGGACCTATATTTTTCTCGCTTATTTCTCCATATGTAAGTTTCGAAATTAATTTATATGTGGAACTTTGGGGATCTCAAATTGAGATACAGTTCCGTTTAATTAATTTTTCGTTTCGTTTCCTTGGCTCTATTGCCCAGCTTAGAAGACAGCATACTTATATTATTTATATTGAGAGCCGATAAAAATATTTATTTCTGGGACAAATTAATTTATTTATAATACATTACACTAATATATACATTTTTTATAATTCTATATAAAGTTCCAAAATTATCCGAAAGAGAGAGAGAGAGAGAGAGAGAGAGAGAGAGAGATTTTCTAATTAGAATTTCTTTAGTCAATTTATAAAGTCAGGAAAATTATCAAGGAAAATTAATATACTTATTATGTTATTTATATTATATTTTCAATTTTTGTTATATTATATCCTGGCAAATAGATGAAATTAAAATTTGTATCGTTGTCTAAGTAATATAATTTAATCTATTTTATAACAATTTATTATCTAATCTATTTTCTTTCCCAAATTTTAGTTTGTCAAAAATATATATTTTTAATTATTATTTATGTGAACTGAATTATAACTTATTTGAACTTTTATATTTATATTTTTTACATTAATTTTAAAATGGTCATAAAATTTGAGAAAAACGAATTTTGTAATTTAAAATTCTTAATGTCTTATTGACATCATATTGAATTATAACGTCATAAGTAAGAAATTATGTAAGTTTTATTCTTGCGAACTACATCGAAATTAACTTATTGTGAATGCATATATGATAATATAGATGAATAAAATATGTAAACTCTTTTCATTTATGAATTAATAAATAATAAGTCTTGATCAATCGTAAGATTTACATTAAAAATCTAGTACATATATAGATAAAGTATACATGCATTTATTAATGTAAAACAACAAAAAAGAAGTTTTCTATACATATTTTACTAACCCGTATTTTTAAATAAGATTGATCGCAGCTAATTTTTTTAATGTATTTTGCAAGAAAAATATCATATAATTCTTTGCTTTTGATATGATAATTCAATATGATTGCAATGAAAGACACAGAAACCTTAATAACTCATTTTTAAACTTCTTGTTATCTATACCCCAGATAGCACAGAATATTTATAAAATGTTTATAGAATATTTATAATAATTATTTCAATATTTTATAAATATTTATCATAAATATTTTATAAACGTTTTTGGAATTTTAGATTTAATAAATCATAAATATTTATCATAAATATCAAAAATATTTACGATTATAAATATATTTATTAAATCATTATGATACAGATTTTTTAAATTTATATTTTCTTTCATAAATACTCAGTAAGAAATCATGAGTTAAAAAGACAATCAACGATTTTTTAATCAAAACAATTGGTTGATATAGTTTAATCTAAAATTTGGTCGATTAGATGTTTTTGTGTTTTTCCAAATTCTATTAGCCATTTATAAAAAGTTAAAAATGTTTATAAGTAACATTAGACATTTATTTTAAGATAGAATATAAAATTATAATATACACTGAATATACTTAGGCAACAGAGTAGTTTAACAAATAAATTTATGTAAACATCGATACATACGTAAATTTATTTGTTAAAAGACATTCTGTTGCAAAATGTAACTCAAAAATATATTAATTTTCTTAATTTCTGTTTTTGCCAGTCTTATATAATTTTCACGACGAGAGAGATACATCACATAGCGATAAATGAAAAAACTAACAATTTAGTTAAAAAATATTTACAAAATAATTACTATAAATATTTATCTTTACATGCCATAAATATTATATAAAATATTTAATTTATGTTTTAATAATATATTAAACAAAGGTTGTTATAAAACATTTTCAAAATATTTATATAATATTTGAAAAAATATATATTGATAAATATTTATGAATCTTTATCATAAATATTGTGTACCGTCTGGGTAATTCAATATGATTACAATGAAAAACATAGAAACCTTAATAGCTCATTTTTGAAACTTTTTGTTATCTATACATTTATGTATGTATGTGTGCGCGTTTGAGATTATGCATTCTCGTTAATCTTATGAAAAAAAAATTTTGTAAAGCAAAATGTTTCAGCTTAAATTCGAAAACAAATGCTCTTTTACTATTTTCTTAAGTATTTTTCTGAACTGCAAATTTCTTAAAGTCGTATATTGACTTTTACATTTTCTAGACAGCTTATAAATAAAAAATTAAAAAATGTGTCATATTTATATATGGTAAGTCATCCGAGCGAGAAAGTAAATAAATAAAACCAAGAATTGTGAAAGATTTGCTAATTCATAAATGAAGAAAAATTGCGTCAGACGACACATTTTCGTTAATTGTCAGTTTTGCTTATTACAGTCGCGCATAAAATGAGTTGCGCGTTGATGCGTGAATCCGCAAAATAATTGCTACGTGAAGATATAATGTATGATGAAGCTAAAGGCTCGATGAAAAAAGCACTGTTTTACAAGGCACAGGGTGTTGATGACATCAAACGCCATTTTATTTTGGGAACGACAGATTTTTATTTCTGCGAATTATTATGTATCATTTCGCACACGCATGTGTTGGCGGAAAAAAGAAATCATAATTTAAATTGCACATATTAAATTTTATAGCTACAAATATCTTTATTGTAAAACATTATTCTTTTTTATACTTACGAAAATAATTAATTTTTTATACGTAAGAAAACAATTACTCTTTTGAAGATAAATATTATTATTAAAAATAGACGAGATACTTATTAAACGTGAAACTTAATAATTTATCATGAAGAAACGTAGATAAAAATTATTTTAATAAATTAAGTAAAATGTAAAAAATTTACATTTAAAAAATTATTTGTAACTAAAATGTAAAAAAATCGTATTTGAAAAATAAAAGATTTAAAAGCGCTTTATTGCATAATCAAAAAGCGTAATCTATATTCGCCTATTGGTTTTTACACAATTAGTTTCTCTTGCAGCCAGAACGTATTGAGAATGACATTTGCATATTACAAAAAATTTATGTGACAATTTAATGTTCGTCTCATGATTATATGCACCTGCAGGTATAACACACATCTGCTAGTTGAACTTATTATCGCGTGTGTACCATATATCTCGTGTATAGTACATATATAATCCAATCATAGGTGAGAAGATAAAAAGTGACGCCAGATTTAAAAATAAAACAACACTAATGCATTTCACATAATCTTTATAATTGATTTCAACGATTCACAAAAAGTCACAAGTTCACAAAAGTCGAGAAATTATATATGAACACTATTTCACATATTCTCTTGATCACACATATTATGTATATTTACATAATGTGTATATATTTATTCTCAAAAACATGTACCGCAATTTCGAAGATTAATTCCAAAATTTTACAAATTTAATATAATATAATAATTTATATTATATAATAATTTATCTTTTATATAATAACTTTATATAATAATTTATATAATAATTTTATTATATAATTATATTATATATATTATATAGATATATAATTATATTATATATTATATTATAATTAGATATATATTATATTATATAATTATATTATATTTTATTAATAATATAATTATATAATGATATAATATAATTATATAATATTATATATATATAATTTCTTTCTATCTTTTATATAATAATTAATCTTAAAAAAATATCTGATTTTTGCATTTCTTTTTCAGACGAACAAGAACGCGTACAGAAGAAAACTTTCATAAACTGGATTAACTCTCATTTGTCGAAGGTGAGTCAAAATAAATTTTTGTCGCCTTTACGAAACACTAAAGAAAGATTTGCGACTCAGCAACTTTATCGCGTTTACATTTTCATCGGCAGATACTTTAACAATATACGAAAGCCGATCGATGAGTCGATTCTATTTTTTATTTTTTGTTTGAGATTATGTAACGGGTCTCTAGATCCTCACGTGACGTGTAATAAAACGCTGTCTCTAGTATCGTGCTATCGAAACTCGAACGTGGTCTGATCTAGTCCGTACCTGGTTCTCAAGTTTCGATACTCCCCTATTTCCTCATCCTTCAGAACTTGCCTCAGTACGGAAACTCCACTTGTCATGTATGAAAAGTAGCAAAATTGTTAAAACGAGCGTCCTATTCGTTGTTATATGTAGAGAATAATCGCTTGGACACAAAGAATGTATATTGTCAAATAAAGAATAAGTAACAAATAAATGAAATTTGCTATATATTGTTTTACAGATTTATACGATCGAGAAACAACGAAAATTCAATTTATTGCAGTGGGAATTTTTTGTCAAAAAATTATGAAATTATTATAATTATAACAAGATACGAAATTTAAAGAATTATATTTTTAAAATAGTTGAAGACAATTAAATAACAAAATAATCATTTTTTAATCATTTTTGTATTTTAAATATAAATTTGATATAAAATCTATATGTATTTATAATTAACGAATAAAATTATATAAAATTATTCACTATTCACTATTGAGCTCTTGAATGTTCAAACTGTCAAAATATCAATCTGTCAATCTTTGTAATGACTTGCATTTAATTATGTTTTTGTTGTAAACTCGAAAAAAAGTATTACAATTTTTTTTATTTTTTAAAAAGTAATGTATTAAATTTTTCATTAAATAATAAAAAAAATAAACTCACTCACATTACTAAAGTAAACATAGCGAGAAAAAGATTAAATTAATATCTTAGAAAGACGATGATAAATAATTATTTATTATAATTATAATAATACAATTATTTATTAAATCATATAAATATAATCAACCATAATTTGATAAATTATTTTCTTGCACAGAGAGCACCAACACTTCATATCAATGATTTAATCGAGGACTTGAAAGACGGAACGCGCCTTCTTGCGTTACTTGAAGTTCTTTCAGGAGAGAAATTGGTAACAAAATATTTATACGCTACCATTTGAAACAAATATTACTAAAATAAATTGTCAAAATCATGTGTAATCTTTCAGCCCGTGGAAAGGGGCCGTAATTTAAAGAGACCGCATTTTCTCAGTAATGCCAACACCGCGCTGCAATTTTGCAAAGCAAAAAGTAAATACCTCAGATATTCTATTTTAAATTAATATGCGAAAAAATTGATGCTCAAGCAGATACTCTTGCAGATCAAATTAGTGAATATTAATTCATCCGATTTGGTCGACGGACGACCGCCGGTCGTTTTGGGCTTAATATGGACCATCATTCTGTACTTCCAGGTATTTATAGTCGTTCGGATATTTAATTAGCTAAATATACGTAATGACGATTGTAAAAGAGCACCGTTGTAATTAGTAGCTGCTTAAATGTAGCTCATGATAAAACATATCACGTAATTCAAAGTATTATATTCTATGATTCAGCACCATATTTTTTATACTATTACACGAGGATTAATTTTGCGTTTTGTAATGTATCTAATGTATCTTAAGATACAATATTAGATTCACGAATTGAATAAAAGCAAAAGACACTAGACCACAAAAAATTCTAAGCTTGCGATATGTAAGTTTTATTAATTCTGTGATACATAAACTCAATATTTTTATTAGCAAACTGAATATTTCGAATTAACTTCTAAATGTTAATTATATAATCGATAAAAATTGATAAAATTATTTTGAAATAATTTGATTCATGATAACGTGGTTCAAATATAATCAAAAATACTTTCAACTCACTTCGCGTATACATAAATCCGATAAATTAATCCTCGTTGTAAAAAGAGTAATTATATCACTTTGCTAACTATATGTTCTAATAAACAAGCTACGATCAAAGGATCGCAAACGGGTGAGTAGTGAAAAAAGTAAGATCATCAATTATATATAAATAATTTTGAATATTCTAAAGAAGACCAAACAAAGTGCACTTGCATGATATTGCGCATCTCATTAATACACGCACGCCAGATTATCTTATTTCTAGGCTCGAAAAAGAGAAAATTTTGTACATACTTGACTTGATCAATCGATTTTTTGTAGATCGAGGAAAACACGAGGGCTCTCGAATATCTTGGACAAACTTGGGGCAGCCAAAGTAGTCTGGAAAGCCTCGGCACTCAGAGTTCGGCGGCGAGCGAAAGAAAACGCATCAGTAGTGAAAAGTGGAAACAAGGAGCACGGAAAACCTTGCTTCAGTGGGTCACCAATGCCTTGCCTAAGTCAGTATTTCATCAGATTTTTGAATTTTACGCAAATAAATTTACCCACGCGGAGTTCTTGATGATTTTACAATGTCGGGATTGGAAACTTCTTTGTTCTTCAGGAATATTGATATTCAAGTTCGAGATTTCGGTGAAAGTTGGAGAGACGGAAATGCCTTCTTAGCTATCATCGATACCATAAAAGCCAACTTAGTGAATATAGCAGCTATGAGAGAAGTATCGAACAAAACTCGGCTTGAAACAGCCTTCCAGATCGCCGAAGACGAATTAGGTATTGCTCGATTGTTGGATCCCGAAGATGTAGACGTTCCTCAACCTGATGAAAAATCGATCATGACATACGTCGCCCAATTTTTGCACAAATATCCGGAACCAGGAAACGTAGCTCCTGATTCTTTCGCTGTCGTACAAGAAGAATACGATAGTCTTCTTAATTGGCTAAACAAGAAAGTCAGGCATCTCGAACAACTTGACAGAACCAATTCTTTCCCACAAAGTTATCCGGTATTTTTTCAAGGCTCTTTAATCCTCAATATATAATTTTGTATAATTTTATTTAATATGATTTATCTGATGGTATCTTCTTTCAGGAATATATGCTATTCCAAACAGAGATTGATCGGAAATTAATTCTATATAAAAAATTGCAAAGTTTAGTCAATACACTCAGCATGATAAGCATTACGCGGGATTCTTGGAGAGATATACAAATGTTGTGGCAGCAAATGGAACTATTTGTAAGTTTTCTTTTAGATTTTCTAAATGAGCGCGAACACGGAATTTTCCGTTGTAACAACTTTTTTTAGAAAATATTATATTTGTCTTTAGATGCTACATTGGTGTTGGTTGTTGGATTCAACATTACCAGGAGAATTGGGTGAAATTGGCAGCTGGTTGGCAAGAGCCGAGGCTCTCTTGCGATCGGATAATGATATACCACAGGAAATGACGGAGAGCACAGCGAACATAATTTCGAACAAACTGGAAGATCACAAGAAGTTCTTCTTAGATTTACCGACCATGTCAGAGAAATTCCAGCACGCCAAAAACTCGCCATTAGCGCGACAAATCCAGTCTGAACAATTGGAGAACATGTCTGCGCGATTAGACAGTTTGCCGAATCGCGCTGCCAAGAGAAGATTAAGATTAAAGTTCTTAGAACATAAATGCTGTCTGATCGCCTTTTGTATCTCGTCGAGACCAAGCTGAAAGGTTGGAACATCAAATACGGCACGGAAGAGAAGGTGCATCAAATGCTGGAACAATATCGTAACTTTGTTTCCCGAAACAGGATATTCCAAGAATTTCAAAAGGCTTACTTGGATATGCAGCAGGTTGCCGAAGAATACAAACGCGATGGTGATATTGGTAAATAATGATGTCTTAAAAGAATAAAGTTAGTTTATTGTGTCCTTCTCCTTTTCCTTCTTAATATCTTCTTTCTCCTCTTCTCTTTAACTAATTCTACTCTCCTTTCCTCTTTCTGACTCCATCTTCCTCCTTCTACAAATTTTTCAGCAGACATATGGAGTGTGTCGGTTCGGAGCGGATTCGAACTCGGGACCCTTTGCATATTAGTCAGAGACTGATCATGGAAAGCCACTTGTCATCCCTAATAATGTCTTATTGTATAATATATATTCAAATACATCTTCTGAATGGGCATCTTTTCTCTTATCGTAAATTTATGTATTTTAGATCAAGCAGAGAGCCTTAATGTCGATCGCTTCATGCGTGAAACCGCTGAAAAGTGGAAGAACGTATCAATGGACTTGCGTTGTGTCCAAAGCATGCTCGAGGAAGTTGTCGCTTATTGGCGTCGCTGGACCACCGTTTCAGACGAAGTCGAGGCGTGGTTGCTTCATGCCGAACCCGCTTTAAATCTTCCAGAAGAAGAGAGAATGGAGTTCTTCCAAGATATCAGTGTATGGAAAGATAAGCATCAGCAACTGTCGGACACTGTGAGCTTCCTGATCGCCACATCTGATGAATCGGTCGCGTATCGCCTGAAGGAACGTTACGCGAATCTGACAGCAAGGTGGGAGCAGCTCTTCCAAGAGGCTAAACAGTACATGCACACGGGTGATCTGATTCGAACGAGAAAGGATTATAAGGCAGGAGTGGAGACTCTGCAAAACTGGCTAAGAGACGCAGAAGCTGCCTTAGCAATCACCGGATTGAATTCGACGGAGCGGATAAAGGCTTACGGAGAGAAATTGCAGACTCTTCATAACGAGATCGAGAACATTGAAGATCTCTTCAAGAATATTAGTAAGAAGTTTCAAGCTCTTATTCAGGATTTATCCCGCGACGAAGTCGACAAAATGATGAACACTCTGAAAAAAGAGAAAGAGGTACTTGTTAAGGTACGTGCTTTGATACCGATGCAACTGCACTTATATCATCAATTGCTGGTGCAACAAGAGTCCTTAGAAGCGGGACAGAAAGAGATATCCGCATGGCTGGATAAATTCGAGAACTTTATGGCCAATATCAATCTAGCAGGTGGCAGAGACGCTGCGCTGACTCAATTAGATCGTCATAAAGCCTTCCTCTCCAGAATGCTTTATTACAAATCCATGTTAGAGTCTAAGAATAAGGTATTTGCTAGCATTGCCAAGGCCGTGAGTAGTTATGCCGATGCGGAGGCAGCGGAAGGTAAAGTTACTCTGAAAGAACTCAATGATCGATTTGTTGAAGTCTCTCAAGCAGCACAAGTCTGGGAACAGCGTTTGCAAGAATCGATACGACGCTGGACGAAGTTTAAGGAATGCGAGCGACAGATCACCGAGTGGCTTTCAGTCGCGAAAACAATGATCAATGACAAACATCTTGACAATCGTCAATCCGTCGAGAGTCACAAAAATTTCTTTGGCAAAGTTAACGAAAAGTGGATACAGGATCTTGTGAAAGCTAGTCAGGATCTCCAGAACACGTTGCCACCTGACCAGCAGCTGCCTATCGCGAATACAGTGGAAACTCTTCAGAATCGCTGGAGAGAAGTTCTCACTTTTGCGCCGCTTCATTTAATGAGGCTTGAATTTCGCTTAGATGAAGCTAGTTTTCTTCAATATCTCAAAGATATTGAGCTGGAGATTAGTTCCGAACAGCAAGCGCTCATTAATAACGATGACGTGGACGGCATTCAGCAACGCAATAGAGAGTTCTTCGTGAATCGTGGGACTATCCTCGAAGTCGAGCGTTGTCTGCAAACTCTGAAGAAGATTAGCGACGCCTACAACAAACTGAATCCGAGAGACGCCAGCTTGACTAATGCCGCGCAAAACGCCGAACATTTGTGGGAAGAAACTGCCCAGAAAGTGGAAAACTTGAGAGGACAATTGCGCGAAGTTCCGCAACAATGGGCAGCTTATAGACAGAAGTAAGCATTATATAATTTCACTGTTACAGATGTAAATTTATTTTCCTGAACACATTATATATTTGAATCTAGATTCGATGAGATGGTACACTGGATGGATCATGTTGATAGTACTCTGAGAACCATTTTACGCGAGGTCAACACTCTAGAAGAATTCGAGAAGGAGAAAACTATATTCCAGGTAAATTTCGGCCAATTTTTCATAAAACTTTTTCGTCGTGTTATTAATATATCTATAAATAGCTTATAAATCTACTTAAATATTTATGCATTCCTTCTGGATAGCTTCAAACCTTGACGGTAAATATATATGCACCTATCTTCCTATTCCTTGTAATATTGTTATATGCCCAAGAATTTAAACTTTCAGAATAAAATTTTTACAAAAATTACTATTTAATTTTTTTTTTTTTATTTTATTTAGTTTATTCCAATGTAAATTAATCTATGTTTACGTAGACATTTTTTCTGAAAAATAGTACTCTCTTTTGATTATTAAAAAATTGATGTTATTTAAATCGAACGTAACAAAAACATCATTATCAATCATTTACAGAAAATTTGCTGCGAAGCCGACAGCAAACGCGAGGAGATGAAGTGGCTGGTTCAAACGCTCGACAATCTAACGTTGAATCGTTCGGATCGCGATGCACTCACGGCGCAGCAAAATTTGGAACAGCTGATAACGCGATATAAAAACCTTATCCCGACGATTGAAATTACAATGACAAAGACGGACATCTATTCGAAAAGTTACACCTACCGAAAGGAGGTACACGAGGTGTGCATTTTGTTGCGCAAGGTTCGCGAACAATCTGAAGCCGATATTACGTCCGAAATTCCTGAGAAGCTAGATAACGCGGTGACTCAACAGGAATCACGTCTTAATGAATTGGAGCAACAGCGAGCGACTATTGTCAGCATGTTACAACGAGGCAAGGATATTCTGAAAGATCAGCACGCGCCAGCCTTTGTTTCTTCCGAGATTCAACAATTGGAGACCAATTGGAATGACACGTATGGTCAAAATATAGAAAGACTGAAGTCTCTAAAGGAATCGCAGAAACTTTGGAACACCTATCAGGAGCAAAAGAACGAAATTTTCAAATTAATCGAACAGGCCGAGCAAGAGTTGCGACAAATTGACTTGACATCTTATTATGACGCCAATCAAGTAGCCGCTGATCTACAAAAAAAACAGGAATTCAATGCAAGTTTGAGGAAATCAGCCGAAGAAATCATGAAGAAACTGCGTAAAACGTATGCTAATCTTTCTCAAACGCTCACGCCGTCAAGCAAAAAGGAGACATTGGAAAAAGAAGTAACGGAAATTGAGCAGAAGCTGGAACGCACACTGAAGATTATGGGTGAAAAAAATCGTTTATCTTCAAGAACACAATACTCGATGGAACAAATTTCAATCAAAATTGACAGAGCTTCGAACCTGGACTCAGCAAACCGCACCCCAATCAATTGCAGATATCGAAGATTCCACATCTTCGCCTGAAGAAAGAGTCCGTAAGACAGATAATCTGCAAAAAGAAATAAAGGAGAAAGCATTGATTTTGAATGTTCTTAAAGACGAATCCCAGAAGCTTCTGAAAAGTGAGTATCACATTTTTGCTTTGCTTATAATATACATATACATATATATCAAAATTAAAACTTGCAAGTTTTTTCTTTCTCTGCTATTTAATCTATATTGTTTTATTGTAGTTTTGTATAACTTTTTTATATATATAATATATTTAATAACTGTAAATAATAATTGTCAAAAAAATCAGAGAGAGCAAATTTCTAGATAATTTTTATTATTTTTATTATCTAATTAAATGTACAATTTCTTTATATAATTTTTTTATATAAATTTTTTGTATATATTATATATTTTTTTTATTAAAGTTTATTTGATAAAAGATATACAAATTATTAAACGATATAAAACTATGAAGTAACCAGATGATAATTAAAAAATGGTAATAATTCAATCGACCAACTCTGCCAAATAAATAATTTTATTGAATATTCACAACGTTTTGACCGTGTATAAACTACGTATAGTTATTTCGTTTTATACTATCATGTTATTATATCATGTCATATTCTAAGATCGAATTTTTGTTTTTTAAAAAAGTTGTGATTTAGCACCTGATAAGGGCCGAAACCCACGGTCAAAACGTTGTGAATATTCAATAAAATTATTTATTTGACAGAGTAGGTCGATTGAATTATTACCATTTTTTACAAATTATTAAAGATGTACTAATTATTAATTATATAAAACAATTGGAGTAGTAATAGAAAATTTATTTATTTTATTATTTATATACATAATTAATTATATATATAAATAAAATTTATATATATATATATTATATATTTTATATATATTTTATATTTTATATATTTTTTTATGTTATATATATATTTTATATAATATTTGCACAAAGATAAAACTTAAATATATTCTAGATAAAAATTTGTTATTTTTTCTATGTTTAAAAGACGACGATGATGTACTGGCAAGACAACTTCGCGGCGATCTTGAAAATATTCACAAGGCGATTGAATCGTTGAACAAAAGCATAGCAACCCAACGTGAATTAGCTATGCAAAATCTTACAGTATGGAAAGAGTATAAGGAGGGTATTCAAAAAATAAAACCTTGGATTGAAGAAGCAGAATCTAAAGCAGCTACGATGGGCAGCAAACCTACCACTTTAACCCAAGCTACGCAAATGTTGGAATCGGCTAAAATTTTTGAAGTTGAATGTCAGCAGCATCTTCCAAAAGTTCAAAATTTGTCAACGATCAGTCAGCAAATAACTGGAAGGGCAGTAGTATCTGACGAAGTTGATGCTGTGTCCACACGATGGAACGCAGTTCATGATGTGGCCGTGCAAACAGTGAATAAATTGAATAAATTAGTTACGTCATGGAACACCTTTGAATTAGAAGCGAAAGAGTTCAACGAGTGGTTGGAGAATAAGGAAAAAGAAGCTTCTAAAGAACCCAATGTTCAAACACCCGAAGCCGCGAAATTAGAGAAAGAATTGGTGAAATTGAAGGAATTCAACAAAAGCATATCTGATCATCAAGCTCAATTAATATCACTTACTCAAGTTTCCGATCACATCAGTCACGGTTTAGCCTTGGATGCTGCCTCTGCGTTAAAGAGTCGCGTCGCCGAAATAAAGACTAGAGTGAGCAAACTTGCAGATACGGTTCGACATCACATTAATCGTGTCTCCGATTCGTTGCTGGCACGACAGGAGTTTCAGATGAAAATCACCGACTTCGAGAACTGGATGACGAGGCTGAGATCTAATATTAATGAGATTGAAGACGTGAACGTAGATAATGTCGATACCAATTTGCAAGCAGTACACGCTTATCTTCAAGAACACTCGGAGAAACATTCGACGTTTACGGAAATATATAAAGAAGTGAAACAACTATCATCACAAGGTTCGGTGTTGGAAGCTGCTACATTGGATGAAACTTATACGTCTTTGGCAAAGAAATACAAAGCGTTAGAGGACGATTTGAGAGAAAAGAAAAAGGGCTTGGAGAAGTGGATTGAACTTTTAAGTTGGCATAATGACGCCAACGCACAACTGAATCATTGCAAATACGAAGCTGAAGCGAGAAAACCAACTATTGCTGATCTTGATAGACTTTCTTCGGAACTTCAAACTGTATATACAAAAATCAACACTTGGAAAGAACTTGTTCCGCTAATGGACAGTACTCTGGGAATACATATTCGTGACAAGCAAGAAAAACCAATTACTGCGACTATTTTACTGAATGATCTTGAGTCCAAAGCCACAACGTTAAAGACGGATTTATCTGTTAAGCGCGACAAGTTGGAGAATCTCGGTGCTAAATGGGACAACTTTAGGAAATTGCAACAAAAGATTACGGAAGAAATTGTCAACACTCAAAGCAGCTTACAGGATATTACGTATATTGTTGATACTTGCAAAGAGCTCGCGCCGGCGATTGAGAAAATTGATGATTTGATTAAAGAGCATCAGAAACGAGAACCAGAAAAGGAGATCCTTCAACGAGAAGGTGACAACTTAATAAAGGAAGATCAACGAGCGATAACGAACATTCAGGTAGTGATCTCTTCGGTCGAAGGTAATTGGGAAAAAGTTAACGAACTTTTACATAAACAAAGAAGACAATATGCCGAAATGAATGCCGATTGGAAACAATATCAAGAAGCTAAGGAGAAGTTAAACAAATCTATTGACGAGGCGAAAAACCTCTGCCAGTTGATAAAACATGTGTCAACTGACATCACCCAGGCAAATATGGCTTTAGAGAAATATAAAAGAACTTTGGAAAGCTTAAAGAAGGGTAAACAGTTCTTGGATAAGATGGATGAAAAAGCACAGCAGCTAGTAAAGGAGACGTCATTAATGTCGAATTTTAAGACTAATTTGATCGAATCGGATTTGTCCGATATGCGGAAAAAATATCACGAGATTTACGCCAAATTAATTGACCAGACTCAAATGTACGAAACGCAGGTCATTATTTGGAAGCAAATTGAAGAGACAAAATACCAACTTACAAAATGGCTCAGTGATACAAATGAAGCACTCACTGCGGCATGCGAATGTTTACTTGATGCTGAGAGTGGACCAACGCGATTGACTAGATATAATGAAGAATTGCCAACGTATCAGCAACTCCGTCAAAGTATCGCCACGAAGACCGAACAGCTCGTAAAATTAAACGATGATACAGAGATACCGACATTAAGATCTCTTAACACTTTATTAGATGATCAATTCAAACTTGTTGAAGAGTCTGCGGAGAAGCTAACATCACTTACATCAGTTTTCAACGAGGAGAAGAAAAGTGTCAAGGAGGATTTGAAGAAATGCAGTGACATGATATCGAAAATCCGCGAGGAGATAATCAAATGCGACGATTTGACTGGCGAGAACACCAAGATTCTAAATAGAATCAATAAGTGTCAAGAATTGAAAGCTGAGGTACAGAAATGCGATTGCGCTATTTCGAAAATTGACGAAAGACTGACGAAAATGGCATCGGAGTATCCGATTATATCAAGTCTAATCTGCCAAAAGAGTTACAAGCGTTACAACACCGCAGAGATGGCGTAGCCAGTCACGCCGATAAGGTCAACGCTACTTTGGTGGCCTTTCTAACAAAACTCTATCACGAGAAATTCGGTGTTTTACAGCGCATAGTAGCAACTTATAAGGAAAAAGTGGCCTGGTGCGAACCCGAACAGAGCAGCGATCGTTACAATCTCGAAGTAAAAATGGCCTCGCTGAACGATGTCGAAGCTGGCATTGCTGATTGCGAGGCAAGAAAAATAGATACGGACAATTCGTTGCAGCTTCTAAGCACTGTCGAGAGTAACGAAATTATCTCCGCTCTAAGAAGTGCACACAGCAAAGTCGCTGCTGACTTAGAATCTCTGAAAGTTAACTATGGAAGATCAAATCTGTGCTACAACAAAATATTGCTTTATGGCAACGATATGAACTCGTGTCGGAAAATATTATTTCTTGGCTTAAAGAATACGAGAACAAAATTAGAGTCGAGGCTACAACGCTCTTGAATCCCGACGAAATTGATGCAAAGATCTCCGAGATAATACAGCTCGAGAGGGAAGTCGAAAATTATAAGAATCAGATAGAGGATCTGATTACGCTCAGCGAAAAAATCATCAAAGTTAGCCCGGATTCGCGCGTGGCTCAATATGTAGAACATTTGAATACGCGTTATTATTCAATTCTCAAGTTTCTGGCTCAACATTTAGACAGACTCAAAGAACTTAAACAGATTAAGGATCACTACGTCACGAACGTGAAAGAATTGGAATCGTGGCTACAAAATGCGGAACAGAAATTAAGAACGTTCGATGAGATCAGCGGACCGAAGCCGATGACATTTTATCAGTCTAAATTAAAAGAATTGAAAGAATTTGAAAAGGACCGCGAAACTGGACAAACCATCTTGAACCGAACGACGGAAATGGGTGAAATGCTTTTTGCGAGAATAACACCAGACTACAGGGAACTTATCAGAAGTGAGTTGAGAAACTTACGCCATCGTGTGGAAACCCTAACCGATCGAACAAATGTGATCTACAAAAAGATTGAAAGCGACATGATGCATCGGTCTTCATTTGAGGACAAGTATTCCCAGCTAAAGCAATGGATAATTGAGGCACAAAAGAAATTGGGGAGCAAGCAGAATCTACTACCAACGTATCAGGACAAAAAACTCGCCTTAAATTTATATAAAACTATTGCGCAAGACGTTGGAGCTCATCGAAATATCTTACAACAACTTCAGGACAAACTCGGAGCGACACCGGATGACGAGGCCAGCGAAATGCTTAACAGCGTGATTGAAGCACATGAAAAACTATCCGAAGACGTGGCAGATAGGATTAATGTGGCAGAGAAACACGTTGCCAATCATGAAGCTTATTTGCAAACGTTTGAGAAAACACGAGATTGGATCAATACAATAGTAAATGAAGTAGCATCCACTGGCGAAGATCTCTCGGTAGATCGAGATACAGCTAAGTCTAAGATTTCTTTAATTGAAAATGTGTTGGAACAAAAGTCTAAAGGCGATAGGATTATAGCCGACTGTAACCAACAATTAAACATCGTTTTGGAGCAAACATCGATAGCGGGTCATCCCGCATTGCTAAAAGATTTCGAGCAACAGAAAAAAGTATGGGAAGATTTCCTTCAACGTTGCGTCACATGCAAAAATAGATTAAATAATCTATTTGATCAGTGGTCTGAATTTGAAAGAATGGTCGAACAATTAGATTCTTGGCTTAAGCAGATCGAGACGCAAGTAAAGGATCAAAGCTTGAAAAGTTCTGAGGAAACGAAACGCGCGCATTTGCAAAAGTTGAAATCTTTAGAAGAGACTATTGTAGAAAAGGGTGCGGAAATCAATACAATGGTTGAGAAAAGTCAAAATGTAGAAGCAGATTTAGCTACCAAAGTGTCTCGTCAAGCTACTAGATATCAAGCGATAAGGAATCAAGTGAAAGAGGCTATAACGAGATACGAACAATATATGAAAGAGCATAGTCTATTTAATGAAAGATACAATCAATTCCTGGATTGGATTGCCGAGGTTCAGGCTGAGTTAAAGAAATATAGCGAGATTGTGGGTGATTTAGCGATATTACAAAGCAGACAGAAACAGATCAGAGATCTCAGTGATGTCAGGACTCGCGAGAATGTTCGTTTCGAATCCATTATTGATCTTGGCGAGAAACTTTACGTGCACACTTCACCGGACGGTAGAGAGATGATTAGACAACAACTGAGAAATCTGCGCAGTTTATGGGACGGTTTCTCTGAAGATCTCCAGAATTCGATGCAGAAGTTGGATCAGTGTCTGATGCAGTTTGCCGAGTTTTCCTTGTCTCAAGAGCAATTAACGGCTTGGCTGCGAGACGTCGAACGAGCAATGCATCAGCACACCGAATTGAAGTCTTCGCTGGAGGAAAAACGTGCGCAATTGCAAAATCACAAGATCATGCATCAAGAAATTATGTCGCATCAAACGTTAATTGAATCGGTTTGCGACAAAGCACAACAGTTGGTCGATCAAACTAAAGATACTTCGTTGAATGTCTACTTGCAGTCCATCAAGCAGCTATTCCAGAATATTGTCATTAAGTCGCAAGATTTGCTAGAAAATTTAGAAGACTGCTGCGAGAAACATCATCGTTTCAATCTTCAATGCACATATATCTCCGATTGGTTAAATAAGGAGCGAGAAAAACTGATCGAGTGCAATGACGTAACAGGCGAACGATCCGAAATCTCTCGTAGGTTAACGAATCTGACGATGTTAAAAGGTAATCAGGCACAGGGAAGAGAACATCTTGCGAGATTGAAGCAAATCAGTGAGGCGGTGATTAATAGTACCGCATCGAAAGGTCGAGAAGTTATAAATAAGGAAGTGACCACCTTGGAAAATAATCTGCATCAGTTGTTGAGCGAAATCGGTAAATATACATTGCAAATTATTTCTCAAAATTTATAGGTGAAAAAATGTTTTTTGTATATAAATTTATATATCAACATTTATATACATATATTAGATAAATTATATAAAGAAATAGGTTGTTTAATATACATTTAATCCATTCAAAGAATAATTACACATAAAAAACATGAAGAAATAATAATAATAATAAATAAATACATTGTTAAATGCCCAATCAGAATCTGTAGAGGAACGACAGAAAACGGCTTTGGAGAGATGGCAGAACTTCGAGGACCAGCTGGAAGCTCACACAAAATGGTTCCGCTTTATGGAAGCGATATTCCGCGACCAACAACTTCAACCTACATTGAAAGATAAGGAAGAGAGACTTCGCGCATGTAAAGAGGAACGCGAGACCATTCTACGACAAGAACGGGAAATAGATGAGTTTGTGGATAAATCACATAGTTTGTTGCACTCAAGCGGCGTTGAACGCATCAAACCACTGATTTCTCAAGTCAGCAACAGGTATGTTAAATTATTTCTGTCAAGAAAGTTGCCATCTTCAAATCTATCAGCCGTACATATGCACGTATAAATTTCGTCGTAATGCAAATAGAATCTCAAAATCGAAAACATATTTTATCGCATTTTACCTATTTGTAAAAAAAGCTTTCCACTACTTAATATTTAATAATATTTATAATATTATATAAATTTAATATTTAATAATATTTAATTTATAAATAAAAAATGTAATAAAGCTAAACATGTACGTCTCAAAATTTTTAGATATCAGTTGCTGCTTGTGCTCAGTAAAGAAGTGATAAATCATTGCCAAAGCATCGTAGACGATCATCGTGCTTACGAAGAAAAACTAACAGCCATTGACATTTGGCTTACACCTCTTGAGAAAAATCTAGCCATCTTGAAGAAGGATGAGGTCAGCGCAGATTTCGAAGCGAGAAATTCGCGCCTGCAAGTTTTATTAGCCGAAAAAGAACAGGCCGAACGTCGTTTGGACAACCTAACATCTCTCGGAGAGAGGATCCTTCCGGACACCTCCGCTCAAGGACGTGAAACAATCAGACAAGAATTGCGACATGCTCGTGAACGATGGGATCGCTTAGCCGAAGGCATCACGGAGCAACAGAAGAAGCAGGATGCTCAATCCTTGCAATTGTTCAGCTATCAAGAGACTATGCAACAGATTCTGACTTGGTTGGACATGATGGAACGGGCCGTAAAGCAAGACTCTTCAATTGCGTGGTCCTCTCTGCAGGAGATAAAATCGAAACTACTCAAACTGAAGGTCTGTATTTATTTACGTATGCATTTATGTGCAGTGTTTGCTTTATTATCTAAATAAAATTATATAGATGATCATCTAAATTAAAATTTGGCGTTATCTTATCTTTAGAAATAATAAAAATATATATTATCTATACCTGCATCTTAGATAAAAAAAATTATTTTTAAATTATCTAGAGTTATTATCTAAATTTTCTAGAAAAATGTTTAGATAATTTGATTTAGAATCATAGCACAGTATAAATATATTTTTATATCTCTTTTATAATTTATATTTTTTTTATAACTATGTTTTTATAAGCTGCCTTAAAAATAATATCTGAAATTTATCTAGATGAATCGCTATATAATTTTATCTTTTATCTAGATATAGTTAAATTCAAAATCATCTCTTCATTTTATCTAAGATAAATTTACATATTTTTATCTCATCTTCATCTAATTAATGTTAAAATCATTTTTAAGAGCAATATTATGTATATGTGTGTAAAGAAAAAGAAAAATAAACAATTAATTATATTATCTGAGACACTTTATTTTAGACTTTGCATCAAGAGATTTTGGCTCACAAACGCATCATCGAAGGAGTTTCCGAGAAAGCCAACGCTCTGGTTCAAGTCACTCAAGTTCTATCAGACGTTCATGAAAAAGTCGGTTCGGTATCAAAAAGATACGAAAAACTGATAGATACATCTCAAAAAGGAATCTCCAGCTTAGAGGCATTGCTGGATATTTTTCAACAGTTCCATGATCTTCAAAAAGCTTATCAAGATTATCAAAAGCGTCAATGGGAACGCTTGACGATTTACAATGATTATACTGGTAACAAAACTACTCTTCAAGCCAGATTGACTAAAGTTCTAGAGATACAAGACAGTCAAAGCGAAGGCGAGATGAAGTTGAACGTTCTTGAAGAACACGTGGCACAAAGTGCACATATCTTACCATCTCGATCCCTGGAATCTATGGAAAGAGATTTGGCCAATCTTAGGTGAATAATATTTACAAAAAAAATAATTACAAACATTATTTTATATACACATATATTTTTTTATTATTTTATTATATTTATTTTTATTTTATATTATATATAATATATTTTCAAGTGGAGATTGTGATAATATATTTTATTTTATTTTATTATTATTTTCATATATATTTTTTATTATTTTATTATATTTATATTTTATTTATATACATATATTTAAGAAGTATTTAAAATAAAAATGAATGATTTTTTTGTTACCCCGACGAAATAAATATATATCGCGGATTTGTTTTCTTCAGATTCGAGAATAAGAAATTCGCTACAGCCGTAAGCGATATGCTGCATTGTCTCGAAGAAAGAATACAACAATGGAGTGAATACGAAAATTTGTTAGAACGTCTACTTGCTTGGCTTACCGACGCCGAAACATCGTTGAAGAATTATAGCCTGAAAAACACACTCGAGGAAAAGCAGGAGCAGCTTGAAAAATACCAAGTGAGTTTAAGATAACATTGAGATTTACAATTTTCCTGGCTTCACGCAAATCTGATATAAATGTCCCGATTATCTAATATTTAACGAATTTGTTGATTTATAAAGACTACTTTGTTTATCATAGAATTTTTTTCTCAACAACATGAAACAGTAACATTATTTACAGAGTGTGCACAATTGAAATGTCCAGTTTGAATCATATAAATGTAACTGTCATCTCTTATATTTAGATGTAGTGTTTTCTTCACTGAAATTTAATAACTCTAATATAAACTTCAGTAGTGTTAATGCTTGTCTTTCTTCAATCATACGATACGCATTTCAAAAATCATGCGGGTATTTTTAAGTCGTCGAAAAATAAAAGAAAGGCGAAAACGTCCCGTCTACGCAAGCTTTTAGATCCAGTCCAAGAGAGATAATAATCTCCTACGCACAATGATTTTATAAATAATAAACTTTCCTAGGAACTACAAAAAGTTGCCGATTCGCGGAACATGGATGTGGCAGAACTGGTTGCGCTTGGTGACCATCTCGAACAAGTAAGAAAATAATATGCAAAACTGCAAATATATATAAAACGGCGAGATTGCGAGACAGGCGGATGATTGCAACGGCTTTACGAGAAGTCTCTCCAATATGATTGCTCTTTTCTGTAATCTTTCAGTTTTATAGCTTTTGCCAGAGCAGATGGAAGGTCAACGCTTCGTTATTTTGCGATTCTATTAGCATTAAATGATATTAATGAGCGCGATGATATGAGAGATATACATATAAAAAAAAGTTACATTGTAGCTTTAATCAACCATAAAGAAAATTGTCCAAAAAATCCTAGAAACTTATACACAGACTTAATAATTTAAAAATTTGTAAAAACTAACTATATAAAAATTATCGAATTATTATCTAAAAATTATCTAATTGTCATATGACTATTGTGCTAAGCACTTCATAATGTTAAATAATTATTGATTGATAAATATTCATTTCAAAAATTTTAGTGAAACAGGGAACCTTATTTTTTGCTCAATTCTAGTATTTTTATTTGTTAATAACTTTTTGATGAACAATATGAACAATACCTAAAACATTATCAAGTATGTTTAAAATCATTTAATAAAGATATTTTCAAATAAATAAAGATTTACAATTATTTATTTCTATATAAAAAAAGATTCTAAATTTTTGGAAAACTTCTAGCGGCTTAATCTCTGATTTACGTTTAATAAATATTCATGCAGCTTCAAAATTTGCAATAAAGGGATTCTGCTTTTTTGCACGAATGAAAGTAGAGCTTCTTTAGCGCTGAAATTTATAACGATAAAATAAGCGATCTAATGAATTAAAACATTAAACTTTTTATAAGTTTCTATATATAACGCATATTTTTTCTAATAAAAAGTTCTAACTATTACTTACTATCAAAGAGATTTATTACTTGCTATTAGGTAGGCTTCTGCTCATGCAGAAAGAAAGAATTTTCGACTTTCTTCACGCATACAAATTGCGCAAAAATGCACACATTCTTTAACAAAGCTTACTTAAATAAACGAGATATACTAAAAGTAATGTTTTTGCAGTCATTGATCGTGAGTCTTCGACAAAATGAGGCTGAATTCGATAAAATGAGCGACGATTCATCGGATTTGATGCAGATTAGTGGCGAAACTAGATTCTCTGTCAGCGTTCAACAAGTGACATCACGTTTCCAATCAATTCAAGCAACTGCTAAGGTAGACATAATAATATCTCTGAAAAATATTTTGTGATATATTGTATAATTTTATTTTTATTTAAAAAATATATATTTTGCTCTCTTAACAAAAATGATTATTATTAATTATACATATTTGATTTAAAAGTGACCAAATTTTGTCATTAATATTATTTATTAAATAAAATTAATATTATTAAAAAAAAAGAAAGTTTCTTCTTCTGTTAACATAATAATCAATGAAGTAGCTAACAATAATATAAAATATGCTAACAATTGTAAGTATGCCAGCCAAACTTTATCTCTCTATTTAAAAATCATATATAATTCTACTTCATAATTCTATTTTAGGAACTCATAAAAAAATGTGAACAAGCGGTCGTAGATCACTCCAACTACTTGGATCGTTACAAGCAATGTTCTGAATGGCTAGCTAGTGCAAGAGCGTGTTATCACTCCACCAGGGAAAATGCCAGTGGTACCCGGCAAGAACTGATCTCGAACGCCGATGCCTTGAAAGAACTCTTATCACATCAGCCTTCATCTACACTTTTGATAAACAGCACGGACGAAGCTGGAGAACGATTGTACCCTACAACTGGCACGGAAGGCCGAGATATTATTCGTCAACAGCTGCTGGATCTTCAGCAAGCCTTCGAAGAACTCTACGACTCGGTTGCTTCCACCGAACGTGAATTGCAAACGAAGATCTCGCAATGGTCAGGTTTCAACGAAAGTAGCGAGGCCTTCGAAGCCTGGCTGAAGATCACGGAGGCTCAGTTAAAGCCGGAAATTGAACTGAAAACCACCTTAGACGAGAAACGCGCCCAACTGCAAATCTACCGCACTATTTTACACGATGCGCAAACGCATCAACAGAATCTGCTAGATCTCCGCGACAAAGCGGATAATTTACCCGATCGCAACGACAGGATCGACCAAACACTGAACAGTTTAATGAACAGGTACAATGTGCTATTAAAACGCGCGGCCAAATTTGTGGAGAGATACGAAGGTATAGTGAGCGATCATCAGCAGTACAGCAAGGTTGTTTTGGACACGCACGAATGGTTAGATGCCACGCATAACGCTATAAATCTCTGGGGTGATGTGGAACTGGAGAGAGTGTCTTTGCACACAAACCTGGATCGTCTGAAAAATCTGTTACACAGCTTGCCGGAAGATGAGCCGCAAATTCAGCAAATCAAGTCTCTGGGTGAGAAAGTCATACCAGGTACTCTGGAATCGGGACAGATAAACATCCGTTCGCAAATCGATTCCTCGCAGCAAGAGTGGCAGGGCCTGATTTCCGCCATTAAGTTCACCATCGAGGCGTTGGAAAGCAAGCTTCAACAATGGAACGAGTTCGAAACATTGAAGGAACGATGCCTGGTATGGATGAGAGATACCGACACGAAGTTACACGCAGTCGATCTCAAGTCTACTTTGGCAGAGAAGAAAACCGAACTCGAGAAACTGCGCGCTCTTCAAGGTGAGGTTCGCGCTAAAGAGCTGGAAATCGACGCTGTTGCCGAACGGGCTCAGCAGCTTCATAAGAACGTTACTTCCCGCACTTCTTATATGTCAGAACTGAGCATTAAATATCAACAGATATCTAATAAAATAAAGGAACTGAATAATCGTTGGCATCAGTATGTCACTACGCATCAAGATTTTGATACTCAATTGGCAGAATGCACTACATGGCTGACAGATATCAAGAATAAATTAGCATACTGCTCCGATTTAAGTGCGTCCTCGCAAAAAGATTTGGAACAAAAGATGCACATCGTGCAAGATTTACTATTGTACAAAGAAAACGGTTTCGCGAAAGTTCAGAGTATCGTTGAATTAGCCCAGGCTGTTCTAGCGAATACAGCTCCGGCTGGTCATCAACCAATCAACGATGCTTTAGCAAAACTTCAGGAACAGTGGAGTGCCTTAGCGTCAAAGATGTTGGAGACAAAAGCGAACTTGGACGACTCCATAAATAAGTGGGCCGGTTTATTGGAGCAAATACAATCTATCAATAACACAGTGGAATATATGCAATCAGCAATTGACGAGATTTCACAGTTTCAAACCACGATGTCGGAGAAGAGAAGTCAATTGGAGCGCATCAAGTTACTCGAGGAAAAGATTCGTTGCGAGAATATCGAGGTTGATGGTCTCAAATGCAAGGTCGCCGAAATGATTGCGAGTAGTCAGCAGAGTTTGGCCGCCTCGCAGGCCCAAGATATACTTAACAAATTCGACGAACTTTTCGAGAAGATCAAGTCCTTGTTGGCCGAACGGGAAGAACAGTATAAAGATCATCGCCTTTACAAAGAAGCTCACGACGATCTCATCGGTTGGCTTAACCGGGCCCGCGAGAAAATACCGTCTATGAAGCAGAAATCACTCAGTGATAAATTAGCGATAGAGAACGCAGTAGCACCACTCGAGAGTTTGTTGAACAAAAAAGCTCAGGGCGAATTGTTGGTGGAGCATCTACAACATACCGGAAAAGTTGCCTGCGCTAGCACTAATTCCGCTGGACAAGAAATCATCAGGAACGAAATACGAGCGCTTACGGAAAGCTTTGAAGGACTGTTTAAAGGTAAAATTATTAAAAATTATTTAAATAATATTTATATTTTTATTAAATAATTATATTGAAAAGACCCCATAAGTACACATTGACTGGTGTCTAGCATGATTGACCAATCAGAGTCCGGATAGTAAGCGTACGTCATTTTGACATCAAATGACGTCAGTTTGCTACTTGGAAAAACACCTAGTGTTTAATTGGTCAATTAGCAATATCCAATCTATTTGGATCTTGTTTAATTATAAATAATAATCCTAAGGTTGCCAGTAATAATTAATAAAAAACCACTCCTCAGTGTTTAAAGTCGACCAGACTGGCAATAATTTATTATAAATAATTATTTGAAATACAACGTGCAGTCTTGCATTGTTCATCAAAACAAGCGTTAACATTGTCGGTAGTTTGCATAGAAGTTGATTTACTGTTTTAAATTTGATGTACTTGAAAAGGGCTGCAATGACAGCCGAAACGTTGTTGTATTTCAAATAATTATTATAATAAATTATTGCCAGTCTGGTCGACTTTAAACACTGAGGAGTGGTTTTTTGTTAATTATATTAACAAATTATATGGATAAAAATATTGATTTAAATTTCTATACTGTTGCAGAAATTCAACAACAAAAGAATCAACTGGAAGCGACTATAAGTCAATGGCGCGACTATAAGGACGAATACGAGAGACTCAGCGATTGGTTGCAACAATTCGACATTCTCATCAAAGCTCAAAAAAATGATCTTCTGCCAAATCTTGAAGAGAAAAGAAAGCAGGTGCAAGAGGTGAAAAAATTGTGCAACGACCTGGCAAAAGGTCAAGAACAAATCGATAAATTTAACAAAACGGCTGCTGATTTACTCTCGTCCCATTTAGACACTTATGTTAACAATCAGCTGCGGCATTTAAATTCACGTTATCAGGTGCAAATGAATCTCGCCAAAGATGTATTGAATAAGGTTGAAACCAATCTGGCTCAGCATCAAGAATACGAGAGCAATCTTGAGAAAGCTCGCGATTGGATCAAGAACGCCAAGCAAATCGTACGTCAAGGAACAGAAGCGGCCTCAAGCAGCAGCCGTGAAGAATTGCAAAGCAGACTTGACAAGATTCAGGAACTGTTGAGAAAACGCGAGGAGGGTCAAAATCTGGTACACCTGACCGTGAATTGCGGCGAGAAGATCATGAGAAACACACGCTCGGACGGTCGCGAAGAGATCAACGCTCAATTGAAAGAGATCCAAAACGATTGGGAGCGATTGGTGAAGAAGATCTCAACCACAAAAGTACATCTTGAGACGAGTCTATTGCAATGGGCGGATTACAGTTCCTCATATTCACAACTGCAACAGTGGATCAACGATCGCGAAACTAAGCTGCAGCAGGTGTGCGAACAGAAAGTCTCCAAAGCTCGAAAGGGTTTGGTCGGATTAAGTTCTTTGGCGATCGGAGAGAGAAAAGCAAATTTACGACAGACGAATAGTATCGTGCAAGATATCGTGGCGTTCGAGCCTATAATTCAATCAGTCGCTACAAAGGCTGAAGATTTGCAACAGGCGACGCCGGCTACGGAGATCTCGATTAAATATGAAACTCTGAGCAAGCAGGCTCAAGAGCTGTATGCGAAGCAGAAGGAGACTGTCGAACAACACCAGGCCTTTATCGACAGCGGCAATGAATTTATTCAATGGATACGGGCAGCCAAAGAGAGACTCGGCAAGTGTTCAGAACCTACAGGAGACAAGGAATCCTTGGCTAGTAAAATTACACAGCTGAAAGTTTTACAAAGTGAATGTTTCGAGGGTCAGAAGAAACTAGAGAAAGCTCTGGAACAAGGTAACGCCGCCTGTCACATTGCCGATGCCGAAGACAAGGAGATAATTGAGGAAGAAGTGGCACTATTGCAAGAAGAATACGATAACTATGTGTAAGTAGTTCGAATTTAATTTTCCTAAAATACATAACAAAAAATTAACACTTATTTTACATTTACGTGTACGTTTATATTTAGAGTATCTTACATATATATTTTTTATTTATTACAGAGATTCATTGAATAACACGAAGAGTTTACTCGAAGTCGGTATAGTAAAGTGGACGGAATACGAGGATCAGTTCTCCGAAGCTACAGAATGGCTTACGCAAACTGAACAATTAGTTAAAACGTTTAATAAGTTACAGGACAGTCTTGAAGAAAAGAAAAACGTTCTCGAACAGTTCCAAGTTCATTTGCAGACATTGTTCGATTGGCAGAAGGAATTAGACCGCTTAAATATGAAAGCTCAAGTTTTATTAGAAACGTGCGCCGATACGAGAATTTCTAATGCTATAACGCAACTCACCACTAAATATAACGCACTGCTGTCTCTCGCTAAGGAAATAATGCGGCGATTGGAATTGCATTACCAGGTAATTATTGCTATTTCTTCTTATCTAATTAATATTTATGAATTTAAATTCTTTCAATTTCAATTTTTTACAATAGTTACACATGTTTTAAATTTATTTTATTTTAATGATATACAAATTATATGAGCATATGAATTATATAGGAGCATCAACAGCACAATACTTTGTATCAAGAATGCCAAGATTGGATTGAACGCACTCGAGATAAGCTGAACGAATGCAAAAGCATTCCTAGCACATTAACCGAGGTTAACAATAAGTTACACACGTGTAAAGCTATACGGCAGTCATTGGAGCAGGGGCAGAACAAATTGCGTTACGCTTTGGAGTTGAAGGAGAAAGTCATCATGAATACAGAACAAAATGGTGCGGCAAAAATTCAAGAAGACACCGAAAACTTGAAGAGCGAATTTGACAAGTTATTGGCCGATGTCGAGGATGTTAGACAAAAATTGTCAGCAAGAACGAGCATGTTGGAGGAGCTTAACAAGACTCACCGACTCATCTCGGATTGGTTAGAAGAAATCGAAGGCAAAATTCAACCAGGAGAAGTATGCAGAAACGATCTTAGCGAGAAACGCGCTCTGTTGGAGAAATATAAGATTTTGCAAAAAGACATTCATAGTTACGGTGAAACGATAGATCACTTGAAGAGTCACCTTAATGAAAACCCCAGCATATCGAAAAGTCCTTACGAATCAACTATCAATAAGTACGACAGTTTGAAGAAACTGATTTCCGAAAAGATTCGCGTAAGTAGAATTTCTTTATAAAACTATAACATGGATAAATATATTCTGTATTTTAATAATAAAGTTTTATAATGTAATATTTCATATTTTCATTATTTTAGAACCTGGAGAATCAAGTCAAGGATCATGAAAAGTTCCAACAAGCCTTAAACGAAATAAATGATTGGATACGTCACACAAAGGTCGAGCTTCAACAATATAGCGATACTCACGGCGAAAAAGAACAGATTATTGAACGAGAAAATAAAGTCAATCAGATAATCTCGTCTCTACCAAAAGGCGATACTTTGATCTCGAAGATGTTGGAATTAAGCGATATCGTGATCTCTAAAACGGGCCCCGAAGGCCAAGATTCCATCAAGCAAGACATGAAGCAGACACAAGCGGACTGGAAATCTTTGCAAGCACAATGTCACGATTCGCAACGTACTCTTGCCAACTGCATCTCAAGCTGGTCCCAGTTTACGAACGCGTTGGATGGCATGAAGCGATGGATAGATCACTTTCAGAAGAAGATAATTGAAGAACAAGCCAAAGATAACAATACTCCGGACGATTTAGAACGTTGCAAGCGTTTAATGGAGGAAGCGATTAAACAAAAACCAATCTTGGAAGACTTGAATGACAAATGTGAAGCTTTGTTGGAGATCAGTGCTTGCAGTTGGGCGCGAGATAAGACGGTACAATTGCAATCGGCGTATATGTCCCTTCTAACTGAGGTACAAGGACTTGTCTCGAAGATCGAGAAGAATTTGGCGGATCATACCGAATTCTTGAAAGCCAAAAAGGAGATGGAAGATTGGCTACGCACGGCTTACGGTTCAGTAGAAGATTGCATCGGTGTAGGAGACACGGCTTGGGTAAAGGATAAATTAGAAACCTTAAAGGTAAATTATTTCAAGCAAAACAGTGTATGACATTTTTTAAATATTCTACTTATAAAATAATGTCATACAAATAAATTCACAATTTTTTTTAAATATACAATTGAGTTCAAAAGTTATACATATTAAACCAGTTTTATAAAATCAGATATTATTCGGAACAAAATAAATTTTTACGATATACATATAAAAAATATATATATATATATATATATATATATATAATTTTTTATTCGTGATTAATAGTATATATAGGGTTTGAGCAAATAACCAAACATTTTAAGAAATACTTTACATTACATAACGGATAATAAGTGCTTTCTTTAATTACAATATTTGTTCCAAATTAAATGTGTTATTAATGTATTATAATTTATGCAATAGCTGGTTGCAACACGCGTAACGGAGGGTCAACACCTATTGTCAACGTTGCAGAATGCTTTTACAAAGGCAATTAACATAGCTCTTCCAGAGCAACAGGATCAGTTACGATCTGATATGGCTAATCTACGTTCCAGTTGGGAACAACTGAGCATAGACTTGAATACGATTCAAGCGAAGGTAAAATCAGTTTTGAGTCGCTGGGAGGATCACGCAGACGCTCATAATAGATTTGCAAAATGGTTAGAAGAGAACGAGAGTGTTGTTAAAGGGTTTTCGGACACAAAGGGTGAATTCAGCGAGATGAAAACAATGCTCGAACGATACAAGCACATTCAGGAAGAGGTTGGCAATAGAAAATCCGACTTGGATCACTTGATGGCAAAAGCAACAGAATTATTAGAATGGGCAAAGAACAGCATGGTACTGAATGAAACTAAACAGCTATTAGATCGATGGAAGGCGTTGAGCGATCTTGTCGATGAAAGGAAAAAGCTAATAGAAAATGAAATACAAGAGTATAATGCATATCACACGGCTCTGCAGGAAACGGAGAAATGGCTGTTACAGATCTCCTTCCAATTAATGGCACACAATTCTCTCTATATCACCAACAAAGAACAAACAATGGAACAAATTAAGCAGCACGAAACATTATTAACTGAAATCCAAAAATATCAAGAAGTGTTAGACGAACTCAAGCTAAAGGGACACGGTCAAATAAATCGATACGTTGGTTCGAATCCTTCTATTAGATCAACCATAGAGACACAATTGCAGAACGTGCAGGATAGTTACAATTCTTTGTTGAATACCGCTCTGCAAATTAAGAACAGATTGGCGGAGTCTCTAGCCAAGTTTCAGGAATACGAGAACATTCTGGAAAGTATCATGAAAAACCTGGACACGCATGAAGCGGAAATGAATCAGGAACTGGGAGCTCCGCTAGACAACTTGTCTTCTGCTAAACAAAGTCTCGAGAATGCTCGGACTCTGCATAATAAGCTGCAAGCCGAGAAAACTCGATTAGCCTTAGCAGTGGAAGCTTGCGAAGCTGCGGCAACATGCGTTTCTAGACCTGGAAGTCCTCTCGATGCACCACCTATTCAAGTTCCTGCAAGAGAAGTTGAAGTTAGGACAAGACTCGACGATCTCATCGATCAGGTATGCATTTAAATTTAAATTCTTTGACAGTCAATTTAATACGATTAATAATTAATAATTAAGTAAAAAATTTATTTAAATACAGTCAAAGGATGTTTTGGTTCCAAGATCTTTATATTAGAAATATTTTTTTTTATTATTTTTTCATCGTTAAGGGGATTCTAATATTATTTTGTTTTATTTAACAAAACACGATCATTTTTTGCACCCTTTTTTTTAATTGGTTGAATAGAATAATAAATGTTTTCCCACAATTAAGTACATATAAAAACAAAGTCGGAACCTACCAATTTTATGTTAAAAACAAAACGACGTTAGAATTTCCTTAAATCTATAAGGTATATGTTTTTTAATACAACATAAATAAAAAAAAAATTATGCTGTATATTAATTTGTTTCAAATTGTATTTATAAGTTATGATTGTATTTTTATTATAAAATTTCCAGATGCAAACGCACTTAGCGAATGTAATGAAGACTGTAAACGAGCTAGAAGAACAATCACATCAGAAGAAGGCTCTTCGTGCCTGGATCAATCAGCAACGAGCTCTCTGCGCCGAATGGAAATCACGACCGGCAAAATTGCGAGCGGAGGCTGCCCAAGCCGAATTGCAAGCGATGAACGAGTTACTCACCAATGTGGGCGAACGTCGTACTCGTGCATTAACGGAGTTATCGCTTCAAGATAAAGACCAGGATATTGAAGAAGGCTTGAATAAACTAGAGGCCGAGTTAATTGACGCCATCGCAGGGAAGCAAGCGGCACAAGATTTCATTCAGAAATACAGATCGCAAGTGCAGGATATCCAAACGTGGTTGGACAATCTATCGAAAAAGGTCGATGTAATTGAGAAAGGTAGCGGACTGACTATCAATCAAAAAATCTCGAATCTCAAGGACATCACAGCCGAGTTCGAGTCTCAGGGACCGGAAAAACTGGCAGAGATCAAGAAGCTAGGCGACCAAGTAATGGACTCGGTCAGCAATTTGGACTCTCAGCAAATCGAGGAGCAAATCAAATCAGTGGAGAGACGTTACGCGGATATCAGCAAGAAGCTGCAGAGAAAAGCCCAGATCCTGGATATGACGGTGCAGGGTATTGAAGCAACCAAGCGAGAGATCGAGGAGAATCGCGAATGGATCGAGCAAGAGAAGCAGCAGGTGAAGATGCCTGAGCTGCTTGGCTTCGAGAGCAAGCAGGCAGAAGAAAGAATCCTCGCTCTTAAAGTAAGGAATTTTTAGAACATTTATTTATTACTTTAACTTTACAAAATATTAATTACATGTCTTCAATTAATATGTTTTATTACCTTCTATATAGGCTATGTTGAAAAAAGCGGACGGGAAGCAGTTGGTCATAGATACGCTGGAAAAGAGGGTCGGCAATATGCAAAACGAGTTGGAAACTAGCGAGCAACAACAATTGGAAGCCGATACAAGGACTTTGCGCGCCGAGCAAATTGAGTTATGCACTCTTTTAAGAGAAGAAATATCAGCTGTTAGCGTGGCAGCTGATGCACGTCGTAAATTAGAAGCTAACATTGAACAAGCTCGAAATTGGATAAGGTCCAAAGGCAACGACCTGAAGAAACTTAGCGGATATTTGCCTCTAAGAGCTTCGAAGGTCGAGCAAGATATCATACAACACAGAAGATTAGAAGCGGACATCGACTCTTTTAACGAAGACAATCTTAAAGAAGGGCATAACTTGCTGAAGGATTGCAACGCAGAAAGTCGCGTTAAACTTCAGGCTCTCCTAGACGATCTAAGTAAGGATTACGAGGAATTAAAGAAAGAGGCAAAGGAAAAGCAAGCCTCCTTAGCAGATCTTCTTCAAGGTCGCAAAGCCTTCGAGAATGAATTTGACAAATGTCAACGGTGGGTCAAGGAAGCTGAAGTGGCTACGTCTTCTGAGTTACGACCTTCTAGTCTGGATATTCTTCAAGAACAACTTGCTAAGGTATGATAGGTATATGCACTTTAAACATCCCTAACAACACACATATCCTGAAGACGTTTAGAGAATATTCTGAGGATATTCGAATGTCCTCTGGATATCTTTTGGATATGTTGTGCTATTAGGAATAGGAATAATTTGTTTTCAAATTGTTTCATAAAATCATAATTAAGGATTTCTCTTTCTTTCCAGTATAATCGATTGAAGAAAGAGGCGCAAGAATATGGCGACGACATAGAAAAGATAAACCAACAAGGAAAATCAATCTTGCCAACCGTGAGTGACGCGGATAAACAGGAACTGAGCGAGCAATTGAAAAACATGAAGGAGGCTCACGGACGAGTGGCAAATGTAATAAACGATAGAGCGATCGCGCTCCAAAAGAGTATAAGTGAAGCTGAGGAAGCTGCCGCGCGAGTAGCTGAGGCAATTCAGTTTATGACGGATATTCAGAAAGAGCTGCACGAACTGAACAAGCCCATAGGTGCTCGTATAGAAGACGTGGAAGGAATGTTAACTGCTTACGAAAAAATTCTCGACGACCTCAAGGCAAACAAAGCCAAATTGTTCGATCTTCAATCCACTAACGTTGGAGATCTACATGGCGTGTTGGCTCAACAGGATGATCTAATAAGAGCTCTCGAAGCACAAATAGCAAAACTTCGTCAATTGTTACTACTGCGACAGCAATTTATTGCCTTAATCGCAGAGATTACTACCTTTATTGCCAAATATACCGAAATTATTCGTGATATCGAGAAATCCGGACAAACGACAGAGGAGAAGATTAAAAGGTAATTATTGATCAGATGTAAATCAAATATAGAATCAGTGGGCAGTGTTGTACTTAGATGACTTTAAAATTAGCTACATGAAGGTGGGATGAAAATATATAAATTCATCTTAGATAAGATAAAGATGATTTTGTTTCAAATATATCTAGATAAAAGATAAAATTATATAGCGATTCATCTAGATAACTTACAGATAATATTATTTTTAAGACCGCTTATATAAACACGATTTTAAAAAAAATGTTAATTATAAAAGAGATATAAAAATATATTCATACTTTTATTTCTAAGTTTTTATCGCTTGCTGCTTAAGTTCTACTTAAGTGCTATGACTCTAAATTATCTGAGATTCTTCATTATTCGAGATTTAGATAATAATTCTAGATAATTTAAAAGTAACACTTTTTACATCTAAGATGCAGAAATAAACAATACAAATTTGTGTTATCTCTATAACAATAAAATAGCAAAATTTTATCTAGATGATCATCTATATAATTTTATTTAGATGACAACAAACACTGGATGTGAGCAACATTTAAAATTAAATTATTTAATTAAGAGTTTAACTAGGCTCTGTAAATATAAATTAACATATATAAGATAGGCAATAAGAGCCAAATCGCGGATGACAGTGCGTTATTCTAAACGAAACTAAATTTTTCGTTAGAATTAAATACCTGTGCACAAGGCACCAAATTTTTACTTGGACACGGCCAAGATATAAAATTGGAATAATCTCTACAAGAGAATTCCATAATTCCCGATTCTGCGACTTTCGGATCTATATTTTCTCTCGCACTTTATTTCTTTAGGGGAATAGGGGATACATGGAATTAAAAATCTCTTGTAGAGATTATTCCAATTTATATCTTGGCCGTGTCCAAGTAAAAATTTGGTGCCTTGTGCACAGGTATTTAATTCTAACGAAAAAATTTAGTTTCGTTTAGAATAACGCACTGTCATCCGCGATTTGGCTCTTATTGCCTATCTTATATATGTTAAATTTATATTTATAAATTATTTAAACTTTTTATTAATAATAATTATTTACAAAACAATAATAAGTTTATGAATTTAACAGATATGACGACGCTATACTAAAGATTCAGGAATGCGAAGCGACTCTTGCAAGCGCGACGGACAAAGGACAACAGATAGCGGCGGAAGGTTCAGCTGTGGACAGAAACAACGTGACGGAACAGCTTCAGTCATTGAAGCAACAATTACAGGCCCTTCGAAGAGCAGTGGAGACGCAAAGAGAACAACACGAATTGGCGGCAGCCGAACATAGAAAACTCGCTGATGAGTTGGCCGACATTCTCGACTGGTTTGAGAGTAAGGAGAAGGAAGTCAAGTCCAGGCCGCTTCTGGCGAGGGATTCAACCAGCGTCGAGGCCGAACTGAAGAAACACCACTCCCTTTGTGCCGACGTGAACGAGTATCTCGATAAGATTAGAAATTTGAAGCAATCGGTTCGACATGAGGAAGGAATGCCTGGATCCTTGAAGGAGATGCTGAGCGAAGCGATGTCCCTGTTGACGTCCTTACCGCGAGAAATGGAAGAACGGGGACATTATCTCGAGAATAATCTGCAGATGAGATTGGATTACGCCGTTCTTACCGATAAGCTTCATAATTGGGCTCGCGAGGCTGAAATTCGGCTAGAGAGTAACAAGGAGGGTCTCGACTTTGAAAACATTCTTAACGATCTGGAGGAGCATAAGGTGAGCAATTTTTTTCACTTTATCTTCTCTTTTTTTTTAATCGTTGGGACTATTTATTATATAAATTATAAATTATAATATTTTTATTTGATAGTGTGTACATTCGTGAATTTTATATGCACGTTAATTATTTATGTAATAAAATATTTTAGTGTTTTACTTGAAAAGAGTCACAATCACATGGTCGAAACGTCGTGAAGCTGAATAAATTATCTATTCGCTAGTTTGGTCGATTATTTTCTACAACTCCTTTTATTATATGTTACTCTTTTAGATATACTTCAGAACCGAATCTTCGATACGCGAGCTGGTTTCGCAGCAAATTCAACAAGCGGCGGATAAAATCTGGCCTTCTTTGGACAGTTACGAGCAAGAGGAGCTGAGTGCTCAGCAACAACAGCACACTCAATTGTTGAAGAACACTCTCAATACGGCTAAATCGCAACGTTCACAGTTGGAACAAGGCGCAGAGATATGGAGAGATTATACGCAGAGCCTGGAACGCGTTCGTTCTGTTATTAGTAGAACCAGATTCACGGATGAACCCGTCACCACATTAGCTGGATTACAATTCAATATTCAGAAAATCACTCATGTCCTCAATGACATTCAGGTACGTCAAAAAATAGCAGAATACAAAAAATTATTTTCTTGTTTTTTATACCAAATTTTAAAAAATTGTGTTGAATTTTTTTATTAAGCATTAAATTAAATTTATATTAAATTCATATTTAAATCTAAAAATATTTCACAAATGTTATATTAAATTATTTTTATACACGATATGTTTATTTAAAAAAAAACAAAATCATAGATTATATTGAATAATATATTTGATTAACTATTTTTAATGCTTTCCTTATATTTTTTTATAGAATCAACAATTTGAGTTGGATCTTTTGAACGAACGTGGCCAAGAGGTTCTTCAACTCGCAGACACCAATAATAAAAAAACAATAGAAACCCAGCTTTCGGAGATCAATACAGAATGGCAGGAATTAGTTTCAGGATTTGAAGGACGTAGAAATGCCCTCGATGCTCTTTCACAGCATTGGGAAAATTTGGAAGCGCAATGGACTCTTATCGAAACGAAATTAACCGCGATCGAAGAAAAGAACAAACTTATAGATACAGTGATACGATCAAAGCAGCACCTGCAGGATACCATTAAAGCATTGGAAGTAAGTATAAATGCTTCATATATTATAATTAATTATAATTTTACTTAAAAAAAGGGAAAGAAACTCGCTATTTCACATTATAATAATAAATATCATTACTATACATATATATTATTACAATAATAAATATAATTGTCATTAAAATTGTTTATCGCGTCAGAATAATTAAGTTCTATAAACTTCAATTGATTACATAAAGAATAATAATAGCTAAAAATATAAAAAGTTCAGGTGAAGCGTGTTCTAGTTATTATTATATTATGCAGAGATATAAAACTGCTTGCAATAATATGTACGTCACGCAAGGCATATTTTTGATCCTTTAAATGTTATACATACACACTCATACATATACACATTTTATGTGAATACTTATCGATTTACCGTGCGCCGACACGGCACAGATATACAATTAGTTCTATCTTTCTCTCTTCCCGGTGCACCCTTTATAAATGCCAAACGTGTCAGACTAGCACAGCCAGGCACCACAGGTGCTCGGCCCTCCAAAACTATCTATTTTAGTCGCTCACGAATTATCAAATGGTGAACGTTCCGTGGAGAATCGACATAACATTTTTATTCCTATAGAAATATTTATTTTTACAAATATACATATTTTTTATCACAAATTGCTGCAATTTAAAATTTATAACGCGCTTGTGAAATAAAAATATTTAAAAAACTGCTTCTCGGACACGGACGTACAAATTGTCGTCGATAATGACAATTAACAAACTTTCTGATCTTGTTGTGAACAGGAACTCGTAATGGAAACTGAAAAACTTAAACCGACAACGGAAGAAGTGAAAAGCTTAGCAGAAACTGTGCTCGCGTATCTCACAGCGTTTTCAGAAGAATCAGCACGAAATCTCGAGGAACGCCTCGAGAAATTGCAGAAATTCACCGCATCGTGAGTTCAAATATATCTTTTTATTTTGTTTTTATAAATATCTGTTCTTTATGGACCTCAGCACCATCTTATATTTTATTGGCCAATGTCAGTCGATGAGATCGTTCAACATTATTTTAAATGACAATTTAAGTATCGACATAATTTTAATAAGTTATGATACGAAATAATATAATTTTAACATTTAATATTTATTTATTTTTAATATTTATTTTTTTTAATATTTGTGTTAGAATAATATTTTTATTCTGAGATATATATATATATATATATATATATATATATTCTGCCTCCTCTCTTCTATTTGTATTTCATTTTATAATATAATACATTAAAAATATAATACTGAATTTACAAAATTACTTTACAAAGTACTTTCAAATATTATTATTTTTCTTTCCCAATATTACATCATAATTTTCAGAATAAAATATGGGATAATAAAATATATATTCTATTAAATATCCAGAATATAAACTTAATTTTTAAATTTTATAATTTAAACTTAATTTTTGTTTAGAAAATTTTACATTACATTTGTATCATTATTACAATTCGTAATTTTATATTAGTTTATACATTAATAGATTTAAATTACTTTATGATCTTTGATGACTGGCAGTGGTGCTATAAAGGTTCTTTTATATATATATATATATATATATATATATATATATATATATATATATATATATATATATATATATATATATATACATATATATATATATATATATATATATATATATATGAGCAGATTGGCATGTGCATGTATAAATGTTTGCATTTGAGGCTTCTGCTTAATATACACTTTCTTTTTTCTTTATATATCCATTTCTATTTCAGCAATTCTATATGGCATCTTTATATTTTTAGTGATTATCAGTATTTATAATATTTCATTCACAGGTGATCTCTTCGTTTTAATGATATATTATAAAATATTATATCATTTTAGTCGTATATATATATATATATATATATATATATATATATAATATTTAAAATAATAATCAAAATAATGGAATCACATAACAGCGCATCTCCAAAATAACGCGCGCAATATCCCTTCCATAAGTTGTAAACATATGTTAGTAATGGGGGATGAGATATCGCGGTTTAACCGCACAATAACGCATATTTATCTTCTGACGATATACTGCATAATGTGACAAAACGTCACGACCCTGAATTTCACAAAGTGAAGTAGGGGAATCTTATTATTGCGTTCAAAGCCCGAATAGCGCTTAAGAGATTCCATTGTATACAGGTCATGTAAATGTATGTGTATAAATATACAACACATACATATATACATGTATGTGTATATAACTATACATATCGTATATGCATAATAATATGTTTTTTTAATTTGGACATTGCACATTTAAAGAAAGATTTTGTGTATATATAGTTCTATAGAAAAATTAAAAAAATTGCATTTTTCTTCATAAATGAAAATACACAAACCGCAACTATATATATTGAAGTTTTTGACCAAATTTTCCAAGAATATTATTTTATCTCGCATTCACTTTAAATTTAGATAATTAAATAATTTAAATAATTATTAAAAAACATGGTCATAAATAATTAATCTCTTTAGTCACAAAATTAATAGTCATTTCATCAATTAATTAAAAACTTGAAAAATACAATATAAATTTTAAATTCTAATATAATTATTTTAGAATAAACCGTATAAATTGTAGTAACAATGATTGTTTTAAAAAGTCATAAATAAGTTATAATACTTAAAAAAAATAATAGCTTTTTTCTTTTTTCTTCTTCTTCTTCTTTTTCTTCTTACTCTTCTTTTTCTTCTTCTTCTTCTTACTATACTTTTTATTCTCTTCTTTATCTTCTTTTTCTTCTTCTTATTCTTCTTTTTTCTCTTACACTTTTTTTCTTATTTTTCTTCATCTTCTTGCGCTTCTTCTTTTTATTCTTCTTCATCTTCTTACTCTTCTTCTTTTTCTTCGACTTGGTCCTATACATGGAAGAATAATAGAGGAACAATTTCGTGAAAACTATTAAGGCAGATTTAAATTTTCAACTGACTCATATTAATTAACTTTTAATATCGCGAAAGTTAAATCACAAATCTCGCTATTTAATCGAAATCGCCAATATTCATTGATCCATTGTCGCTTCATTACACATCGCATTATGTCACCATCAAATTCATCGTATGACGTAATACGATGATGTTACAAGCCGTGTAACACACTCGATATAGGAAGGTCATAGTCGAGGAAGGTCGTATGCATTCCCAAAGGAAATTGTGTGCGTATCCACGGCCCCTCTACCATACTTTTTCATATCGTCTGGTGTATCAATTTATCCAGTCATATTCGCGCCGGCATCCACGATACGTCGCGCAAGCGATGCTAACAATTGCATCTTTCGTTACCGGCGTCTCATCGATGCCGATCGGGCGTTTAAATGCTGACATATTCGAAGCGGACAACGCATGCAACGTGCATGTTGATGTTTTGCCAATTGACGAATCGCGCCGTCAACGTATAACATTTTCGTAGCATTCATTACATACATATATATGTGACCTCACGTGTATCGCCTACTGTCAATGTGCGAGTGGCATAATTTTTGTTTGCACGCGAAACAGAGCTCGCGAATAAGAAACTGACAGAAATGAACTTACATCTTGGGAGACCCGGTACTTGCAGAATTACTATTGTTTACATTAACTATCAAAAAGAAGAAAGAGAGAAGGAAGAGAAAGAGACGATTATGTAAAAATAAATATGCAAAACGAAATATATTTTCATGATATCGACAAATGACGTATGAGAGATAAATTGAGAATGATTTATAATTGTGCAAAGTAAGATAAAAATTAAGTTTTATTATTTTATACTTTAATGAGAAAAAATATTTAGTATTTTAAAATTAAATTTTTGAGTACAAGTCCTATTTAAAATTCTGATCAAAATTTTTCCTACTTCCATTATTGATGAATAATTAAGTCATTTATAGAACTCTCATTATGTATTTTATTATGTAATTGGTGTATGCACTATAAAATGTTATATAGATAGAAATTGATTGAAAAAATCATACATATATACTTATTAACTATCATTGTAAAGTAATTTGTCATCAATATACACACAGTTCGCTGGCCGATTACAGGATGCGTCTGATGCCAATCGAACGCGCTAAATATAAGTATGATGCTCGACAAAATCAAACTTTGCTTCTAAATGGTGTATTATAACACACCGCGTAATATATACAATGATATATCTACACTTATATAATAGAATGTGCCATAATAGACTGATAAATTTTGTTCGCATTAGTGCGTAATAAAAATTTTTATATTAATAATACATATATACATGTACAGAGTTATTTTTTAATAATTAAAATAAGCTGTAATTATTTTTACAGATAAAAATAGTAGAAAAAATGTTACACTCTTCAATGTAATTTATTTAATATGATTACATGTTTTTCAAGGATGCATCGATACATTTACAAGATGCAATTGCACTATTTTTTTTAAATGCAATCATAGAATTCTGTTTATATAAATTTATTCATTATAATACTTTTTTATACTATTCTTCTTATTATTTATTGTAAGTATTAATTTACTAAATATTAAAGAGATAATCAATATGTTATTAAATATTTCTCATGTTGCTTTTGTAACATTAAATGCTAAAATGTATCATTATCATGCTAATCTAAACATTTTTAATATGTTTTGTAAAATGTTTATATAACATTGTCAAGCTACTTGATTACATTACTTATACAGACTACTTCTTTTATTAATGAAAATCTCTTAATTATTTTCATAAAGTTTTGAAAAAGCCAGATTTTTTCCAAAAACAAAAATTAGTTAAAATTAGTTGTTGAAATGTAACTTTTAAACAGCTTAACAATATAATTTTCAAAAATATTTAACAATGTAAAAAATGTTTAGAATATTATGATACATTTGAACACTTGATATAATAACGAGAGAAGTAAAATCTAATAACGTCATAAAAATATTTTTTGGTTTTAGCTTAATATTTTTATAAGTAGAATAATAAAACAAAACAATTTTCCATAATTACATTTTAAAAAATAGTTTATGCGTCCGTGCATCTTTAGAAAAAAAGTAACAAAGACGATAAATTATATTGGACAGTGCAATATTTTTCTGTATTTTTTTTATATATTTCTGCCTGATAAAAAGCTATAATTTATTCCAATTATAATTTATTCCAAATAGCATTTGGTTCTCTATGTGAAGTTATTTGTACTTGCTTATCTCTGTACAAATGTTTACACATATTGATAGTTCTATCATGTTTGTAAATATTAATCATTTTCAATCATAACTATTCAATAGATATTTTGTAATCAATTTCTCACACATGTATATACATTAAATCGTGCATTCAATTTATAATCGATCGAAACGTAACATCGAAACATAATCAATTATAAAATCATACTATTTATAAATCCTGAAAAAATAAATTTGATAATTATTTTTGCTTTGTGTAATAAAAATTTATTTAAATCCCACTGTTTTTATCAAATTGTAAAACAACTTGTAAAACATTCTATTTATATTAATTTATTTAGAATATTTGTAGATATATTCATATCTCTCTTTCAGAGATATATTTAAAATAAAAACATATTAAAACATATTTTTAATAAAAATTAATAAATTTTCTTTATACATTATAAACAGAAAACAGAAAAAATAATCTATTTAATAATCTATAAGAGATTATATATAAAATTATTTATATTACAAAAATAAGTCCCATAGAAAATGTATAACTTATATACATTGTATGCTAATTTTTATTATAAATACATTTTTTATATAAGAGTTTTAACAAGGCTCTGTAATATAAATATAAATTTAACGTATAAGACGGGCAACAAGAGCCAAATCGCGGATGACAATGCGTTATCCTAACGAAACTAAATAATTTTTCGTTAGAATTAAATACCGGTGCACAAGGCACCAAATTTTTACTTGGACACGGCCAAGATTTTAAATATGAAATAATCTCATATTTTGAGATTTAATTTCAATACCCCTTTAACCCCCCTACGGAAAATAAATAAATGAATGCAAGAGAAAAATATAGATCCGAAAATCGCTGAATCGGGAATCGAACCCGAGACCTTTCGCTTGCCGGGCGACTGCTCTTCCAGCTGAGCTATTCAGATCCTTTCGATTCTATACTTTTCTCTGTTATATATATTAATGTTGGTAAACAAACGCATTTTTTAAGCCAGCGTGTATCAAATATAAGAGTTTTAACAAGGCTCTGTAATATAAATATAAATTTAACGTATAAGACGGGCAACAAGAGCCAAATCGCGGATGACAATGCGTTATCCTAACGAAACTAAATAATTTTTCGTTAGAATTAAATACCGGTGCACAAGGCACCAAATTTTTACTTGGACACGGCCAAGATTTTAAATATGAAATAATCTCATATTTTGAGATTTAATTTCAATACCCCTTTAACCCCCCTACGGAAAATAAATAAATGAATGCAAGAGAAAAATATAGATCCGAAAATCGCTGAATCGGGAATCGAACCCGAGACCTTTCGCTTGCCGGGCGACTGCTCTTCCAGCTGAGCTATTCAGATCCTTTCGATTCTATACTTTTCTCTGTTATATATATTAATGTTGGTAAACAAACGCATTTTTTAAGCCAGCGTGTATCAAATATAAGAGTTTTAACAAGGCTCTGTAATATAAATATAAATTTAACGTATAAGACGGGCAACAAGAGCCAAATCGCGGATGACAATGCGTTATCCTAACGAAACTAAATAATTTTTCGTTAGAATTAAATACCGGTGCACAAGGCACCAAATTTTTACTTGGACACGGCCAAGATTTTAAATATGAAATAATCTCATATTTTGAGATTTAATTTCAATACCCCTTTAACCCCCCTACGGAAAATAAATAAATGAATGCAAGAGAAAAATATAGATCCGAAAATCGCTGAATCGGGAATCGAACCCGAGACCTTTCGCTTGCCGGGCGACTGCTATGACGAAATGATACATTTAGTTTCGTCTCTATCTTCTTAACGCTTAGTGACTAAGATTCTTGCGAACAGTTAACATCTATTTAATATGTGCTTACTTCTGTCAGTCTTGCATTGTTCATCAAAACAAGCGTTAACATTGTCGGTAGTTTGCATAGAAGTTGATTTACTGTTTTAAATTTGATGTACTTGAAAAGGGCTGCAATGACAGCCGAAACGTTGTTGTATTTCAAATAATTATTTATAATAAATTATTGCCAGTCTGGTCGACTTTAAACATTGAGGAGTGGTTTTTTAAAAATTAATAAATTTTTTTACAACATATAAATCAAGATAAAAAAGTATAAATAAAAAATATAAAAATATAAAACACACAAAGATATTTAATATAAAATTATTAAAAATTCCTAAAATAATTATTAAAAAAAGTATTAAATTTTTATTATTAAAAAAAATGATAAAAAAATCGATTGTCGGAAGAAATAAACCAAGAAATTTATTCCATGCAACAATCGATTTTATTACATTTTTTAATAATCAGTTCCTATTAAATCATCATTAACAAATCGATTTAAATCTGTAAAAGTCTCGTTACATGGCATGTCATTATTTTTTATTGCTCAAAATTATTTCACACAATCTCCTAAATCTTTATCGGTTTCGCATCTTTGGCCGATTATTCTTAGGATGTCGTTCTTGGCTACTTGAGCTGGTCTTAAGGCCAGGCCGCATGCGTCGCGGCGCCTCGCCAACGCGTCTCGACGGAGAGAAGCCTAGCTTCAGCGACTATAATCCTTCCAATATAACGTTTCGAACTACGAACGCTGCTGTTTAGCTTGATAGTGCCGCGCCATATTGTTGTCCGAATAAACGCGAGAACAAGAACGAGGATTATTAAAAAAAAGATAAGCGAAAAAAAGAGAGAAGAAAGTGAGAAGTTTGCGCGTTCAGTTCGCCATTGATTATAAAAAATGCGAGTATCGCACATGGATACATAGGTACACATTGCTAACACGTGAAATAGAGAGATTTAAGAGTGATTTTATTCAAATGTTATCGTTGAAGAGAAATTTTTATTACATATGACGATCAATGAAATATCATAAAATCGCGTAATTTAAATTGAGATTGATTGCGCGATGGATCGAAATCGTTGTGAATTATACTGCGAAATCCAATATAAATGACAAATTATCATTTGGCATTCGATACATAGCGCTGGAAATAGATCATCATCGTATGCGAATGTTGATACTTTTGAGAAGAAAATTTGTTAATTATTTAATCCGGCTATTGTGGCACACAATACGCAATACTTCATTACTTTAATTTTTCTCGATTTAGAGAATTTTAATTATTGTGCAGATAAAATGATATAAAATTGTTACTCAAAATTCGAACAGTTTCTCGTGTAAAGGATCCACGTGCTTTTTATATTACGGAAATAAAATTATTATTGTATTTGCAAAATTGCATCTATATCGATGATCACATCTATTTAATTTGGTATGATGATGTCATCATAAGAAAAAATCTACAAAAAAAGTTGTGCGCAAAAATCAATATTAACATCGAGAAAGTGATTACATATTTCAGATTTCAGGACAAAAATCAACAAGGGTTATTATGTATTAGCAGCATTTATTATGATAATTATATATTAAATATTAATTAAGAGATTATGATGTAACGCGCGATCGTAATAAATTAATAAATCAATCTTCAGCAAAAGTAGATTAGGAAAAAATAAAATAAAAAAACAATAAATTTTAAAGCTATAATTTTGCATAAGTCTTCCGACAAACAAAAGTATATATATTGCAATCGTTAAAAAATTAATTATGTTGGCGTTAATTGATCGAAGTAAATTTTTTTTCGAAAGGACGATGACAGCATACAAGTTCTTAACAGATGAGATCAACACTTAAATTATTTATGACTTATGTAGTAGTTAACATAAAGATTATATACTATCACTATTTCTATGTTTTGAAAAAAGAACAAAAAAATAAGAAATTTTTTTGTATAGCAGATAAAATTTAAAAAATTGCATTTATCTTATAATTAGCTTTACAAGAATCGACGATATTTTATTTGTAATTTCCGATATTTTTTTAATTTTTTAATTAATCTTTCTGATAATTTATTCAATCAAAAATGATTTTTAAACAAATAATATCCAAAAATAATTACATTTTGCTTCGAGACGCGTTGATTATTATTATTATTTTTGTTTGATATTGAATAAAAAATAATAGAATTTGTGAAGAAATTCTCTGGAGAAATTGCGTGCAGCATCTTCGAATAGTATCTTTCTCGTAGTGTTGCATAGTTAGCTAGTTTCCCGTTGGTACATACTTTCTTTATCTACTTTTAGCCAAGGCTGCCCCAACTCTGCGACTTCGCCTGGGATCGGGCCAGACGAAAACACAGCGACACGCGCGCATTTCCGATTCTAAATCCGTCTCACCTAGCCGCAAATAATTGCTCTTAAAGCTCATCTTCGTGACATCTTTTTTACGCAAATCTTTAATGTAACACATTTACCCCTCCAATTTGTTAACAATGAAAATTATTTTTAAAATTACTATACACTACATCACACTTAATTTTCACAAATAATCTAATAATTTTTATTAAAAACTCATTAATTTTTTATAAATAATGATATCCAATATTTACTGTTATCTAAGTAAAATTATATAGATAATCATTTAAATGAAATTTGGCATCATCTTATCTTTATATAGAGATAATAAAAATATGTATTAGCTATATCTGCGTCTTAGATGAAAATAAGTGTTATCTAGAATAATGTTCAGATAATTTAGTTTAAAATCATAGCATAATATAAATATATTTTTATACCTTTTTTATAATATACATTTTTTTATAACTATGTTTTCATAAGCGGTCTTAAAAATAATATTATCTGAAAGTTATCTAAATAAATCATTATATAATTTTATCTTTTATCTTATCTTGATATATTTAAATTCAAATTACCTTTATCTTAGCTAAGATAAATTTTTATCTCATCTTTATCTAATTAATTTTAAAATAATCTAAGCGTAACATTCTTCACATTTATTCTTTCTATCAGGAAAAGTATTATGGAAATAAATATTTTAGTCTCAAAAAGATATAGTTTTATTTAAATAATAAAACTCTATCTTGAAAATCTTCCTTTAAACGTCCAATTGTATTGATTTATATTATTATGCATTCAACGTGCTTATATGATAAAAGTATAGTTTTAAGAGCCGCTTCTTCAATATTTCTGCAAGAGGCCTTTTACGCCATTCACCCAACAAATCACTGCTTGAATCGTCCTTTCAGACTCGTTGACTCGCTTCGTGACAAGTCCGAAAAGGCGAGCAAAGATTTGGAATCGTTCACCAACATCGAGCGTGAGATCGAGCGTTTGCGAAAACGTTTGAACGAGGCGCGCGAAAGCGCCTCGAATTTTTACGTTTACGGCACCGATCAAGACGCGATTGAGGCTGAACTAGGCGAGTTGCATTCGCAAGTCGAGGACTTCGTCGACACCGCGAAGAAGTTCTCGGGAAGCATTAAGGCGCGGTACCAAGCTAGCCAGCAGCTGGTACCGAGCGACATAACCCAGCATCTGACTGCACTCGAGCTTTGCGCCGAGGCGACAGCGCAGACGATGGAGGAGAAGCAGAGAGAGCAGAAACGCGCCAGGACCACCAGGTCGGACTATCTCGCCGACGTGGACGAGGTGCAGGCGTGGATCCAGCAGGCTGAACTCAAAGTGCAAAATAGATCGATCGAGCCGGCCGTCCTCAGGGAGCATCTGAGACAGATACAGAATGAGCTGGGTACGATTAGCGACAAGCTCGAACGACTGACGAGAAACGGGCAGACCATCGTCAAGAACACGAGGGACGACGCGGAGAAGGAGCTGATCAACAACACAATCGGCAATCTCACCGAACAGTTGGCACAGATCAGAAGCTGGCTGGAGGAGAAGAAACAAATGGTGGGCGACACCCTGGACGCCTGGCAGAGGTTCTTGACTCTTTACGAGGAGGTGAAGGCGTGGACGGAGGAGAAGAAACAGTTTCTAGTCGAGCCGCTCAAGCTCAGCACTCTTGTGCAATCCAGGCAAAGACTGCACGAATACTCGGTACGTGAAGAAACAGCCACTTTTTGCGTCCTAGGACAAGATATTCAGCTGACACTCATCTTCATTTTGTAGACGGCGGTCAAGAGCTGCAAGCAGGTGAATAAGAATCTTAGCGATATGGGCAGAGAATTAGAAAATATCGGTCAGGTAACCAGCGTAGGCGATTTGCCCGAAAAGCTGACTGAGGCGGAAGAGGGCAAAGTACAGGTTGAGGGTCAGCTATTGGAAAGGGTTAGTAAAAGCGCTCTCTTAAACTATAATAATTTAAACAATTGTCAATTAAATTAGTTAAACCGAAAGTCCCCGTATTGCAGAATGCATTGCTGCAAGAGGCCAGTGAGGAATGGGAGCAATGTGAGCGGAAGATGAAGGATGCGCGAAATTGGATGGAGAAGACCAGGCAGACATTGGAGTCGCCCCAGAACAAGAAGAAATCGTTACGCGATCAACACGCGATCCGCGAGAAAATGCTTAGCGACATCGCGATCCAAAAGACAAAGATCACAATCTCGGTAGAAAAACTCGAGGTGCACTTTAGGTCTGGGATCGGAGGCGATAATCGAGTAAGAAATTCCGCCGACGATTTGATCGCCGAACTCAACGCTCTTCACAACACCGTCAAAGAACAAACGAGTGCCCTGGAAGTCTGTTTAGCCCAGATAGATCAATATCAACAGGTTAGGAATGGGGAAAAGGGTCAATCGATCTTTTGTTTTGCCCTGAGACCACTGATCATTCTCTTTTTCTCTGTTTCGCGTGCGAAAGATTGTCTTGTTTCGTTTCAGGAAATCCAGCAATTGAGACAATGTATCGTGCAAACGGAGCAACAGCTGAGAACAGTGCTCAGCCCAACATATATGACGAGCGATCGAGAAAAGGCTTTCCAAGAGCAACAGGTAGGCAACCTTTCTTTCAATTACTTGCACAAATGCGCTATAGCAGCAGTTAATTTTGCACTTAATGACATTTCCGATACCAACTCGAAACCACCACCAGGAAAACGCGTTCCTTTATTATAGCTCTTTGCATTATTGTACACGCTATTGTCAGAGGTATTCTCTGCATTTTCACGTGCGCGGTTAGGCAAATTTGTTTTTATTTAAAAATAGTAATAGCACAACCAGAATGCACAGTAATTACTAACTAACCGTCGATCGAGCCACTAACCACTACTATAATTGCATCAACTAGAACAAATTTCCGAGTTATTTGCCATTTTATCTTATTAAATAGACAGAAATCTGTGTTTCGGGATATATTTTGATAAATTCAGAATCAGAATAAATTCCATAAATTTAATGATAAAAAGAATATTATTTGATCTTTTTTTCAATGCAAAATTAAACAAAAAATGGCCAATAACTATATGTGTAAACAACTACCAGCGAAAACATTTAGATGAAACATTTTCATCAAATTACAATTGAGTAATTGAAATCATTGAAATAACAATTAATTTGTATGAAAATGTTTCTGATATATGTATATTATATCCATCTTCCCTATCCTACTTTTCTTATGTACATATCTTATTTTTGTCCTCAAAACTTTATAAAGAATCACTAAATAAATCAACATTATTTTATTCGTTAATCCATTTTCTCTTGCTATTTGCGCTACATTAAATTTTAAGTAAATTACTAACATAACGCATACACAAAATTTTCTAAATTTTTAGTTTAAATTTTTATAACTAATCCTACAGATAACTTATATCACCTACTATATATATATATATATATATATATAATATTTTCTTAATTTGCCTATCCTATGCTTTTTATAATGAACAATGTAAAAATGGGAAATTGATTATTCTCTCTCTCCTTTATATGATAATAATTCTTACTTATTAGCAAATTAGAAATTAAATCATGAAAATTTTTGGTTTTACGTGTTCATCATGGTGGTACATTATTTACGAGGTATTGGTTGGTATCATGTTCTAACTATTTTGTTTCGTTACTTTCTTTCTCACGTTTATGTATACACATAATCCACTTCACAGACGTACGTACCTTAATTCCTGAACTTACTTAAACTTGTATCATTGTTCTGAAGGAGATTACTTGATTTTGCTTGTTTTTCCTGTGTTTCTTTTTCTGGGGTTTTTATTATTTTACTTAATATAAATATACTCTCTCTATAATAAGTTTTACTTCATCACACACGCGTATACTACTATTTTAGTACATATATTCGTTCTCACATGTATATATATATATATATATATATATGTGTGTGTGTGTGTGTGTGTGTGTGTGTGTGTGTACATACACAGGCGCGCGCGCGTGTGTATCTCTTTTGTTTGTGCGCGTATATAAATAAGCAACGTAAATAGCAATCACGCACATACGCCACTTAGGAAGAAAGACCGCAGCAAAGCGCGAAGTATTATCGCACATTCACGTAAAATGTGTTATGCACTGTTCGCATATATACACACATTCCTTGCGTAATCTTTGGACCTTAATCGAACCTAGAAAAGAGCATTTAAGAGTCACACAAAAATCAAGTGACCTCCGAATGTTAAGAAGCGTGTCGAGATCATGCGAGACACACACAGACAGAATGTCCAAGCCTTTTATTCTTGCGATTTATATTGGATTTTGTTTATTATTATTTCGTTACTCATATTTTACCAGTTATTTCATTTATGAATTTTTCTTTGCTATACTTCCTAATCCTCTACACCTGTCGCTACTTTATCTGTCACTATCACATCCTTTTATCTCACCACCTTTTCGTTATCGTATTTCGCCTCTCTTGTTCATTGTCTATGTCGTCCTTGGAATTTCTACTCGGGATCATCATTATTTCTGATCGTCACTTCTTCTGTTCTCTATACTCGTCTTCTTCTCCTCAATATCCTTGTTTCTTACTCCCTTTCTTTCGCTCGTTCGACGTGTTATGTGCTCTCATTTTGTGTTTACAATTCTACGCGCGATTAGAGTTACCGCGAGAAAATCAAATCCTTACAAAGTAAAATTCAGGCGCGCACTGAGAGATCTAAACTAATCGTACAACGAGGGACACCAAACTTAGAACCCTTGGATCCATGATAATAAAGATCTACTGCCGTTGGACAAGTCTGATTGTTGTTAACTTCGCTAATTAACTATACGAATCAAATCGCTTGTCTAGTCTTAAGTTTTGTAAGAACTTTATTTACTATCGCGTGACAATCGAAGAATAACGATGACGATAGCGGCCGCATGTCAAGTTCCATGTCTAAAACTTGATCGGAGGCAAAGACAACTAGTAGAAATATAATTTGAAACTCACGTCTCTTCGTCGTCGACGTTCCTCGATAAGAATCAAGCGATTACGTTTTTAATATCACACAACTTTTCTAAGTAAGAGTTTTTATCGATCACTGATTTTCTATAATAATAAATATCGCTCCACGAGATTTTGAACGGGATTATACCTTTGATAAGAAAAGAAAAAAAGAATTGTGTTATCATGTGTATATGAGCACGTGTCTTTCGTCCTAAATAGCCACACGCTATATAAGTAAGGAAAATAAAAGATCTATTTATTGCCAATCGGTTTATTCGAGTACGTTCATTCACGAATCCATTCAATTGACTTGCTAGATTTAATAGATATTTCCGATACCTGCGCAATTAAATCTTTTAGCTTTAAAAATGATATCTGTCCCTACCACCCCCACCCCCAATAAATATAAAAAAAAATCCTCGAAATTGATAGTATGTGTATTCCATTGTTATGCCTTGGCTGACCCTTCTGCGACGGATAAAGCAGAGCCTGCAGCAACGGATAGAGGATTGGAAGCAACGCAGCAAAACACTGCTGGATCAGATATATGAGGTAGATCCGTACTACGCGTCTTCAAACGAAAATCGGTTTATTGGTCAAGCCTCGTATGCCGATATCGCAGCTGGACGTACTAGTCCGAGTTCGAGAAACTGTAGCCCGTATAGACAACGAGACGTTACTCCTTCTACCACGGCCACGCAAGTATTACAACCTGTGTTTATACGAGTTCAGAAGTCGACTGTAGAATGTCTTCCATTAAACGAGGCACAAGTGTCAAAGGTACAAATTCAGGAAAGCGACAAACCAAAGACGCAAGCGCAAACCAAACTGCAGGCACAATGCGTGCAGACGATGGACAATCAAGCTACAATCGAAGTGGAAGAGAATCAACAGGATATACCCGAGGTCCTTGTCGAATCACCTGTAACCCATCGAGGACGATCGCCAACGCGGAAGATAAACTCGTCTACGAAAAACCTAATGGCGAAAGTGATTCAAGAAGAAAAGCTCGATAGATACGATAATCGTCGACTTAACGTGACTTCGAGGCAAGAAAAACGAGCAGAATCCGCAAAAAATACCCTGAAACTGCACGAGGAGCACAAAGGACGTTCACCCAGTCCTATGTGGGTTCCGGGTTCCACTTCTTATGCCGACATTCTTCGCGGATGTATACAGACGACGCAGGTTAACACTACTTTTACGGAATCACCAAGACAAGAAATGGTACCTTTATCTGGGGAATCTTCAGGAGGTCAAGCTCTACCACCTTGCACGGAACAATTTCCTATGAATGTAGACGAATCTCCACAAACCACCGAAACTTCGCAAGTCGCATCGATGCAAGAAACGCAGGTAGAAGACATACAAATCGCGGAGACTTATTCTCCTGAAACTTCCGTAGTGAAAGTAGAAGAGCAAAGCTACGCCGAATCTGGGCCGAGCAATTGGACCGATAAACATTTAGAAGATATGCTGCAACCTTATGAGAATCTGCCAAGACAGTCGGTCACCGAGACGGTGCAGTCAACCGAGATCTACGACTATATGGTGCCGGAGCCGATACCAAAGTTAATAGGTTTCATCGGGTCTCAGCTCGGAACATATCCGATGAGTTCGTACGTTTATGCATCTTCCGGTCATCAACAAGTCCAACAACTCGATACCGCAAACTTGAATCCTTATAATAACAGCTCTTTGACTTACGCGCCAGAGCATTACGTCGTGCCAACTGCATATCTTTCAGCATCGGATATTTACCAACAGACCCCAATGCAGCAACAATGTCCCGACGACACGAGACACGAGATTCCGATGTTGGTAGAGAAACCTGTTGAAGTGCCAATAGTTAGACAAGAAGTTCCTAAAGACGCGGTTGTAACTGAATCTGTCGATAACTCTAAACAAGAAGAACCTGTAGATATCTCAGAAACTTCTAGGATAACCGAAACGGAAGGAAGAGACGCGTTACCATCGAATGAGACGGAAATTAAAGAACAAATCTTTTCTTACGCTCAAATACTCTCGCAGGGACTCAGCCCGCGCACTACTTTATCAACACATGTCATCAATAAACAGGATGTCATCAACAAATCGCCGACCGTGGATCAACAGAATAAGGAGCAATCCTCTTTATCGTTTTGCGAAGCATTACCGTTGCAGGATCCCAAGTACGAGCAAGATTTAGATTCGATTCCGAGATCCAAGCAAGTTGGACAGTCCAAAAAGAACGATTGGGACACGATAAAGAAACGGGAGACCAAAAAGAAACAACTGAATGAAACTGAGCAAATAGATGAAAAGAAATCTCGAAAACTTGTCGATAAGTCAACAGAGAAACAGAACAAGGAAAAATTAAGCCCGCCAAAACAGTTGGAAATACAAGATAAATCTAACGTCATCAGTGATAACTCAGAAGAGAAGAAAAGAGAAGAAAAATCAATAGAACAAGAAAAACAAAATGATTCTAAAAAAATAAATCTGTCGCAAGAAAAGAAACGTAAGCAAAAGAAGAAAAAAGTACACAAATCTGTAGGAGATGAAATTGATAAAGCTCTTAAAGAGATTGAGGATATGGATAAGCAGAAAGTAAAATCTCAGAAAGAAAAGCTTAAAGAACAGATCGATGAACAAAACAAGTCTCAAAAGTCTGCTGACGAGGCGCTGGAAAAATCTAAAGATGAAGCTGACAAGAAACAAAGTAAATTAGGCGAAGCCATAAAGTCAGGAAAGTCTAAAAAAATGGCCAAAGTAAAAGAAAATGTATTACATGAACAAGTCACATTGCAAAGTCAGATAAACCCGAGCGATCAATGTATTTTAAAAGATAACATGGAATGTAAAGAAGATATAAAAAACGCGAAAGTTTTAAATTCTAACAACGAAGAGAAAGTTCAGAAAAATATTTCGAACAATATATTAAAAGATCAGCCTCAAATCGATAAAGATGTTTACATTAAATCTGATAAGCCTGATTTTAAAACAAAACATAAGAACAAAACAAATAAAAGCAATACAAAAGACAAAGGACAAAAAGAAGAATCTTTAGAGAATAAAGTTCAGGAGCAATCCGATATTCTAAATGATAAAACTGATGATAAAATCAATATCGATGAAAATAATGTAACAGAAATTACAGAACTATCAGTCGCTTGCAAACTTGAATTGGAAAAAGAAAAATCAAATGCAGTAGAGATTGAAAGCACAAAGAAGCACAAAGATACTTCAAAAAAGGAGAAAAATAAAATAAAGTCGAAGAAGTTAAAGCTGAACGCTGAAACTAATAACAAAAATCAAGAGAAACTTGAACACGATACTAAAGAAATAATCGATGATAAACATTTGAAATCTATTGAACCTATGATTAATACCGAAGTGACAAAGTCCGAATCAAAAACAATTGATAATGCAGAAATTGCTGATAAAGTAAATAGCAACGCGAAAAATAAAACTAATCCTAAAAAGAAAGACAAAACTTCTAAAAGTAAAATGAAATCTGAGACAGCAATCGATCATACACTATCAACAATTCCGACAAGTAAAGTTCAAGATGAGACTGAAATAAAATTGAATGAAACAGAAATCGAGAAATCAAAACATGAAAAAATCGATATTCCAAAATCAGAACAGATAACTGAAGCTAAAATTACAGAAACAGCAGTAATTGCCAATCTTGAGAAAATTCAATCGAAAGAAATCGAATTGACATCTAATACAGTTCCGCAAACACAGGCTATAGAACAAACTGATATTAAAATGTGTAAAATTGATATACATGAAGCTAAAGAATTGAATACAGAAAATAAAAAACTGGAACATGACCAAACAAATGTTAAATTAGAAACGGAAAACCTTATGAAAGAAAGTTCAGAGACTGCAGATATGACAGATGAGAAAGAAGCTATTGATAATGATATTAAAATTGAGAAAACTGAGACACACGAAACAGAGAAACGTCAAATAAAAACGGGGAAACAGAAAAATCTCAGAAAGCAAAAATAAATGCTCAAGATAAAAATAAAGTAAAAAAAGATAACATTGATTTATCACAAGTTGCTGAAAGCGAAAGTAAATCTGCTGGAGAAAAAGATGAACTTGAGAAATCTCCAAATGTATCTACGATAGAAAATATCGTTCAAGATCAATATATAGAAAAATCAAATGAGACTGAATCGGTATTAGTACCCGACAGTAGCAGTTGTCTTGTTCAATCAAAAATACCTGATACCGAAAATAATCTCAACATCAAAATAGACGAAAGAGAAAATGCAACTCTTGGCCAAGTAAATAAACGCGTGCCGTCTCTTTCTAAGAGCAAGAAAAAAGACAAGTCGAAGAGCAAAACTGTCATTCAATCTACATTGGCACATGATATAAAATCTGCAGAAACTGAATCGAAAGATGTAATTCCAACTGCAGTTGTCAAGTCAGATATATCAATAAAAGAAGATAATGAAGCTATAAAAAATATCAAAGATGTTGATAAACCAGAAGCAGTCTCTATTTTAAGTACAAAAGTTACATCAGGAGAAGAGATTGCTTCTACGGCATCTGAGAATTTAACTAAAATTAGTTCTGCTATAGAAACTATTCCTGTAATATCTGAATCTTCACCAGAGGTGAGTAACATGAACGTAAAAGAAAAAGATCAGATTGTTAAAGAAAAGAAATTTGATCATCATAAACAAAAACCAATTATCAAAGATGATAAAGATAATAAGACCGATGTTATCAAAGATTTTTCAATAAAAAATGAAAAATCAGAAGATGTTACATCTAAAAAACAAGATCGAAATGCACAAAGAAAAAGGAAGCCTCATTTCCTAAACCTATCACTGAACAAACAAAACATTCTTCTTCCTTTCACGACAAGCTCCAAGAAAAAATCGTTTTAAAAGATAATTTAATAAAGGAAAAAGAGATTTCTGAGCCAGCAAGTCCTGAACAAAAATTAGACAAAAATCCATCTTTGCTTATAGAAATTAATAATATTGAGACTAAAGAGACGCAAGAAACTAAAGAACAATTGCTGAAAAATGCTGAGGCTGAAATTAATCCTGAAATTTCGAGCGATTCGGTCGCCGAGGCTAAAATATATGAGAATTTGGAATCCGAACAATTGCCACCGATAGGAAAGGCTTTGATTATCGAAAAAACAGTTACTACCGTAACCACCACCAGTACCAGTATTCCAGGATCGATAAAAATCAAACCTGCCGATATCAAGTCCGTGAAGTCGGTAGAGATCTTAGAGAACATACCCCTACCCAAAATCGTAGGTTCAAAAGTTACCGAATTGATTACTTTGCGTCCTGAAACCGTAGAGGCTAGTCTCACTACTACTTACGCTAGGGTAGGAAACGATTTTCCCGTTTCTAGTTGTCCAACGCAATCAAATCGGGCGATAAATTTTGAAATAGGTCTAATTTCCGCGAATTCCACCGAGAACAAAATGGCGTCCGACGAATCAACTCCGCTTGATAGCACGCGAGATAAAAGGGAAACTTGCCCGGGCATTTCGAAACAGTTTGATGACGCGTCGACGATTATTGCGCTTGAAGATAAAGAAAAAGAACTAGTTTCTCATTCGGATGGTGACATGAAAGGACAGGAACAGGCAATTTTATTAAGTGAATCCACAATCAAACCGGAAAACATCCGTCAATCCGATATAAATGTTTCTGAAAGGGATCGCGAAGCAGATGATACGAAGGAAGAAGAGACATTCTCCGTTGACGTTATTTCACATAGTAATAATATTATAAAAAGTGAAAATATTAATAATTCTGTCGAAACGAATAATGTTACAGAAATTGATAAAATTGATCAAGTCGTATCTTGTATTCCGAACATGGAAAAAGAAGAACTAGAAGAAATTAAAGCCAATATTCAAAATATAATTCAAAATCAAGAAGAAGAAGTAGATGAACAAATAGAAACAAAATGTGAAAATAATTTTATCAGTAAAATAAAGAGCGAGAACATACCCGAAAATGTGCAGGCAGAAAAACAAATAGTACCTGATTATTTATTAGATGTTATTAAGCCTTATGCAATGGATCGTCACGCTTATAATCAAGCAGAAAGTAATTTTTATCGCAATTTTAAAGTAGTTAAAGTAGTAAAAGAGCTTCAGCCACCCGCTGCTGTAATTCAGACAAAACCAGAGGATATAGAAAAAATTGTACAAGAATCAGTAATGAAACCTAAATCAACAAATCGAGAAATGTCTGAAATTAATCGCAGAAGACATGCTCTTTTCATGGAGACACCAAAATATCCAATCAGCAGTTTTTACGAGATTGAGTCACAATGGATTAAAAATAAATCCATCTCTGAAAAATATATGTCTGTTTCAACTGACTCCGATTCCATAAATTCTGCAGTAGAAAAAATTGATGAAACTACTGAAGAGAAAACAACAGTGGATACAGAATCAGCCAAAGAAATTCAACAAGAAGAACAACAAGATATAACATTAATTAACTCAACTGCTGATACTATATTACTCACTAATGTAACAGAAGATTTAAATAGTACCGACAGTGATTCAATATCACAAGCAATTAACAAAAGTACAGAATTAAATGCCTCTGTTGCACCACCCATTGAAAAAATCCATAATATTCAGCTGACAGAAACTGAAATAACAACAGATACAAATGTACAAATAAAAGATGCTGTTGCGAAAAATAATATTAAGACTGAGCAAGAATTATTAGAAATTAAAACAGAACCGGTAATGCCATCCATAAACTTGGAATCTGATGATGCTTGGATGGCTCTTCTTGAGGAAGAAATAATACTTGATGATGACTTTGACGACGTTCCAGAAACTCGTAAAGATGTCGATGATCAAACTGAAAAAAAAGAAGAAGACATTGAAAAGGAAAAGCCAATTATTGAAAAACAAAAAGAAAAGATTGAAAGACAAGCAGAGATTGGAAAATCAGAAAAAGAAATTGAAAAACCAGAAGTTGAAAAAAAGAAATTATAATCGAAAAACAAGAAGAAGAATATGAAAAAAGAGAAACGATGATAGAAAAACAAGAAGAAAATATTGAAAAGGAAAAAGCAAAAATTGAAACTTTAGATAATGCAACTGCGATGGAAATCGCTGTTAAGGATGAATATCATACCGGTATAAAAGATATTCAGAGTGACATTTTGTATGTAGATAGCAAGAAGCAAAGCGACAAAATGAAGAATCAGCCAAAGAAGAAAAAGGAATCAAAACATATTAAAGATACAAAAACTAAGGACAATACAAAAAATAAAACTGGATCTAAAAAACAAAACAACGTTGAAATTAAAACAAATACTACTGACAGCTTATTGCCAACACAATGTAATTTAGAAAAACATAAAACATTGGAGAAAATAACTGAACTTGAAACAGATAAAATAGAAAAATCTTTAATAGCAGGCGAACAACAGTCCGAATCGTTCAAAGATGATGCAAAATTGGAACAAAAAGCGCAAGATACTATTGAAGAAAAACCGTCATTAAAATTCGAAGAACATAAATCAAAATCTAGTAAGAAACCCAAGAAGCAAATCGACAAATCCGCAACTAAAGAAAATTTAGCAAAACATCAGGATAATATGAAAGAAGATCACAATAACGTATTTCCAATAACAACGGAAGTTAAATCAAATGAATTTGAAGCATCATCGATTGTACAAAAACAAGAAGAATCAACAGGGAATAAATACGACAGTCCATTAAATTCGAATGCCAAATCGTGGGCAGCCATTGTCGGTACAAAAGATGTAACAGAACCAATTGTTTTGGAAGACAATTCTTTGAATAAAATATGCTCCATTATTTCTGAAGATCCAATAAATGCCAAGAATATTGAAGAAATTGTAGAAATTCCACCAAAACAAGATACACAGTCTGCTACATTAGAAATGAGCAAAGATGTTATTGAGGATATAAAAACGGATATAAAAATGACGGATAAAATTGTCAAACCGATCGCAGAAAAATCCATTGAGTCAAAGAAACAACTTAAAGAAGGCAACAAATCTTATGCGCAAGTCGCAGCCTCTTCTCGACGAACTTTCCCTCAATCTTCTCAAGAGAAAATATATGATATTCTTAATACACGTATAATTGAATCTATGCCATTGAAACCTGATCCTAAAATAAGCAATGCAAAAATACTCGATGAGATGCATGAAAACTTAACTACAGAAAAATTATTAGAACAGGATCAAGCTGATAAAATAATAGCACATCAATCTGTTGATCAAAAAATGGATACAACAAAGTCTAGTTTTCAAAGCGAATCAATTCCTTGGGTAGAAGAAATAGAGGAAGAAATATCGACACTTTCGTCTATCTGTGCTATTCCTACTGATTCAAAAGATGATGAAACAAAACCGGAAATAAATACATGGGCTGCAATAGTGGGCAAAAAATCCGTAGAATCGCCAGAAGTTAATAATATTCTTAGTCCTGAGCAAAATCTGACACAGATTGTAGAACGACCTTCGGCACAGGTTCAAATTTATGTAGAGGAGACCCTCGAACAAGAATCGATAGAGAATTTGATTCAAGTGGACGAACAAGGTTTCATGGAATTTGTTAACCGAAAAGAATTGCGCTCCAGACGTTCCAGATCACGTTCTCGAAGTGCTAAACGAAATGATGAACACGCAGAAACTTTAGATAGCGACAAGAAAGTTAAAACATCCAATGTAGGATCTGAAAATAAAACCAAGAAGAAGATTGAAGATAAAAATAAGAAACCTGTACAAAGACATGAGAACGAACAGAAAATAATTGTGGATCGCGACGAATTAATAAAAAATGTTAAAAAGATGTGCAAAATCTTCCTAAACCATCTGAAAAAATAAATGCATCTAAGAACAAAAATGCAGTTAAGCAACAAAAAGACTTAAATAAACGTAAGAAAGAAAGTGAGAAACCACTTGCTAAGAATAAAATTCAGATTGCAGAGAGTAAAATTATTGAAGAAATAAAACCCGAACAAGACAAAACATTTGAAAACGGAAAAAGTAAGTCGGAGATAAACGAGTCTAGCCAGGATCAAATAAAACAACCTATCGAAGTTGATAAGCAAAAAGAATTAACACAGATCGAGAAACAAGAGGAACAGAAATTTGTAAATGAGATGGAAATATCTAATCAGTCGCAATCGAGAAATATTGTCACTGAAAGTCAAGAAACTAAAAATATAGAAGACCAATCAATAAAAGAAACACAATTAATTGAAGATATAAATATACAAGAGAACAAATATAAAAACGGAAAAGAATTTTTAGTTACAGAGCAAAGTAACACTACAAAATCTAAGAAAAAATCAAAAAATAAAAAAGCAAAAGTCATTACTGAGCAATTGATTGGAAATGTTTCCGATGTAAGCAAAAAAGAGATACCAATTGGAGAGTTGGAAGAGAAAAGGGAATTACTAGCGGAGCCAAAATTAGATCATGAAGTAAAAATAAAACTCGAGGAAGCCACTACTAAAGATATAACACATAATAAGTCTACGAATAAAAAAATTCCAGCAGAGGAGAATAAACAAGAAGATATTAAGCAGCAAACTACTGATGAAACTACAGAACAAAAAGCATTGAGCAGAACGTAATTGATGAATCAAAGAATACAAAAATGTGTGAAGAATCATACATAAAACAAGTAGAGGAAGACAGAAAGGAACCAAAAGAAATTTCTAAATTTACAAAAACGGAGAAACGAAAACAGAAGAAAAAAACAAAAGCTATAGTACAAAGTGAAGAAGATGAGAAAAAAGAAGTTGAAATAGAAAAAGATGTTGCCCAAGACAAATTCATCGATTCGTTTAGCAACACAAACATTATTGAAGATACTACAGTTGAAAAGACGGTTGAAATTACAGAAGAAATTGCAAATATTACACCATTAAAAGATAAAATAGATGTTGCAATTGTAAAGGAAAGTGATGAATCGTTAACTGATATACAAACTGCACAAATAGAAACAACTGAAAAATCTTTAGAAAAATCCGAAGCTGTAATCAAAATATAACATTACTTTTGCAAATAAATCCCATAAAAGATAAAGAAAAACAGAAAAGTAAAACTAAATCTAAAAAGAGAAACGGAAAAATAAATCTCAAGAGACATTTATGGCTGATTCTACGGAAAATGAAACATTATCTATTGCAGAAAACACTACTGAGATTACAAACATCTCTAAAGATATAAGTGATACACAGGTTGAGGAAGATGTCAAAAATAAAAATTAGATAATGAACCAACTGAAATTTTACAATCTTCAAAAGACACAGTTGAGTTACTTGCATCTTCTATAAAAAAGGAAATAGTTGAAATTCCACTATCATCCGAAAAGAGAGATGAACAAAAATCCTTGAATGACGCTGAAATCGAAGATAAACAAGAGTCTAAGGAACAAGAAAATTTATTAAAATGTTCAATGGAAGACATTACTAGTATTATAAATGAAAATGTATCGACTACCAGCAAATTGATTGATGTAACTACAAAAGAGACAGAATCAAATTTTGATAATTCAACGGAAAAGGAAAAAAGTGTTTCAACTGAGACGAAATTTAAAGAAAACCTTGAAACGTCTAATGAGGAAACAAAAGAAGAAATCAATCATAAACAGAACACATATGAAGAACACATGAAAACATTAGAAACAAATAATGCTGCAGAACTACCTGTAGATTCGGAAAAGATAAAACCAATCACGGAGAATGAACAAATTATACATCAAAAAGAAAAGCTCGTTGAACCCGAGGACGCCACATCCGATTATGACATCACTTTGACAATGGTTGATACAAAACAACAAACTGAATTGCCTGAAATAGAAAAACCCCATTCCAAACCTGATGATGACACTTTGGAATTGTACGATATTACGATAGTTGACAGTGATCAAATAAAATCAATAACAGACAATATTGAAGCAGATAAACCCGATGAAATTGAAGTAGATAGGTCCAATCAACAAGAGAACTTTGATGTTTCGATCGAGCCCGTCAAACCACCCAAAGTACAATTCTACATAGCGGATGAGATTTTAGTTTTAAATTCTGATCGACGGAGAAACGTTCCATCGACATCTATTCCGCAGGAACAACCCACCACCCAATCCAAGCTACACAATTCACAATACCTTTCCATTGACCATGGTTTTTGGCTTGACAAACGATCTTATCATGAAGCTGAACGCGATCACTTCGAGAACTTAGCTATTTGCGCAAAGAAAAGAATCTCGCGCGGTAACGAACCAAATTCCGACGATCGTAATCGTCCCAGAGATCACGATGACGATGGCGACGGCGACAATTCGGGCGGTAGATCACAGCGCCCTCATAGCGACTCGCGTTTGTTCTTCGGCGGACCCCAAACGGAGCGTATGATAGCCGATCTGCCGGGTGGCATATGTAGCTGGAGAGACTATAGCACTTACTTATCGAATGAGAGCGAGCGAACGCCGGATCATAGCTTGTCACTTGGGACAGTCGACAATCAAACGGTTGAGTCAGACTCCTTATTGGATTATTCCAAATTACCAAATGATGACGTTCGGTTATCCCCTGATCGCCATTTAACATCTCCCTTCTCTCAGGATCCAACAAAATCTCTGGTAGACCTAGTTTCCGAAGTAAATCCCGAGTATTCCGCTGTATCTTTTTCTAATAGTTCCCAAAGTTCCGATCCTAGCATTCGCATCCAATCGTCGGCCTTTGCCCATCTTCGTCCACGATCCAAATTGCATTTAGGTAAAGAGACGTGGCAAGATCCCGTGCAGCGGTGCAATTCAGACGAGGAAGCGGAGACAGAAACGATTGCCGAAGAAAACAAGATTGAAAACAGGATACGCAGGATCCAGGTGCGATCACCGTCATGGCCAGTGTTCGGTTTTCTCTAGTCGAGTTTGAATCAAGTTCCATTGTTCATATATGTGTATATACATATATATGTATATATACTTGTTACTTGATTTATTACTAGTTTTTTCGTTCCCTCTCTTTTTCTCTATCTCTCAGGGTGCGATTTTTACTTTATAGACGCATTTACATTTTCTATTCGACATGAGAAAGTATAGTGTAACTTTCTTAAGTCCAGTTATTGTCCGTCAAAACGTTCCGCGTTTCCGCGCGTCCATGTAATCGCACCCTCATTTTATATAACGATTACATTTTCCTATTCGATGAGTCCAGTATGTGTAACTTTCTTAAGTCCAGTATGTGTAACTTTCTTGTGTGATTCATCGATATAGCGCGCATATATATATACGTATTTGTGCGTGTGTGTGTTTGTTTATGTGTATTCTTGCTCTCTTCCCGCTTATTACATTAAATTATTGTTATTGTAATTCTACTTTAATCTCACATAGCAGCACATAATTATAATTAATCTCATATAGAGACAGCAGAATTAAAATTAATCAATAAAATATATTTTTGTCTTTTGCATGAAATAATAATGACTCTATCATTTTTCTGCATTATATGTATATGTATGCTATATATATATATATATATATATATATATATATATATATATATATATATATCAAAATTATCTGCAGTAGAATGTCTCTTCACATTACACATACTCCAACATGCCAACCTTTCCATTATTATACATAGCTTGTAATATCAAAAGTTGAATATATGATATATAATGGAACAATAATTTATATAATAAAAATTATTAGCAACTAGTAGAGAATAAAAGTTGATATGCATTTTTAATTCTCTTGACTTTTGACTGCTGGCGATTTTATGTGATTTTAGGTCTTTGCATTTGGATTGCTTAGCAAAATATTCATTGACATCTTGCATGAAGACTTTTCCATACATGTAATAAGAACGTTTATGCAGACTTTTATAATAGTTTTGAAGAAGTTGTTCTCATCGATATCGCCTTCTTAAATGTGTTTTATATTGTGCCATTTTGTAATCTTACCCCATGCAACACCTTCTTTTACAGGTTCTAAAAGTTTTTTTGATGCTAATGAAATTAATACGCAGCGTGAAAGAATTGATTGGACTCCGTCGTGTTCACAGCATAATTAAGACAGTAACAAATCTTACAATCGACGATGTGAAATTAATTAACAAGCATTTATGTTTTAGGATACTGTTGAGGAAGGCCTCGTTTCTCTGCAAACCAGACTTACGAGTTTCGAAGAAACAATGAATTACTTGCCTATGGACAACATAGAATCCATGCTGTCATCTCTCATGGTAAGAATGTAAAAACGACATATTTAGGCTAAATTGAACGAAGAGAAAAATGAAGAACTTTTATCATTACTTTATATTGTCATAAAAAATCGAAAAAAAATCCTCTTTATATCTACTTTAGACTATGTTGACGGAGCTACGCACCTATGACGAGCAGATTACACAGCTTCAAAGGAGATTAAATGAGATTCCTGCCGATATTGAGTCTCAAAGGCTTTCGATAGCTTTGACGGAAATTCACACCCGTGTAACTTCCCTTCTCAACGAAGCAGGACAAGGACGGGTCGCTGTCGAACAGGCGCGAGTAGAGCGAGAAAGACGCGGCCAAAAGATTCAAACTTACAAATTATTCCTCGAAGAAACAGAGACTTGGCTAAGAAACGTCGTATCGAAAATCGACGAACAGCATTCGCTTAACACCAACAAGGTCTGTTGGATCACGTTATTCATTGGCATAAATTAATTATAATAAATTTGATCAAGTACATATATATTTAATTATTTGATCCAATGATTGTTAGATCTAATTATCTATTAGACCTAAAACATCAATATATTTAATTTATAATAACTGCACGCGTGAAATAATAAATACTGATGATTCGCTTGTCGCAATGGGCAGATTTTACAGGAAGAATTGAGGAATCGCGCGAATCGTGTCTCTGAATACGAGTCATTACCGGAAGTGAGCGCGCTGGCGATAGGGCTGAGGAAAGCCCTCGTGAATGCGATTAATCAGCTCGCACAAAAGCAGCAGGTATTCAACGTTTTCCAAAGTTTGGGGGCTTTCGCAAACATCACTCTTTTTGGTGCCTCGATCGCTTAAAATAATATTACAAAGGATTCAGGATCATATTACTTCTGGTCTCACAAGAATTAGTCGAAAGATCGTGCTTATAGAAAAAAAAATATCTGAAAGACTTGAGATTATTTTACAAAATTAATGGCGAATTAAGAACTATAAATGACAAAGATAAAATTATAATAAGCCATTAATTAATAACTATGCATAATGAAAAAGAATTTTCGGATGTGTGAACAGCCGATAAATCTGCATCAAAAATTCCTGCCTCTTATTTGGGTTCTGAAGAATCTGAAATATTCGCTTGTTTTGATAATATGCATAATATTTAATAATTATGAACGATGAACGCTAAATTCTTTGTAATAAACGGTAATGAACAATGTTCGACAATATGGTACAGGCATTCTAGTCATCGAGCTTAATAAAATAATTTCTTTTGCACGGCTTACGGACACAAAAGTAATTCTATTATATAGAAAGCCTTATTCTGGGTATATACATTTACATTATATTTTTCTTTATCATTATATCGCTGCAAACAATCACATGCGCTTCTCATCACGCACATTTCACTATAGATATCACGTATCGTACATTATTTCATATTGTTTATTTATTGTACATTATTTGTATCATGACTGTTATGTATTTTTCTGTTAATTTTAAGGTGATGGATGTAGTATAGGCATTGCATGTAATTAGTAAATGGAATGTTAATACATTGCTGTAATATGTCATGTTAATTAAAGAATTCTCATTAATATCCCTGTTCCTTTTACTCTCCATTGTTAATCATTATAGTGTCATACCCAGCGATGTGAATAATTAATTAATGGTAATATATTATTATAAAAATGATGTCTACGTAAAGTATATACTGTTGTATATACATTATATTTGTTTGACCATTAAGATTCGACACAATAAGTGTGCGCGGGTAATTTATCTCGAAAATATTATACAATTCCGTACAAAATAATACAACAAAATTGATCAAATTAATCGATAACTTTAATTAAAATAATTAAATATAAAGCTCTAAAAATATTTCAAGGCTTTTTAATATTAAATATATAAATATAAGACTTTTCTTATATAGTTGTATTTATATATTAAATATAAAACTATTCTCCAAATTTTTACTATTGTACATATATTTATTCATATTATTTATTATTATTAAATATATATGTAAAGATATAATATATGTATATATATATGTATATGGAAAATCATTTATATATATGTATATCTTACATATTTATTATTTTATTTTATTATATATGTATATACTATATACATATAATTAGCGAATCTTAAATTAACATATAATTAGAGAACTTAAAAAAATATATGTAAAGATTTGAAGATATAGAGTGTATAGTAAAGATACAAAAAATAATAGAAATTTTTAGTCTCTACTTCACTATAAAAATTATAAATAGAAAATTATAAAAACGAAAATTATAAATAGTTTAATTGATGCAAGCTATTACATATTCAAATTGTTTCTTTAAAAACGATTCATTAAAAAAACAAAAAGAAACATGTTGCCAGAAAGATAAATATATTGTATCGCTATAAAAAGATTAGTTTGTTGAATCGTACATAATTCCAATTAAATAAAATTTATATCTTATTCCAAATAAATGTGTAGTATTTAATTTGAGTTTCTATTCTGATTTGTTTAATAAACAAAGTTTTACATATTAATTGCATATACATACATATATACAAAACTAATTTCATTTATCCATTTTCTATTTTATTTTATTTATTTTCCATCATTAAAATAAATAATCAGTAACAATAAAATGACGCGTTTTTTCAAAGTCGAAATATAGAATATATATTTGTTCGCACGCGCGCGCACACATACGTACAATAATTATTCGAGATACAATACTGTAAATAGATGTTCTCCACATTTCGCTCAGATTTCGTGATTCATGTCCATTGTCGCCATTGCTGTAAATGTAGATTTTTACAAATAATTGTTATCCTCGTAGGAAATCTGCGATGAACAAGCTCAAGCTGATGATGAATCAGAGAAAGATAATGCTACTTTGGATGAAGCACCCTCAATTAATTCCTCCATCGAAGGCGGTCCGCCATCTTTGGCTGATGTTTCGTTACAAACGGGTCAAAGTTTACTAATCGACGACGTTGTGGAGAAGAAAGCCCAATTCACAAAACAAACATCTACAACGGAAATTCCATCGACTACGTGTCAGTCTCTTACGACGCAGACAACCGAGGTTTTATTACCGAGCGAGGGCGCTCAAACTCAAGAGGCTATAAAGATCCTAAAGACCACGAAAGGCGATCACGATGTAATCGAGATAGCGACCAAATACCTGCCACCTAATCTCACCCAAGAGTTGGTGCATCAGGAACAATCTATTTCTTTGCCCAATGAAGACATCGTCGTCAACATGAAGTATCAGGACGCGAAGAAAACCGACAGTGCCACCAGCGAACTGAACATCGTCCATGTTGCGCCGCAGTCTTTTGAGACGATCCTAGTCGAACCGGATGATATTACTACCGAGGTAGTTGTCGATGCCGACGGCACCAAAAGAATCATCGTGAAAAAATTGCGACGTACTACCACGGTCAATAAACAAACTACCCAGCAACACATGTCCACGTTGTCGACGGCACTCGGAGACGCGCCGCTGATGATGCAAGCTTACTCGGAGGCTGCGATGAGAGATCAGCAAATCACCGTGACCAAGACAAGACCAGATGGTACCATAGAGACTATGACGAGACAGATTTACGGCGGCAAAGTCACCACAGGCGCCTCCGCCGAAAGTATCAATGTGGAAGAATACGAATCCGAACCTCGGTACACGCACATGGTGACACAGGGCCAGATAGGAGATATCAGTTGCCGACCGATCGAAGAGGAAATACTGACGGAGGGTGGTGAATATCAAACAAGGACTTCCAGTGTTCACGCCATGGTACAGCAAGTCACTAAGCGAATCATTAAAAAGACGCACAGAATTATCCGGAAAGTTACTATTATAGATGGCAAGGAAACTACTATCGACGAAGTGATCGAAGAGCCTGAAGAGATAGAGATAAACGAACAGGATATACCGCACATCAGTATCAATGTGGTTAAAAGCGAGGATCAGAAAACTATACTCCCGGCGAGAGAAACATTCGAAATACAACAGCAAAAAGCAACAGGATCAGAGGTCCCAATAGAGCGTACTCCTGAGAGTTCGATGCAAGGACCATTTTTTGGACCGTTTGCTAAGGATATAGCGAGTCAAGCTAAAACAAAAGAAAAAATCGCAGAGAAACCGACCACGGAAAAAAGTGATGGCATCGTGGAAATTGACACATTGAACATTGTAGATAAAAATATATCGTCAGAAGAACCTTTAATGACAGATTCTAAGACAAAGTTAGCAGATTCCGAACAAATTGCAATGCTCTCTCCTCCAGGAGAACATGTATCAGAATTGGAAAATTTTATTAATGTTCCAGATGATGAAAACGTTTCTACTGTACAACGTGATGAAGATATAATACCAAAAGAAATTGAAACACAAGTGATGAAAGAATGCGAACATTTCTTGACTGAGGTAAATGACATAAATACACTCGTTATTGATAATCAAGCGCTAATTGATGCTGAACGATCTGCCGTTTTGCAGACTCCTGTCGAAGAAATCCCTGTTTCACAGACAGTACAACCGGAATCTCTAAAATCGCCATTAGAGCCGACCGTAACAGATGACGAATCGGTGGTCCCCAAGACTACTTGTAAGTCTGACGATGCACCAATAAAATTCGAAACACCCAATATCGAGCTAGAAAACGGCACGGTAGAAGTAGAAATGCACCACGATGTTAGCAGCACTGTAGAAACTGATACAAATGTCGATATATTGAATGTCATTGTGTTAGAAGAGAAAGACGAAAAGGAAGGAATATTACAGAAAGACGAATCACCCAAAAGTAAAAAAGAAGATATAATCTTAACATCACTTCAACAATCGGAGCCACAAAATGGATCGATCATTCTATCGAGTGAATTGGATATTGTTAAATCTAACGAATATACAGAAATATCAAAAGATATCGAGACACCACTAAAAGAACAAGAAATATCAGAAGAAAAAGAAGAAGATAATCAAAAAGATGTCGAGACACCACTTAAAGAACAAGAAATATCAGAAGAAAAAGAAGAAGATAATCTAAAAGATGTCGAGGCACCACTTAAAGAACAAGAAATATCAGAAGAAAAAGAAGAAAATAATCTAAAAGTTATGGAGACATCACTTAAAGAACAAGAAATATCAGAAGAAAAAGAAGATAATCTAAAAGATGAAGCACTCAAGCCAGAATACAAACCGGGATTCCATAAGATTGAAATATCTTTATCTGTGAGTAAAGAAGATGAAGAAGTGGAACCATTGGTGTCCATCAAAACCCAAGCAGAACAGTCCGAGATTGCTCCGTACAGCATAGTCAAAGAGAATGTAGACATTAGTCTTCCGACAGATAAAAGAACGACAGAAGTAATATACGATAAGATTGTACAAACTAGCGCTTTTCTTACAGCTGAAAAGGGAACGGAAACTATACAACAAATAGTTACGGCAGACAAATTTGTCGATGTTTACATTGAATCCCCAGAGCAAAGCAAATCAGACACGACGAGTGATGAAAATAGAAAACAGCAATATTACAAAGAAAAGTCAGAGTCCTCAGAAAAACCTGTAGAAGAAGAATCCAGCACTTCTATCGCTACATCGATTGCTGAATCTGTGGAGATTAATGTTCCATCATCTAATTCGTCTAAACATGTTAGTGAACAGCCGCAACCGGATGTTGCAGAAATTATCAAATCTATTACTGAATCGTCTTTAAGCTTAGATGAATGTTATTGTGGCCGAAGAAAATGGCTATCAACCAGATGATAATGACGTATTGTCGATTACATCGAAAGATGATCATGGCATAAAAAGAAAGAGAAAAAAGAAGAAAAAGCAAAAGATTCGATTAATTCAAGATGAAGATCTAACTCAAGTGCCTAAAACCAGTAGTGATGATGCAACATTTACAGATGATAGATTTTCTTTAGATAGTCCTAAATTTGAAAGAGAAGATAACATAAAAGAAGACAATGTAATAAAAGAGGATAATAAAGCAATAGAAAGAGATGATTTAGAAAATATAATAAAGCAAGAGGATCAAGCAAAAGAAATTAACGTTGAAGAAACATTAGAAAAAGAAAGTATTATTGAATATAAAATTGAGTTAGATGACGCAAACACTCAAACGACTATAGAAACATGCGATGTTTCGACTTCACTTACTCCAAAGATAGAAAAGGAAAGCTCCTCCATGTCTATGCAAACATCTCCTGAACCACTACCATTAACTTTAGAAGAAGAGATTCAAACAGATAAAACTGAAGAGATTCATAATGAAACGCAAACAGTTTAGAACCCACACTTGATCTTATCGCGCAGAATATCGTGGAAGAAGCTCCGGAAGTCGAAGATTTGGGCATACAAACTATGACACCCGAAACTACGCCGATGGAAGAGTTTGCTATTCAAACTAGTCCAATCGACGATGTCCCTATAATCGAAACGGAAGATTCTCAAGCACAAACAATTGGAATTGATGTTTTGTCTACAGAAATGCAGACTTTACCTGTTGAAGTAGCTTCAATGATAACAGATGAAACTCAGACAATAATAAATACTGCGATGGAAGTCGAGCAACAAACTACTCCACCACCAATGGCAGAGAAAGTCATTCTACAAGAAAGTGGCATTCAAACATTATCTCCAAAAGTACCCGAATCTTTAGAAAAAGATGTACAAACAAGTGTCTCGGCTAGTCCGGAACAACCAGAGGTTTTGCATACAGATACTCAAACAATCGCAATGCTTGAAGCGCCTACTGAAACAATTGAAACACAAACAACACCCGAAGAAAGTCCTCGAGAGCCGCAAGAAACCGAAATACAAATCAAATCAATCAAAGATACTACAATGCAAACGAGTCCAACCGTTGTCAGTCCAGAACCTGTACAAGTATGCGAAGAATCTATTCAAACCATCATCGAAGAAACAAAGCAGGAAGAATCACAGACTAGTTTACCAGAGGAAAGTCAAACCTTCGATAGTTCGGTGCAAATAGAAACAGAAGACCTGATACCACAAATCGAAAAGAGTGTACAAAATATTCCTGACGTGTGTGAAATTAGCGCACAAACTTCATTGGAGAAAGAGAGTCAACCGACCGAGATGACATCAATATCTCAACAAACAACATCAATTCCAACTCATACCGTTGAGATATCTACGGAAGATTTTAAAATAGAAACAGCTGAAAAAGAAAATGCGAATGAAGCGCCCATTTTAGAGGAAGCAATCAATTTAAAAAAAGAAAAGAAGAAGAAATAAAAAGAAATAATAGAAACTTCAGCAGCACCTGATGTACAAGTACGAAAAATAGAAGAGATAAAAGAGGTAGAAGTTGTGAGTGACAAGCTTTTTACAACGGTTCCAGAAATTGTCGAGCAGAGAAAAACATCTGTCGAAAAAGAAATATATCAACTTTCTGAAATACCTATTGTAGAAGATAATTTAAAATCATTAGATATTAGCGCGAAAACGGAAGAGGCTACGATATCGGAAAGGGACACTACTCCGGATACATCATTTGAAATTCACGTTCACACGACCATAGAACTATCTGCCAGTGACACGCTCGATAGTGCTACATCTGCTAGCAAAGAAACGTCTGATAGTTCGCAGGACACAACAATTACCGAAGATCTCAACAACGAAGCGGATATTGAAGATCACAATAGCAAGACAATAAAACGACAAAGAAGGAAGAGAAAGCACAAAACCATAAAGCTCAATCTGTCTAAAGACAAATCAGAGTTTGAATCCATATCTGAGCAACCAATGCAAACCCAAGATACTACCTTGAAATCGTCTTCATCAGATCAGATCGAATTAGATCGAATGAAATTAGAGGATATTGCATCGAAAACTATAATAGAAAGTACGACTCAATATGCTGAAGAAGATAATCAGGACATACCAGATATTTCAACTACTTTGAATCAATTTATGATCGATTCAAATTACCAAATTCCAGAAACAACAGCAATACCGGAAGTAGTGCAAACACCATCAGACCACGAAAAATCGTCTACAATTATATCTACACAGTCGTCTCCTGAACCAATGGATACCACTGAAGAGCCAGAAATCGAGCAAACTATTTTCAGTAAAGAATACATTAAATCAGAGTTTCAAACAGAGCCTACAACATCGCCTGCAACTTTCCTTCTAGAAAAATCTTTAGAATATGATATCAAGTCACAATATCAAAGAATACCACAAGCGATGCAAGCTGCTAAGATAATAACTGATCGAGTGAAGACTCTACAGAACACAAACGAGTCAAGTTACCTAGGTAATATTTTACACATTGCACATCTCGAAGAAGTCACCACGGAGAAACTCGTGGAAGAACGCTCGTCGGATGTTCGCAAAGAATTGGCGCAGCTAAGAAATGCTGTTGAAGAGAACGACGTGATAACCATCGAAGAATCCTTTGTCACCATCGTCGAAACAATCTCAACTTGGCTGGAAACAATCGAGTACCGAATCTTTCTGAACAAAGAATGTCCGACTGGACCCTCTCACGATGATGCTAAAATGTTCATCGAATTAAAAGACGAGATGAATCATGTCAAGGAAAATGTTTGCGAGCTCGATGACATTTGGAAGCAACTAGAGCCGAGCTATCCGGAACAAGAACAGGAAAGATTACAAAAATGTATGAACGCTCTTGAGCACCAAATAGAGATTATCGAGCATTTTACAACTAATGGAGAGGAACATGCTAGCAGACAACTCGCAAGATGGGACGAATTTCTGAACGGCCTGAACAATGTGTATAGGTAAGATATCTCATGCAAAAATATTGATAAATGGCAATATTGATAAATGATATTTTATATTTTTATTCGATCTAAATTCAGAAACAAAATTCGAAATAATAGAAGAGAGAAAATTCAAATAACTTTAAGGGGATTCTAACGCCTGTTTTATCGCCGATAAAACAAGACGATGTTAGAATTCCCTTAATATTATTTAATACGAATTTTCTATATTAAAATATTCAATTTTACTTACAGACTAATCGACGAGCAACGTAAACAACTGGATAACATAATTGAAAGTGAATGTTCCACACGCTGGAAATTACAGGAACTCGATAAATTGGAAAACATAAATCGCTGCCACATGTCGAAAACTAGTAAACTTCTCAATATCACTTACGAATTATTGCGCGATTATCCAGGCAAAGTTATACCCGACGAAACTTACGCCGCACACGAAATGACGAAGATCATCGAACATAGTGTGTATGTCGAACGAGAGCGTCTTCTCCAATTGCTTGTTTTAGCTGAAGAATATGAGCAAACGCTTCAGGAATTCGCGCAAATCACCGACATTGCTGAAAATCTACTAGCCAGTCCGATATCAGTAACGAATCTGGAATACCTTCAAGAGGAGATGCAGAAACACAGAAAGTTCTTCGTCAACTTGAATCACTGTCGCGCAATCCTCGAATCGTTGGAAGGCAATCTTGACCCTGAAACTAGAGCCAAACACTCCGGTCTGCACGAAGAGCTTCATGATAAAGCGACAGCATTGCTCGATCAAGCAGCTTCAAGAGCGCAACAAATGGCATTGGCCGCGTCACGATGGATGTTATTAGAGCAAAGTGTGAAAGAAGAGAGAGGATGGCTCCAAGTTGCGCATCAACGGGTTCCTGATCTTCAAACAGTCACCTCGACCGACTACGATCAATACATCTCTTTATATCAAGTTAGTAATTTACTACTTACAAAAAAATTAAAATATTTTGATTTTTTAAATTATATTTTGATTGGCTATACAAATTGATAAATCCTTTTCTATAATTAAAGTATTAATATTAATGTACCGCGCAAGCTTATAATTTCAGGTAATAAACAATCCGTATAGCCAATAAATAGATTTATAATCGAATCTAACCTCACTTTTTGATCGATGACACAAAACTACTCCGGCATCCTCTTAAGGCTCCTGAGTCCTCGCCATGTTGTGACGTCAGAGGCGAGAAAACACAGGCTAAAAATTCTTACATGCCATTTTTAGATAAAAAGATACTTCAACATCGCCGGCGAGGGCCCAGGAGCCTTAATTATTCTATAAAAACTTAAACGATTTGTTAATTTGTTACGTTTTAGTCTCTATCATCAGACGTAGCAACCCATCGTGCACGATTAATTCAATTATTTGAGGTGGCCTGTAGTCTTCGCGACCTTATTAACATCGAGGATCCCGAAAATCGTTACGGTGAAATCTTGGACGTAATTGTAAAACTGCAAGACAACATTGAATCCTCCTTGAGAAGATTGCTGGCCTTCAGAGAGAGTTGGAATAACCAAGAAACATTAATGAGCCGTGTGGAACAGTGGATGACAATGGCTGAGAAGGAGCTCGCCAGATTACGTCATCTATCAGGAAGTTCCATACGTCAGTTCTGGGTAAGCACATTTTTGCATATATTGTAAATATATTAAATATATGATACCCAATAATCTTAAGCAAAAATATTTATTGGTGGTCTGTACTCGTACATACATTAAGATCACGGTTTCCAACGCATTTGGCCTCGTGCCATTAAAAGCATATGGCTTCGTCTTCGAGAGTCGTATTTTTAGCACAATTAAAACGAAAATCTTACGTCATCGTTATCGTCTCGTCATTTTTTATCAAACAATTTTTTATCACATTTTTTTTATCTACGAATTTTAATACAAAAATATCTATGTATATACATATAAGATATGATTTCTTATTTTAAATAATGCACATGAATATCTTAAAAACTATCAAGAAATGTGGCTCAGATAAAATTGGATAATTTTAAAAGAGAGATATCTCTAATATTAATAGTTTTATTCTAGATCAAAATGTAGAAAAGATATGTGAGAAACCCAACTATAGTTTTGCGTTAAGAGTCAAATTCAGTCCCCAAATTAAAGATACATTTAAAAAATTCTACATCGATGTTTTATTACACTTGCAGGAATTAAAGGCACAATACGAGGTTCACAACAACATGCGTAATGAAGCAGACAATTGCTTCGAGCAAGCTTTACAAATTATACCTTTGTCAGACGAAATATTACAACGACAATTTTATTACGAATTGCAAGATCGTTGGAACGAGATTAGCAACAAGATCAACGAGATTCAAATAGATGTTACTCGCAGCATTTCCTCAGAGGAGATTTCCTCGAACGAGAAACTGAAGCTATTTGAAAAGGAGTTAAACGAATTACGAATAACTATTAATAGCTTTTATGGAGTATTGAAGACGAAAGAGGAACTCGATTTATACATCGAGAGACTCACAGTGCTTTTCGACAGAATTTCTTTCATTCAGGACGAGATAGGTCGATTGGGTCTCTTACCGCAGTCTTTCACAGCAACGGAAAGCGAAAGAGTCGGAGTTTTGTTATCATCGGCTCGTTGTATAGAGGGGCAAATAGGCGAAGAGCTGGATTCGGCGCAACTGCTCAGAGAAAAGATTCAGCTTCTCCAACGCGGACTGGGTCGCTTCAGGAAGGCCTATAAAAGATTGTCGACGACGCTGGATCAGTGCGAGAACAGCGAAAAACAGGAAAGCGACCTGGTGGCCGCGGCTGTGAATCATTGTCAATCAGTCGCAGATGAGTTGGCGATTCTCTGGCAAGATCTAATGGCGTTAAGACAAATGTTGCATAATTTGCCAACTGGCATGAGAGTAACAGTATCGCCGGTGGGCATCGAGAGAGACCTGTCTAATATACAGGATGTGCACACCGAACTCGAGTCGAGATGCTCGCGTTTACTTTCATTGTTGACGAACAGACTCGAATTGTGGCGACGATTCGAAAGGCAGTTGGAAGCGGTGCAGCAATCTGTTCAAGAAGCCGATTACATGATGGAGCTATTAACCGTCCAAGGCTCTGTCGATTATGATAGACTGCTAAAGGCTACCGAACGACTCGAGGTGAGTAATTTTTTTAAGTCGTTGAAAAATCTGGTTAAAGAAGATTTTTTTTTCTTTTTTCTTCTTCTGCTTCTTTCTCTTTCTTCTTTTTCTTCTTCTTTTACTTTTTATTTACTTATTTACTTATATATATATTTTATTCTTATATATATAAGAATAAAAAGTAAAAGAAGAAGAAAAAGAAGAAAGAGAAAGAAGCAGAAGAAAAAAAAGAAGAAAAATCTTCTTTAACAAGATTTTTACATTGTGTGTGTGTAAGAAATTCTTTTTGTTCTTTCTTCTCGTTTTCTTCTTTTTTTCTTCTACTTCTCTTTTTTCTTCTTTTTTTATATATATGCAGGGCGTTTCAGAAGGAAGGTTTATTCTAGCACATGATTGTACACATCATTTTAAGCAAAAAGTTTATATAAACATATGTTCTATTCTAAACGGTTATAAAGACACAACGTATTCAAGTTTAAAAACAAATACTTGTATTAAATTGGTAGAACGTATAACTTCCTATTGTATTAAAATCACAAATCTGCTTATAAATACTAAATTTATGTAGTATATACCGAGTGTCCGGTGACTCGCGTTTTATACGTTAATGAGAGATTCCTGAGGCAATTTGGAGACGATTTTTCCTCAGCAAAAACAATGAGAAAGGTCATCATTTTTTTAATGTTCTCAATTTTTGAAATCATGTATCTATGTAACTAAGCCTTAAATTAAAATTTTATTACAATAAACTTTACTAAATTAGTAAAATTAACTAAAAAATGTAGTTTTATTAATAATTTATTTTTACAAGACTTAGTTTACAAAAAAGTTTTTATTTTCAATCATTTATAACTCAAAAATTATTGGTGCCTGGACATTTTCGCTGAGGAAAAATCGTCTCCAAATCACCTCAAAAATCTCTCATTAACGTGTTAAACGCGAGTCATCGGACAGCCGCCTGTATATACATTATTTTGTTTAATTTAACCGAATATAATTACACACGCAAAGCAAATAAGTTATATTATTCTTTGATAATAAAATCTCAAAAATTGCGACGCATGCATGCAAAAATTATTATTGCAATCAATGCGTAAAAATCTATTAATTAATTATGCAACGCATAAAAATTCAAAATTTTCTAGAAGAATCTTTTGTGATCAAATATCTACGCTCATTAAACTCGCGCAAGACTCCATACCCCATACGTCCGTCACGCTGCACGCCTTACGGGAGACTGATCCTCGTGGCCAGTAGATCCACTGATCATGTGACCATCGGTCCCGCGGTCCAAATACCCCGCACATAAATCAATCTCACGCGAACCGCGGAGCGTAACAGATGTATGGGATGTATTAATCTGATAAAAAGGATAGAAAGAGAGAGTTGCTTTTGTCGGACTCGATTCATTATTGATTTTATGAATCACGTAATTAACAAATGTATTATATTTCTATGCATGCATTGCAATAATAATTTTATACATGCGTTGCAATTTTTAAGGTTTTATCAAAGAATAATATAACATCGTTTGGCACACGTAATTATATATTCGATTAAACAAAATGAGAAAAAAATGTATAAAGAGATACATAATAATTTTTAAACAATACAATAGAAATTCGACAAATTAAAATCATATACATATAATAAAAATTCGACAAGTTAAAATTATATACATAATAGAAATTCAACGAATTAAAATTATGATCATATTCGTAGCATCAAGCAACTATCATCGCAAAGATTAACAATTTGACAGTTGTAAAATAAATAATAGAAATAATCAAAGGCGCGCTTGTGTAATCTAGTTATATTAAATTTTCGTTGTTTCCTATTACTATGATATTACGAATGTAAACATTAGGATCACGTTTCATAAGGCACTCATGCACTCAATTATTGTTGATTAATTGAAATCATTATTTATTAATTAATATTAATTATTCGAATGCATTGTAAGCTTATAATTTCATGTACGTAAATATTTCACATAGAGTTTGATTATATTTTAATAAATATATTTGTCCTTAAAACTGAATTCGTTGTATCTCTTTCTTACCATCCAGAATAGGACACATTTATATAAACTCTCTTACTTAAAATAATATGTGCAATCATGTCCTAGAATGCTGATCATTTCTCTTGAAACATCCAATATATATTTACAAAAGAAGAAAAAAAGAAGAGGAGGAAGAAAAAGAAGAAAACGATCCAATAATGTCTTCAAAGAAGAAGAAAATTTTATGCGTATACATACAATAAATTAAAATTGAGATGAATAAAATCATCAGTGTCTCAAAATATAATAATATTACATTTTGTATTTTCTGCGAATGTGTGTGGATAATATTAAAATCGAAAGCATTGACTAAGCAACACGAAATAGATTCCAATTTCAAAACTTTCGAGCAACTTTCCTCGCGGCTTATTGGACAATTAAAATCGTACACACGCGTTACGCGCAGGCGTAACACACATTTTCGTTCTCACTCGCTCGGAGCCGCGTTATCGCTCGCAGCCGCGGTGCCTATCAGTACCGCTAGACCCACGGTCACGTTTACGTCGCTGCCGAGAATATCTTCGGACTCTCGTATAAATATAATATTTCGAGACGTGTGTTGTGTTGTTCGAGTATTTTGACCTATACTATCGTTCGGTCGTGGCCGACAAGATAAACGTGCGTCATTTGCAAATTTGTCGCTCAAAGAAGAGCCTCGCAATTCTCTGTTGTTAAAATTTCAACGAAGACGAAACACGATAAATAGCTTCAAGGTAATGTCGCACCCAAATATGTTGTAGATAACGAGCATTTTTTCGAATAAATGCAAAACATCGCGTTTATATGATAGATATAAATCAAACTGCAGAAATAATAATAATAATAATAAAACATAATTCAAATAATATTGAAAATCGGATTTCCGAAGCAATTTCCGAAGAAAGTTAATACGGTGTCAAAATTATAAGAACTTAAAAGTTTTTAAATGATAATTCACACATAATGTCTTTAATGTGTTTTAAATGATATCTCTAATAAAAATGCGCGTGTAATTTGATAATTAAAACCGGCTACACTTTTATACGATCAAAAAATATCGTGGCGTACAAATAACTTAACGTAACTTCAAATATACCGTATTTCGCGTGCTTGATAGACCGATTAATGATTTTTTAACGCTCCATTGCTGCGGAATAAACGCATTTTTAAGCACACCTTTTACCTGTGATAAAAAACCGGATGTACGTACAATGCATATATATATATATATATATATATATATATATATATTTATATGCATTGTACGTACGCATAAAAAATTACACGTATATATATATATATATATATATATATATTCGTGTAATTTTTTATGCGTACATATATTACAATGCATTATGCATCGATGAAACGCAGGACAGATAATTACTCTGTGAAAATTCGCACACAAGAAGAATTATTTATTTCGCAACGGGTGTGGTTCTTTTTTTTATCAATTATCATTTTGTTCTTACGACACACATATGATTATTTCGTGATCGCATGAATGGATTAGTTCTTTGCAGAGAGAGAGAGAGAGAGAGCACAACCGCATTTTTACTGATATATTTACCGTTGAAAACATTTAATAAAATTCTTGTTTGACGAGTTTTATGGATTTCTCGATGTATCGCGTTTATGATTTTTATCGATATTTAACTCCGAGCACAATCGATTATTTTTCGCATAACGACAAAATATAATTACGTAAATATTTATTTCCAATTTTATTATACATTCTATAAGATGAAAATTTTTTATGATAAAATATTGTATCAAAACTTTTATTTTGTTATTAATCTCATTATAAATTAAAATTCAAAATATCTTAATTAAAACATAATTTATTAAATAACTTAAAAAAATGTGCACTATGTCGGAGATATATTTGTAAGAATAATTTTTTATGTCGTAATGATTAATGTTATATGAGATCATCGGCCTTTTTTGTATGTCAAACCATTGCATTGTTTATGCATCAAGGCAAAACATATATGAGATAAATCTATGCATCTTTATCTATCGATGCATAATATGTATTAAATCAGCATATATTACAGACCTGCAGTCGTTACAAGCAACAGGTTGCCTGTAACAAAATATAATGTACGTAAAGCAAAGAATGTACGTGTATGTGCATACATATAACTTATTGTGGATCTTTCTTTTATATACGATCAATCGAATTAAAAAACGATTGCATTAAATACATAATTATTTTTATGATTTTTTGTAAGGTCACGTGAAATTGCATGTTTGTTAAAATACATCTATGATCAATCAATATTAAAAACGTCAACGGGCAATAATAAACATAATAAAGAAAATTATTCGACACTTTTTCTCTCAAAAATAAATTAATATTAAAACAATATGGATATAATTGTGTTGCAATGACGTATTATAATTGTATGTAGTTAAATATAATGTCGTTTAATTTCTTGACTTTCTGAGATGCAATCATTTCAATTGACTAACGATGAGATGTATTTTTTTTTGTATGAGTCTTCCTGTGATAAGAGTCTTCCTGTAATCTTTGCGATGCTGCATATACACATTTTTATGGATGAATATATACTAGAATTGCAGAACGCGTTGGAAAATTAATGTGAATAATAAATTAATAATTGAATAAATTTAATTTTACATACAATGTATAATAGCAAAATGTATAAAGCACAAAGTGCAACAAAATATGAATCAAAAATAGCTATCATATACTTGATTTATTTATTTTGATAAACAATTTTACAAAAAAATATTTACAATTTTACAAAAATAAAGTATTTATAATTTTACAAAAAACTATTTACAAAACATATTTTTTACGTCATAAATTTTTTTCATATTTGATAGAAAGTGGTGTTCAACACATCAAAAGCGCGACAATTTTGATTTTTTTTGGAAAACTCGTGAAGAGATGAACGAACTCAAGTAAACGCGACATCAAATTATTTCAACCACGTCCTGACCGAATTCGTGCAAGCCTCAAAACATCTCGTGCGCATATATGGTTTGAGGTATTGCGGTATGCGAATTTATTTATAGAGAGTGATTTATAAAACACAAACGATATGCCTATACTTTCTTCGAAATGTCTGGCGCGAAACTTTTAATAAAAAAAATATAATTTTTATTTTATTTTTTCAAAATATAAATATATATGAATAGATGTGGGAAAAAGTAAAATACTTATATATAAATAATAAGTTTTATTTCTAATAAATCTTACTAATATAGCGTTTTATAAGACTCAAAAATTAATGACAAAATATTTCCTCAAATTTTTATTTAATCTAATAAATTTGTTATTAATCTGATCATAAATTATAATTTAGAATATCTAATTAAATTATTAATATTTTAATTAGAATATCTAATTAATTATTATTATTTTCATAATTTATTATAATTTATTATTATTTATCATAATTTATTTATTATTAATTATAATTTATCTATTATTATTTCCATAATTTATTATAATTTATTAATATTTATCATAACTTATTTATTATTATTAATTATAATTTATCTACTATTATTTTGTTTAATTTAAATAATTTAAAAGAGTAGCATTATGTAGCATTATCTTATCTTTATATAAATAATAAAAATATGTATTATCTATATCTGCATATCTTACAAAAAATGTTATTTTTACTAAATTATATCTAAGATAATTCAAACATTAATTTGGTGAGAGTCATAGCACACAAAAATACTTAAGTAATAGAACTAACAATAAAAGTAGTAAGCGATAAAAACTTATAAATAAAAATGTGAATATATTTTTATATTCCTTTTATAATTTACATTTTTTATAACAGCGTTTACATAAGCGATCTTCAAAATAATATTATCTGGAAGTTATCTAGATAAATCGCTATATAATATTTTATCTAGATACTTTTCTTTTATCTAGTTACATTTAAAACAAAATCATCTCTTTATGTTACCCAAGATAAATCTACATATTTTTATTTTATATATTTATCTAGTTAATTTTAAAATCATCTAAGCGCAACCCCGTTGATTTCTAACCCTAAAAGCACCTTTTCATGTATCGCTTATCGCTCGTTTTCGGCGATATAATGACGTCACGTAATCACTAGCGACATGATTTTGTAGTTGGATTTTTCTAACTACAAGCGATATTAACAAGCGATCTTGAAAAACAACTTTGAAATTTATGAATCAAATGGATAATAAAAGTGTAAAAAATTTTATAATGAATATTAAACATGTATAATAATAATAATATTTTATAATATTATTTTATATATGTAATGAAAATGTAAATATAAATCTGTTGATATAGGTTATGTCAAAAATATAACAATCTTTTGTATAACAGCAAGAAAGCATTGAATTAAATTAAATATATGTTACACTTCATTATCCATTTGATTCATAAATTTCAAAGTTGTCTTTCACACTTAAATTATTAATATCGCTTGTAGTTAAAAAAATCCAACTAAAAATCATGTCTCTAACGATTCCGTGACGTCATTATATCGCCGAAAACAAGCGATGAGCGATATATGAAAAGGTACCTTTAACACATATCCCGAAGACGTTCCGAGAACATCCTGAGGATGTTCGAATGTCCTCTGGATATCTTCTGAATATCTTGCGGACATGTTGTGCTATTAGAGAATGCTCGTGATAATATTTGCAAATATTAAACGTGTTTTTCTCTATGTTTTCTTGTTTTTACGACAGGGTCTGAACGGCGATTTGGGCGCACGAGAAATTCTCGTCGGCGAATTACGTGCCGCTGCCGAACCTCTGCGGGAGAGCTGCGCCGTAGAAGTCCGCGAGAGAGTCGACGCCATAGTAAATGAAGCCGTGCAAGCCTGGGAGGACACGAGGGCCGAATTGAGCGCCCTTTGCACCCGATACCAGCACGCCTGCAGACTCTGGCAGCAGTACAGGGACTCCAGCGCCGCGGTGAAGGCCTGGGTAGACACACAAATGAACAGTGTGATAAACTTGCCACCGGAGGAGGCAGTCAAGCAGGTCAAGGTAGGGTTGATGTTGACCTAGAGACTTTTTATCCCCGTTACAAGTTAAATATATGTATATGAGGAGCTATTTTAAAAAGTAAATAGCCTGTATATACTTTCAAAATTTTCCCGGAAACGGAGGATAGAGAGAACGTGCTAATTTGCTAAAAAGTATAGGCAAAAGTAGGCTCGTATATAACCCATACAGTACAAAATGTTATGAATGTTTTCAAAAAATATTCCTAAATATTTCTATAAAATATTGCATAAAAATATATTAAAATAGGTATTTAGAAATATTTTTAAATAATTAAAAAATTTTTTGTAATAAGATTTTTTTAAATATTTTAAAAAACTTTTAAAATATTTTTTAAAATGTTCTTCTTTATCGTTCAAATAATATTTTCCTAAATATTTGATACATATTTTTGAAATATTAGTTTAAAACTATATTAAAAAATACTTTTCAAATATGAAAAAGCAGACATAGAAATATTTTAAAAATATTTTCGAGAATTATTTTATCTTTTAAGAAATATTTTTAAAAGATTTTTAAAATATTTTGTGCTGTATGGGAAATTAGTATTCAAATGATGATCTTTATAATAACAGTACTTTCAAGTAAAATTCAAACCTGGATGAATTCGAATTTTTCATAAAAAAAATAGTTTTAAATATATTCGAATTTAAATATATTCTTGATTAAATATTTTTGAATCTTCTATAAGTATTTTGATGATATCATAGACTTTTTATCTTAAAATTCGAGTATTATTTATAAAAAATTTGAAAGAAACAACTTATTATTCTAAATTTAATTACTTTGTAATAAATACAATGTATGAAATATTATTTTTTATGAGTATTTTACTCCAATTCTAAAAAATAAAATTTAATTATTAATTATTATTGTATTTGCAACTCGGATTTTTAGATACATATTGATGCCATCTTTAATTTTTGTAAAAATTAATAAATTTAATTTAAAAAAATATGTAATATAATAGATAGTGTTAGAATGCTGATTTGGAACATATCTGAAAGAGTAGTTAAGCAACAGCTATTAATCAAACGCACCTGATAACTAAGATACTTGACAAATAATGTCGCAGCTGGGATAATAATAACTTTCTGCGTTTATACTTTTAAATGCTGATTCATGAATATTACGCACATTTTAAATGAGCTGTATAATAGAATAGTATTAATAACTGATTTTTATATTCATATATTTTCTACATATCTTGTTAATCTTTTTAATCAATGCAATTCATTTTTTTCAACAAAATATTATTTACATTAATAGGGTGTAATTAAAATATGTATGGAGAACACCATCAGATTCTGACCAATTTAGAAACGATTTTGATACAGCAAAATTGTCGAGGGAGATTATCATTTTTTGCACGTTCCAAATTTTTGCCATCTTGTATCTTTTGTAACTAAACCTTCAATTAAAATTCTATTAAAGTAAACTCTATCTGAAATTAAGTAAGACTGAAGAAAGTATAGGTTTTGTCAATATTTCAACTCTACAAAGTTTAGTTTATGAAAAGTTTTTTTTCAATTATTAAAAACTTAAAAATCATTGGTGCCTTGACATTTTCACTGAAGAAAAATCATCTCCAATTTTGCCAAAGAACTTGTTGGTGTGTTTCGTATATATGTTTCAATTACATCTTGTAAGGAAAATACTAAATATTTTTTTTGCAATAACAAACAAATAAAAAACATAAATATATATTATTAAAAAACGATAAACAAACATTATATCATTCCTTGAATAATTAAAGAAAATACTAAATAAATATTTTTACAATTTTCGTACCATACGCGCTTCTCAGTAAATTCAAAAAATTAATTTTTTTGCAAAAACAAACATAAATATATTATTACAGAAAGTTTATCATCCCTTGAATAAAGAATACACATATTAAAAGAAAATACAAAATATCAAATATTTTTACAATTTTCGTATCATACGCGCATCTCAATATATCAAAAAAAAAAAAAAAAAAAAACCTAAATATATTATTAAGGGCTGATAAACAGGCATTATATCATCCCTTGAATATAAAAGCCTAAAATATCGCTACTGCACGCTATGTGACGCTACGCACACAAAGAAGGGCTGAAGAATAGAGGTTGACTCATCATCATCATCATCCTCCTCGCTCACGTTCGCGCGTATATCGTAGCAGACGAATGGGCTAGCGAAGGGTAGGTCGTTGAGAGAATAGGGGCAAGAGGGTGAGAGGCCACACGGACGTGCGCATCGATCCCTGTCAGCGACACAGAGTACGCCAGTCTGATTCAGGGCGTTGGGACGTTTGCACAGCATCCAGCTGCACTCCCGACTACGAGCTCGCTTCCTCAAAGTCTCAAAGTCCCCATTTCACTTATCTCTCAACATACCTTCTTATCGCGTTCCACCTTATCGCGAAGACATTTAAACATTCGCGCCGTGTTTGTTAAGCATGAGCAGAGGCGCGTCCATGATACACAAATGGGTGTGTATATGTGCGTCCGTGCGTCGTTTATTTGTGATGGTGTATATATGAATGCGCACGATTTAGAAGACCATGTGGTCAGACGACGGGAAGCTGCGTAGCGGCGCACGTGTGCGCCCAGTTTTCGGAGCGACACTTCATACGAAGTCAAAAAGGCAGGAGGCATGAGTGACAATCTGGATTGAAGACATGTGCACGCCGGAGGAGAGGAAGGTAAAGGAGGGAAATCTATCGAGATCTATCGAAAAGAGTCGATTGGACCGCCACCGCGAACCGGAGATTCCTGCCCGATTATAACAACGGGACAGAAATAACTTTGGTGCTGCGAAAATCACGCGCGTATCGCCATTAAGTTCGTATTTTCGTCGCCTCCTGTTACAACGATATAACAAGAAGTGAAAAACGAATTAAATTTGAATTTTTGATTTATTGAAAGTGTGTGTGGAATTTTCGTTATAATATTGATGTTACACGAAGATTTTCAAACAATTCGAAGGCTGTGTATAATACATAAAAAATTTCAAAAATTTTCAAAACTGAAAAAATTTTCCTATGCAACACAACTCTACAAAATCATATATGTCAAAAAATGAGAAACAAATTAATTTCAAATAAAAATTGAATTTTAATTAAAAATTTCTTGGAAGTGGACTTTTCATTATAATATTGATGTTACACGAAGATTTTTTTAACAATTCAAAGGTTTTGTGATACATAAGAAGTTTCAACAATTTTCAAAATTTTGAAAAAAAATTTCTACGCAAGTTTTGACATAACATAATCTCTACAAAATCATTTTACTACATTTAATTTTGACACATACATAGTTTAAATTAATATTTCTTTCTACACATGATTAATATTTTTTCTTTCCTGCTCTATGAAAACAGAATGAATATTACAATATATGTATATAGATAATAAATATATTACATATAATTATACGTATGACGAAAAGAAAATTTTTGAAATATTTTGAAATTTTCTATAGTAACTTTTACTATATGCAACTAATAAAAATTGTGAATAATTGTTAATTTATTATTTATTTAGTAATAAAAATTAAAATTGAAAGATATTCGATTTACAGATATTTATAAATAATGATCTTTGATAAAAGAAATTATATATAATATATTACATATATTAGCCATATGTCAAAATCTTTTTTATAAGAAATTTATTTTGCAAAAATTATTTTATTTTTAAGATTAAGTTTTTAACAAATATTTTTGAATAGCTCTAATTTAAAGATATGTTGAAAACGAAATACCAGAAAATATCTATAATATGGAATGGAATTCAAAATATTTATTCTTTACATTTTGCGGAATAAATTAACATTAATATGCCAAATCTGTCGAAATAAATACTTTAAAGGCGGATGTTAGCGAATGTAAAGACCTTGTCTTATTTTAATTAATATACAATTATTTTACATGTTATTAACAGATATATAGATAACATATATGTATTTTGCAAACATTCATTTGTTTTTACATAAAAAATCGATACAAAGAAAGTACTCTTTTTAATCATGTGGACACTTATTCTTATTAATGTTGTTCCGATTTTATATAAATACAACCAAAAAGCTTTTAATATTAATGTAAGTTTAAAAAAATCATACGTATATTAATTATCTCATAACATATTTTATTTTAACATTATATACATGTATATATAATATTTACTTTAATATTGTTTAAAAAATAAAGCTCAATATTGCTATATATTTACAGTGAGACATCGAATGATGGAAATTAAATACACATTTATATACATACATTACGTTTTACGATGTTTTTGCGCATAAATTATAAAAAATACATAAAATTTTTTTGTTCGGATAATTATTTCGTCACATAAAAATATAAAATATTTTTCTCATTAAATGTGAAATGTGTATACATACATATATAATGATGAGAATTTTAAAATAGTATTTTTATGTAAACTTCGTTTCTATATATACATATGTGTAGAAGACATAATGAATACATTCTACATGTCTATAAATACCGAAGAATAAAGAAGAATAAACACATGTGCTTTCTGTACAGGAACTCTACATTCGTTCTAGATCTATTTCGTTAAATTGCATCTTGAGACGGAGAAAAATTTCCACAAGATTAATTTTATAAAAATTAATATATTAAATATATAAAATTAATATATTAGTACAAGAGTTTTAATTAAAAATTAATTTTTCTTTCTGAAATGAAATATTAATATATAATATATATTATATACATATATAATTATCATTAAAATTAATAAACAATTAATAGTTGTAGAAATATATTTATATATAGCGCTATATAAATAATTTATTAATTTATAAATGTATATACATAAATTAATAAATTATTTATATAGTGTCATATATAAATATATTTCTACAACTATTAATTGTTAATTTTAATTTTTATGTTATTAAAATATATATGTATGTGTAAATGTTAAAAAAAATTTGTTGTAACTATTAGAAATTATTAAACTAATTTAAAACTGATATGAGAATCGTATTATAGAATATTCCGTATATAATTCTTACGTAAAAATAAAGAAACTAACTTTATTAAATTCCTAATATTTCGGGCTTGCTATTCTGATATGACAAAAATAAAATTAAAATTAAAAATAAATAATAAATAATAAAATCATAATTATAAAAAAATGAAAACTAATAGAATAAATTACAAAAAATAATATAAAATTTAAAAATTTATTATACACCATAATTATTACAATATATTCATATTTGACATTCTAGTCGTGTAAAATGTAAGATTTTACATTTAAATTCAAAATTTCTTTCAAGAAGGGACTTTCCCGAGATAAACTTGAGCAATATGCAGACGTGTGTTAAATCTTGAGTATATTTCGACTTCGTTTCAGATTTGCGAGGAGACACTGGCGGAACATAAGGAGAGACTGGCGGAATTGCGCGGTCTAGTAGCACAAATTGCATCGGACGTAGGTCTAAATGCCGATGGACCCCTGCACTGCGAAGTCGAGGCGCTCGGTCAACGACTCGAGGATGTTCGGGAAACTTTGTCGACTCTCGCGGATACGGTAGACGCTCATGTTCTCAATCAGGAACTTGCCCGTGGTGATTTATGTCAGACAAAAAATTTTCTAGACTCGGTCCAACAGGTATGTGTGCTTCCAATAATATTCCTCTTGTTTCTATATCTAATCATACATCAATCAAATCTCTTCCACTCGTTAATAACATAAGACACTCGATTGTTATAAATGTTGTGTTGATAAGTTTGTTATTTAAAATTATTAAATGAATACAAACAAGATAACGTTTGATTTTGTTTTGGCTTCTTTTAATATCTTTCTGTCAATCAAAAAATTTCAAAAAAGAATACATTAATCATTACAATAGAGAATTATATACTGAAGAAATGGTAGACGTATATTTGATGTATATATTCTTGAAAATTGTAATAGGATTTAAACAAGGAGACTTTATTCTTCACTTTATCACAGTATTGGAATACGATAGATCTGTTTAATTTTTGAGATTGTGCATTGAAAAAATAAACTTTGAGTCTTTATATTTTATAGGATTTATCTTCAAAAACAGTTTAAGTTGTCTTCACCGGCGAAACTAGTAACTAGTAACTTCATTAAAACAATTATTAGCTTCGTTAAAATAATAAAAATTATTCATTATTAATAATATCAAAGAAAAACATAATCAAAACATTGAATTGTTTAGATTTTATTTAATAATTTTAATAAATGTAAGCCCAAAAGTTGTAATATTCATAACTCGGTAGGGGCTGATTTGCGAACTTATGTTGATTGAAATTCTCTTCATTATTTTGATGTATTACTCACCCTTGTATTAGTCACCCTTAAAGTAGGACATCTTTTTTGTTACACCCTGCATATATAAAAATTCAAGTAATTTTTCTATCTTTAATGTAAAATAGAAAAGAAGAAAAAGAAAGAAAAATTTAGAATGTAAGAAAGGAAGGAAAAAAAAAGATATAGCAAATTTGCTAAATTATAAAAAACGAAAGAGATATTCCACAAATTTTAAAAATATAAATACATATGACGATATATGTAATATTTATCCAGCGTGTTGATTAATTATCCTATCGTATTCTACATGCGCGAGTAAACGGCAACTTCGAAACCTTGGTCAATAAGACCTTCCTCAAATATCTTACAATTAAAATATTTTTCAAGGATTGATGTGTACCACATTTCCAGGTACTTAGAAAGTGATAGTTAGAGACCCGCGGCGTTAGGCCGCTTTAGTCTGATGTATTAACGCGTCCGTCAGTTCTCTGGGTGGTGCACCATTGGTGCTTGGCACAACCTCGATCATCGCTTCGCACGCGCGTTTATATTTTAATCGCAGTAGTTCCGAAACAATTTCTTATGTCAAGGCCGAAGGGCTTAACCCGTTGGTGGCAATTACATCAGTCACGAAATCTGCAACAGCTGAATGGCCGCAACGCCCGTGCACACAGGAGTCGGGCCAAAACTTTCGAACTTGGGAATGGTGCTATGTTCTCAAGTTACGTTTTTCAACGTGAATTCGTAGCCAACATTCATTGTCAACGTTGATCGGCATGTAAAAGCGATTCTGTATGATTGCATTCACGAAGAGAACATATTTTGCATTATTGAAGAAATCCATGATTTCTTCTTCTTTTTCTTCTTTCAAAAACTGCACTTAAAGAGTAACACAAATTGCATTATATAAATAATTATTAAATCATAATTTCTTTTTCTCTTTCTTCTTTCAAAAATTGCATTTAAGAAGTAACATAACGTTATGTTACTAATTATTAAAATATGTGATTTCTTCTTCTTTTTCTTCTTTTGAAAACTATACACTTAATAATAAATAACACGAGCCGCGTTATGTTGCCAACATTATTATTGATGTTTCGCTGGAAATCAATTGTATATGGCAAAACAATATTTCTTTATTTCTCTCTTCCTTTTTCTATCTTCTTCTCTATTTCTTTAAGATTCCATCCTAAATGAACGAATTGTAAAGAGTTTTGTCCGTCCATTTTCAGAATCTAATGACGGTGGGTCAAGGCGAATCTAGCGAGCAGCTTACAGTGTTGCGAAACCATCTTCTCGCATTGACTCGAACCGAACCGCAACTTCAATTCATCAAGGACCGCGCATTAGATATGTCTGTGCAAGAACCATCAGTGGTCGAGGTAATCCGATTATGGCAGCGTGTGTTCCAAGAAACGTTTCAACAGTACCACCGTTTGTCGACCCGACTGATCCGCTCGCAAGACGTGATTGCCGCGCTGAAACTCTGGGAGGAATATCTGACACATGTGCAGGACTTTCTGTCTACCGGCGTGCCGAGTGACTACAACGGCCTGTCGGAGCATCGGAATCTCTGTGAAATCCATCGAAAACTTCTACCCGAACAGCAAAATCTCATATTAACCGTACGACAGGAGGAAGAGCACGACAGATCAGTCGCCGAACAGTTCAACGCCTTAACGAGTCTACACAACGAGACGCTGGCGAGGATATTAGAACGACACGCTGCGGTGCGAGACAGAATATCGGCCTGGGACAAGTACAGACTGGATCAAAGTAAGCTGCTAACGTGGCTGAAGGAGGTCGAGAGAGAACGGCAACGTATGCACCTGCAATTCATTAACCTGAGACGGCTTGACAAGATTCTACAGCGAATTCAGGCGTTGTTGGACAAGGTGCCGACCGGCGAGACCCAAATAGAATCACTCCAGAAGCAGCAGGAGTATCTTCTGACCGATTGCGAAGAGGCGCTGGCCGTCTCGATTCGCATGGAACACGCCGCAAACGCGCAACGAATCGCCAATCTGCGAGCTGGTCTCGAAACCTGGAGAGACTTCGTTCAGAGGGTGCAGAAGCTCTACGAGGAACACATCGAGCAATCCAACACCGTCACGACGATCTTTCAAGAGATCAGTCAGGCGCTGAGTGCGGCCTTCCACGCGAGACCGGTGAACCTGTTTAAGACGAAGGAGCAATTGGATTCGCTTCAGCATTTGAAGAGTCGTCTGACCGACGCACAACGCAACCTCGAGTCCCTCGGTGTCATCACGGAACAGTTAAGGGAATGTCTAAGTCCGAGCGACATGAAGACCTTAAATCAGCACGATGCACTTCTGTCGCAACAATACGGCGATCTCGAATATCAATTGGCGCTGTTGCAGTACAGACTTACAGAACGTTGCAATCTTCATGGTCGATGGGAGAACAGGCTGAACAAGTTGTTGACATGGATAGAGGACACGACGCTCCGAATGCAGGATCACAACGCAATCGCACTGGACGAGCCTGAGGAAACGGTGAAGCGATTGGCGAACGAGCTGCAGGCGGAGATGAGCTTGAAGCAGCGCGAGCTCGAATGGTTGCAAAATACGGGGCAGGAGCTGATGGATATCGCCGAAGAGACGGAGAAAGCGAAGCTCCAGCAATCCCTGGTCGAAGTTAATAAAAAATGGAATTACCTGATGGTCGATGGTAAAGCAAGAGCCAGCAAGCTGGTTGATTTGATACAAACTATGAACTCGTTGCTGAAGAGGATCGTCGATCTCCGAACTTGGTTGACGGGTATCGAGGGTCAATTATCGGAGACCCTGATAATAGAGAAACCCTTGCAGAAGAGCATTGATAAAAAGCTCGAAGATTACAATTACCTGAAGATCACCATCGAGGCCGAGAGCGGTAACATCAGTCAAGTGTTGAATCTATGCGAGATCCTGCTGAACGATTGCGACACATGGAAAGCTTCCTTTAACACAGATGCGATAAAGAATGGTATGAATTATCTGGAAAGACGATGGAAAACCGTATGCATCAAGTCCACCGAGCGCAAGAAGAGGATCGTGATGATTGGGAAATTGCTGCAGGAACTAGACAAAACTAAACACGAGTACGAACCATGGCTATCCAAAACGGAGAAGTCTCTGTCGGAGCTGGAGAAAGATCTGACCGAGATCTCAAAAGAGGAATCGGAAAAATTAATGGAGAAGGCTAAATTGATCGCCAAAGATATCGAGGCTCATCGAAAAGCCTTGAAAGTCCTCGAGCAGACATTCGGACGTTTGGCCAAGTCCGGACTGGATCCCGATAACTTCAGATCGCTCACGAGCGAGACGCGGGGGATGATCGACAGGTGGTTGGCCGTCGGAATGAAGATCAACGCGATCATCCCAAGCCTCCAGCAGGAACAGAAGACTTATCGCGAGTTTGTGTTTGTTCATGGCGCCGCGGTAGTAGGCCTCACACAGGTAGACGTACGCTTGACGCAGATGCAACACCTGGCTACGCCTGAACAAAAGTCATCCCTACGACGGAGACATCAGCAGTTGAGGGAAATCGAGGAAGAGCTCGACACGCAAAACGTCACCCTGCAAAAGGCGGACGAGCTGGCGTTGAGGGTCATGCAGGAAAGCAATTCCGATGACGTGGCCGCGATTCAGCTACTGGTGGACGAGTATCAGTTTTTGTGGCGGGATATCAAAGAGCGGGTAGACATGTTAAAATTGGATCTGGAGATGCAAGAGAGATCGGAGGTCGACGAAGCGGTTCAAGTGGAGACCTTGAAATTCGAGCAGGATACCGCGGTTCAAGTGGACACTCTACCGAGACTTATCAAAATGACCTCGTGTGACGCTTATCTGATAGAACTAGAAGCGGCTTTGAATGAATGTAGCAACGCCTTAAACACTCTGGAAGCGGCAGTGACGCCCGATCCCGTTTCCGGTCCTGGACTCAACGCAGCTGCTAAAACTATCGTAAGTTGTTCACTAGACAATCCTGTTATATTTTGTTTATCTATACGCGTGTTTAAAGGGATGCTGACTCTGTCTGTTTTATCGACAAATATTATTTTCATTTAACTATTTATTGATTATACAGAATGAAAAAATCTTTTTCTAGAATTAATGTGTTTATAATAACTAATTTGGGCTTCTATATACGGGGTGACTCAAAACTCGCGATTTGTTAATGGCAGATTCCTGGTATCATTTGGAGACGATTTTTCCTCCACGAAAATGTCGAGAGAGGCCATCATTTTTTGCATGTTCCCAATTTTTTCCATCATGTATCTTCGTAATTAAGCCTTAAATTAAAATTCTATTAAAGTAAACTCTACATGAAATTAATAAAAGAATGTGATTTTGTTTATATTTAATTTCCACAAGACTTAGTTTACGAAAAACCCGTTATTTTTAAACGCTTATAACTCGAAAATTATATTGATGTCTCGACTTTTTCGTTGAGGAAAAATCGTCTCAGAATTCGTTCAGGAATATGATATTTTCAGGACATCAGGTTATTTTGAATCACCCTGTATGTATATAAAAAAACAAGAAATTTTAATAATTTTTTATTGGTCATTTTCATCATGTCGATTGATAAGAAAATTAGAATTATATGACTTTTTTGATTTTTTTATATACATTTATAGGAGCTCAAATGAATACTTTAATTCTGGGTTTCTTCATTCTATATAGTCAATAAATAGTTAAATAAAAATAATATTTGTCGATTAAACAGACAAAATCAGCATCTCCTTAATGATGAAATTTCAATTGCAGGCTAAACTGATCGGAAGTTGCCAGTCTTCAATAGAACTGATACGCCACTTTCACACTCTGCTCATGGAAGATGGCAAGCTGAGTTTAGGAGTTGCTAAGAGTAGCGAAGTGACAGCACTAACAGCTCGATACGACACACTTATTGCATTAGCAAGAACACGTGAACAACAAATTAGAGAACTCAGGTAAGGTTCCTTCTTCATATTAATATTTAAACCATTTTTAAACCTTTAGCGTTGCAAGTATTATTATTTGTTATTAACAAAGATTCCAATAATGGGTTTACTATCAATTTTCAGTATCTAATGTTCAGTATCTATAGCATAAAATTTTGTTAAACTTTCGGTATTATTGTAATTACATGATTTTATTTAAAAACAAATTATTTAACATATATGTTTATTAAAAAATATGTTTAATTGAAATATCAAGTGATTTTACATACTGCTATATGTTTGTGCGTGTATATACTAAGCTTTCATAATTTAATCTATTTTTATACCTTTTTATATTATTAATGATATGGCAATATTTTTTATGTTATAGAGTCTAAAAGACTCTATGTTACTCTTTCGGAGACAATGCTTGAAAATAATTTGTGTTACAGGGTAAGTCCCCTAACCTGATGATTTTAAATTACTCGCAAACTGTTTGTTGTAAGAAGAATCTTTCAAACAAAAATCGCACAGCATCAAAAAGGAATATATACAGTATAATTATCAATTCTTTGCTATTCTGCTTTTTTATTGAAATATGAAACTTTAAATTTTTTTGAGTTTTTTAAATAGACTCAACTTTGACTCCAAAATTCGAAAAAATATCAAACATTGAGTACAAAAATATCAAATGTAAATATAATCATTAAAATAGTCTTGAAATAATTTTTTAATAATTTTTAATGTAAATTTCACGTCTGGTTCTTATTAAGTCCAAAAAATTAAGTACATCACTTTTATTAATTAATCAATCATGCATTAAAAATAATTTAACAAATATATAATTAATTATTTTTGATTCCATGTAGTTTAATATTTTCAATATTTTTCTCGAATTTTGAAGTCAAATGTTGGGTGGTTAATTTGAAAAACTGAAGATGATTTTCATATTTCAATAAAAAACAAAATGACAAAAATTATTTTGTATTACACGTGCAGGCAAAGTAGCACTTTGTGTGCGTGTTTTCTGTGCGGAAAGCGGCCGATTTCCCACGCCGCCATCTAACGGCGACGCGGTGAGTGAATAAGCCGCATTCAAAGCCATTGCCTACGGCTGAGCCGCGTTCAAAGTCATTGCCCACGGCTTCAACCGTGGACAATGACTTTAAACACGGCTATTCCCGCACCGTGCCGCCGCAAGATGGCGGCGTGCGATCGGCCACCTCGCGCACAGAAAACGCGCACAAAGCCACTTTGCCTGCACTTGTAATACAATAGTATATTGTGTATCAAGTGCGGAAAGTTGACAATTGTTTACTCGTGTGGAGTGGTCGCACTCGTCTTCGGCTCGTGCGTCCATCCCCCGCACTCGTGACCAATTGTCAACTTTCCGCACTTGATACACAATATATTATTATACTGTACGTCTCCCTTTATATATCACGTGACTTTTGAAATATTTTTTCATATAACAAGCAGTTTATGAGTAATTTAAGGTAGTCAAGTTATATGATTCACCCAAATATATATACATACAGGATATCTCAAAATCGCCTAGATGTGTTTTTAATAACAGATTCTATGACTTATTATTCGGAAACGACTCTTCTTCAGCAAAAAAACGAAGCATCAATAATTGCGGAATTATAAGCAATTAAAAAATAAGGATTTTTTTGTAAACTAAATTTTCTGAAGATTAAAAGATCAATAAAATTATATTCTTCAGTTAATTTCAAGTAAATTTACTTTAATAGAATTTTAATTAAAATTATAAAATAATATATACATACATAATATGATAGCAAAAATTGAAAAACTTGCAAAAATGATAATGTCTTCGTCATTTTCGCTGAAGAAAAATTATGTTATCTCTAAATTGGTCAGAGACTCTGTTATTCAAAAAATATTCGGTGGTTTTGAGACATCTTCTGTGTATGTATGTGTATATGTGTATGTGTAAGTGTACCGAAAATCGTGATACAAACAAAACAAAAATGATTTTTCGTACAAATGCAAAATCAAAAATATAATATAAAATTTTTTGCAAGGTTTCGTTTTTTCAAAAAAAAATAAATTTTAAAGTTCAATTACGTGTCTTCAAGAATTTTATTTTGCTATACACAACTTTCTATTTATATTTATAAATAATGTCAATGACTTGATATGAATCAAAGAAATGCAACAAATTTTAATAATGCATTTATTTTGTTAAATTTTAAAAGTCGTTGAAAATATCGTTCTCTGTATTGCACATAAAATATTGCAAAAACAAACTGATATAATTGTATATAACGAAATCCTTATGCTCGGCGGATTCTTCAAAGTTGATTTTCTCAAAAATAAAATTTTGTACGAAAAGAGATTTTATTCTACCTTTTTGTCTCCCATTTACACGAAAAATCACCTCCAATTCGTTTGTATTATGATTTTCAATACTCTTTATATACACACACTCGCACATTATTATTATTGTTATTTCTTCTAGATGTATATATTTTTAATATTTATTTTGAAGAATATTTTATAAAGTTATAAATATAGTATAATTAAATTAAATATAAATATAAATTTAAAGTGTAAGATAGGCAATAAAGAGCCAAATCGCGGATGACAGTGCGTTATCCCAACGAAAATGTTATAATAATAATACGGTCAAGATTTAAAATTGGAATAATCTCTACAAGAGATTTAATTCCATACATCCTCTCTTCCCTCCTAAGGAAATAAATGCGAGAGAAAAATATAGATCCGAAAGTCGCTGAATCGGGAATCGAACTCGTGACCAAGTAAAATTTGGTGCCTTGTGCACAGATATTTAATTCTAACGAAAAAATTTTAGTTTCGTTGGGATAACGCACTGTCATCCGCGATTTGGCTCTTATTACTTGTCTTACACTTTAAATTTATATTTATATTACAGAGCCTTGTTTAAATTTGTCTTAATTTAAATTAAATATAATTATAATAAAATTGTAAATCTGTAAATATATCATCCATTCTCACACAGATGCAATGCGCTATCTTTTTTTTAATTTCTATGCCATTAACACCTAAAGTTAATAAATAAAATAATGATCGATTATTGTATAGCATCTCTAACAGTAACACTTCTTTTTCTATTGCTTCAATTTTTTTTATCTTTTTGCCAGTATTAATATTCATCTACATAATTTTTAATGTAGATGATAACGCTTAATTAAGCCGATTAAAGTAATGCTTAATCATTATTCCATACAGATCGCCCATCACCGATGCTTATGCTTTTCCATGTGATCAGTGAGTAACTAATCATATAAAAATTTTTAATGCCTTGCTTAAAATAAGAGTTATCCCAAAAGACTTATTAAAAGACGTGTAAGCTTTAAAACCCACATAAAATCATTTATTATTTAACATAAATGTTAATTATACAATTTTGGCATAATAAATGTAATAAATCTTACGTATAATAAATTGTAATAAATCTGACGCTTTTTCATAAATATTAATTATTTTATATTTTAATTTAAATTTAATTTATTATTAATTTAAGTATTAATTAATTATATGTATATTAAATATTAGATATTAACTTCTAATATTAATTTTTATTACTATCTATTTTATACAAATTAATAATTGACAAATATTAAATCAAAAATTCTCTAAAAATTTTATTATTAATCTTTACATACAAAATTCATGCATATTTATATACTATATGCTAAATAATAAATAACATTTGTCAAATATTTAATTAATTTAAATTATAATTATAATTTCAGCTATACAAGGTGTAACAAAAAAATTGTCTGCTACTTTAAGGGTAGATAATACACATCAAAATGATGAAAAAAATTCCTATCGACATAGATCCGTAAACTTAATGAGTTAATTATAAATATTAATTATTTTTTAGCTTAAATTTGTTTTAAAATTATTAAAATTATTAAATAAATCCAAACAATGCAATGTTATGATTTTGTTTTCATTTGACAGCGTCTTGACAATCAAAATAATAGCGGACACCTTTTTTGTCACATCCTGTATATCGGAGCTAAAGATATTGCCTATAAATCGCAATTATTATATTTTTATAGCGATAATGGCAGATTGATCTGCCCACTGTGTTCTCGCCGCAACTGGGCTCAACTGGACAACGACTTCTGGCGTCTGGATAAGTGGTTGGAGTTCGCCGAAGGTACCCAAAGTGAGCAGCACTCGCCACCGAACGACATAGAACAACTGGAGGACGTGATTCACGATCATCGGGAATTCCTGCTTAATCTCGACAGCCACAGGAGTATCGTGACGAGCCTGAACATAGTCGGAGCTCACCTGGCTGATCACACCGAGGACATGGAACGCGCGCGGGAGCTTCGCGATCGATTGACGGTGGCGAACAACAGATGGGAAAAGATCTGTGCAGCTGCCACCAAGTGGCAAGAACAGCTGCGACACGCTTTCGTAACAAATCATCAGTTTTATCGTATCGTGGAGGAGTTGCTGGCTTGGCTGGAGCGCACCGAAGTCAGCATTCGGGCCAGCGAACCCATAGATTTGACCGAGTCCGTCAACGTTATAGAAGCAAAATATAACAAATTTAGGTAAAAATTATTAGATGCCTCGAGTTTCTGTTGACAAATATGGGATATATCAACGAATATGGGATATATAAGTTTTTGAATTCATATAGAAAGGCGCACTACACGAAATCCCTATTCCTATATCTTTGTTTTAGGGAATTGCGAAATGATCTCGAACGTTGTGAGCCGCGAGTGATATCGTTGCAAGAGGCGACTAATCATCTTTTGGATGAAGAGACGGAAACTAGGATACGTTTACGAGAACTAAGATTGAGATTGCAGTCGTTGAAAAGACTAACCGGAATCTATACCCTTAAATTGGGAACTGCACTCGGGCTGGACCCGCAAGATGTTGGTCTCGCCGCTACGTCAACATCTCTGGCATCCCTTTCACATGATGTGAGTTATATTATCTATACTGATTTATCTAACTAAAATAATAATTATTGTATAATTATAATCTATAAATATTATATACATACAGTCCTGAAGCGGATTTTGCATGATACGATTGATGACATCATTTTGACGTCATTTAACGTCAAAATGACGTATACTTATTGCTACCTAGGATATAATAAATAAATATATATATATATATATATATATATATATATATAATATTTAGCCTAAATAATAGATGACATTAGTATATACATAGTATTATAATATTATTAAGAATCTCAATGTTTATAATTAAAAATCAAGTAATTTCGTATTATACACATGATATATTATTATACTAAAAAAATTCATGTTTTCTTTTATATTTTTATCTTTTAAAAGAAAAATTAATTATTAAAAGTTGAAAGATATATGTGAAACATGTTTCTTTCATATATAGATGCTTGATAAAGATGCTTTTTTTATTTTTTTTTTCGTGGAAAAAATACCAAATTTAATTATTAACTAACTTTTTATTTTAAAAACATAAATTATAAACTTGACATTTTAGTGTATTAAAAATTTTATTTTTAAATTATTTTTCTAAAGAATAAGTTTTAAATGCAATGCAGAACAAAATGTTGCATTTTATACAGTTTTAGCATCTTTAACTCCAAAAAATATGATATATTTGCTTTTTATTTATATTTTTATATATAGATATATATTTATTGTAAATTTATTGCACAATGTATTGTTAATAAGATCACACAAATTAATTGTTCAAGGCGAGAAGCTTATTTCTTCCAATGATTAAGAGACATATATATATGTGAAATTTTTATTTTCTCGTTTCATTTAGGAAGGATGACGCTTCTACGCCTAAATTATCCGTAGTAATCACTTGCACAGTATCTTATTGTTTGTGTTTTCTGTTTTGTTAAACTGTAGCTACTCGACGAAGCTGCCTCTGGAACTGATCAGCCTCACACTACCAGCACAAAGTATGTTGTTTTCTTTTTTTGTCTTTTATTGCAGTAATATTTGTAGATTAGCAATTTTTTCTATAAGATCTACAGTGTGAATAGTGTTGGTACTTTTATCTTTCCGATTGTATTCTTAAAATGAAATACCCATACATTAAATTTTTATATATTATTAAATATACACTTATTTTGAAAAAAATACAAAAAAAATTTAATACAAATCATTAAATTAAAAAATTATTTACAAATAATTTAAAAATTAAAAAATTAAATTTTAAAAATTGTTTTAAAATATACTTATTAATTTTTTTACAATTTTTGTAATATTTATACTTTATTATAAAAATTCTAATATGTATTTAAATAGATTCAGTACTTATTAATATGTATATATATATATATATATATATATATATATATATATATATATAAAGTTTATCGCTAAATATACATATCGCAAAACTAATATAAATGAAATTTTTAGTATAAAAATCAGCAATTAAAAAATCAAATTAATAAATCATTTAGACAGACTTAATTATTAATTTTTTCTTTACAATTTTTATATTTATAAGTATACTTTATTATAAAAATTGTAATTTACATTGAAAAATAGATTCAATAACTATTCAATCACTTTTATTTACATTTTCAGTAAAAAATTCTTATTTCAATAAAATATATTTCTTCCTCTTAGACTATTGTATAAATATATAACAGCATAATTCTCCCCTTCGGATTATTCTGATAAATAAAGTCCTGTGATGTAATAAAATGATGATGAATAAACTTCTGCTCCGTTTAATTTTTCATCGTCAATCTATTGTTTTAGTGCTGACGAGAGCAACCGGACCGTACTGGTGCGTGGATATCGCTTCCTAGGAAGAGTCATACGAGTTTCTCTACCGATACAAGCTCTAATGCTACTATTGCTCGGCATCGCGTCCCTGGTACCATCCGCAGAAGAGGATTACAGCTGTATGCTCTCCAATAATCTCGCCAGGAGCTTCACGCCGATCGCCTTTTATCCCAATGGACCGCCACCGGTATAACAATAATTAGCAATGTGTACTTATTTCCGTGTTTGCGTGATTTCAAATTCAAGCCAAATATGCAAAGAATAACGAAAAAAATGTTTCTTTACTTTCCCTCAATTATTAAAGGGTATAAAAGATGAAATTTGTACTATTCTCTAAGTTCCCAAGTAGCAAACTGACGTCATCGACTTCAAAGGGACGTCATCGACATCAAAGTGACGTCATTTGACGTCAAAATGACGTACGTTTGCTATCTGGGTTTATCTTCTTAATACAATTGTAAAGAATATATAAGAGAGCAGAAAGAATAAAGGTGTATAATATATATATGGACTGAGAGAGGGAAGATCCTAGGATAGGATCCCCGATATTTTTTTTTCTGCTGGAGAAAAGCTTATATAAATATATATAGAAAAATCTTTATATACTATTAAGTATAAATAATATATATTGTAATTTTACACATGATGTATTTCTTCGTAAATTGTATATGTAAAGGACCAAGCGGTAAAATTGAGAATATATGTATAAACCGCGCGAAACAAGAAGGCATTCTCTTTTAATCTAATTTATTTTGTATATATACAATATATTGTATATCCTCGCTATTCAACTTATTATATATGCAATCTCATGCTCTCTCTCTGCGCGAAATTTGCGCGTTCGAGTAAAAAAAAAAATATTCGTTATAAAAATATCAGCTGATTTCTTTCTTGCCCTCGAAACATTCGAATATACATATATATATTGAGCTTATGTCATGATCAAACAATATGTAAATTGAAATTAGAATACACGACTCTTCACACATATACATATATATAACATCACGTCGTGCTTCGCGTTCTCGCCGATTTCTATATATTGTACAGAATTTATATATTTTTGTTTCGAAACGCGAAACTGATATCGCGTGATGTAATACAACGAAACACGATACGAAAAAAAAGAAACTTTGAATGATGTATACATGTCCGACATGTGTAAGAAAGACATATGTAACACGTTAAACCTGGATTTAACGCGTTTCTACTATATGTAACATTCACGATAGAGGACATAGAAAAGAAGAACTTGCCTTTATTTTTTATACGTTACGTTTGTGATCGAAACGTCGCGTTAAATATTGTTAATATGGTGCTAATTCTCAGAATGTATTGTAATTTCTTCCATAAGGAAGAAAAAAGGCTTCAAAAAGAGAAACATCAATCGCAATCGTTTTGCTGTTATACATTATAATATTCCATAAATAAAGTTAAGAGAGGAGTTATGATAACTATGTGATCTATTTGTAAGTATGACGACAAAAAAAAATAACATCGACAACGCACAGAAAAAACAAAACGCATTTATAATTATACAATTCATCCTGTAAAGATATAATAGTTTTTAATGGTCAGTAGTTACGCTTTTGAAGAGTTATGAGTTTCCTTTTTGCATATTGGGTATGCGTGTATGTTTATAAGGTGCCTCAAAATCACCAAATGTCCTTTTAATAACATCAATTTGAACACAATTTTTCTTCATGAAAATGTCGAGGTCATCATTTTTGCAAAATCTCCAATATTTCTCATATCCTTATAGAATTAAATTTTAAATTAAAATCTTATTAAACTTATTCATCTAATTATTAAAGAATATTTTTGTCCATCAAGTTTAGCTTGTAAAAAAAAAACTCTTTAATCACTTATAATCAAAATTATTATAGACACCTCGATATTTTTATGAATGAAAAATTTTGTATCCAAATTATATATAATGAATTTATATGTAACTTATACAATTACAACAAAATCAGGTAATTTTTTTCATGTATGAATACGCCTTGTACTAAAATTGTTTATTCCTTATAATATATTTAATACCTCAAATGTGCGTATGTCAAGCTGCAAATGTTATAAAACCTGTACAGTCTTACACATCCACAGTAGCTTTAAAAATATACAATATATTAACTAAAGTAAACATGAATTATTTGTGAAATAACAAAATTTGCGTTATAATGAATGAGTTTGTCATTGAGTCTCAATTAATCAATGAGTAAAAAAATAATGTGTTATAAAACTTGTACAGTCTTACACATCCATAGTAGCTTTAAAAATATATAATATATTAACTAAAGTAAACATGAATTATTTGTGAAATAACAAAATTTGCGTTGTAATGAATGAATTTGTCATTGAGTCTTAATTAATCAATGAGTAAAAAAAACCACGAGTCTTAATTATTGATTCTTCAGTGTCGTTAATTGCTCCGAATACTCGAGGTATAGCCTTTGCCAACGAAGGTGGCTGCCAATTGTGGCTAGTACATCGCCCAAAAGTTTGTGCTTTTTTATTCCCTATTACATTCGATATGAAAAATATTAATTATACAATATAATTTTAAAAAAAGTAAGTCAATTATATGACACAATTAATTAAAGATTATATATATTATTAATAAAATATTATATAAATATATAATTATATAATATATAAATAATATTACCAAAATTGCAGGTTCCCACATGCTTTTAGAAGCTGATGTGTGACTTGGACCCAAAAGATCGTCCAAAATTAATCTTAAACGTCTCTCCAAACCATCTAAAAAGATATTGCCAAAGATAAACTCAATGGATAGATGCATGAAAACACAACAAAAATTGCATAACGTACATACCTTGTGTTAATAGAAATGACACTAGAGCCATGAGCCAGTAAACATATTCCTGAGCGCTTCCAAGAGCTTTAGATGCGAGCAACTGTTGTTCCAAATAAGAAACCACGCTTGGCGCACTATGCGGTAATCGCGGATTTGGCAAAGTATTCCCTGCAGTTCTGAGTAATCCTTCCTGCAGCGACGACAAAGGTCCCCTAGGAACTCTATTTCCAGATGTGCTTAATACGTTGAATGATGACCATCGCCATACAGGATCTTGGCTATCTCCAATTAATAACCATGTTCCTATACAAAATATTCAATGATTAGTTATTAATTTATTCATGCGTGAATGACAAAAAACCAAATAAGCTTGCCATACCCATGTCCTTATGATATATATATGCTCGTGCGTTAGTAAATGCTATATGAGGCATTCCATTGTACAAAGTGCACGACAATAGAGATGTTCCAGGCGCAGCCAAATGGGCGGCCGAAGTCGAAACGATCATTCTGCATGTGTTCCCTATTTCCCACACGCGAACTGCACCACAGCTCGATATCACCATCACCTATTACATAAAATTATTTTATAACTATAAGAAATATATATTAAGATTATATATTAAAATTGTATATTAAAATTATACAGTAAAATTATATGTATATTAAAATTATATATATTAAAATTATATAGTAAAATTATATAGTAAAATTATATAGTAAAATTATATAGTAAAATTATATAGTAAAATTATATAGTAAAATTATATAGTAAAATTATATAGTAAAATTATATAGTAAAATTATATAGTAAAATTATATATTAAAATTATATATATACCATATATATAAAATGCAAAAAATTAACAATCAGTAATTGAACAAGATACCGCATTTCCAACGGCATGAACTTTTGCCAGTGGTGCTGGTGGTGCTAATGGAGGTGCTGGCCGGCAGCCCTTGACGGGATGAAATGTATGAAGACTTCCATCTTCCAAACCCAGGGCTATTACAGCCGGTGACGCGGCTAACGCGACAGCGCTGTACCCTAGGTAGAGATCCCACGTCGGTTCGGAATCCGTGCCTCTAAATACTTGCAAGTGAGCTAAGCCCTCACTATTGGTGACCGTCACAGCGTAATGGCCTGCCTGCTGGGACAACGAGCTGGATGGCTTCAGTGGAGGAAGCAACATCTGACCTCCGGTTTTGTCGGATATGAATTTAGGCTTTTTATTCGGTGAAGAGTGGTGTATTTTCGGGGTCGTTTGTTCCTTGCGCTTTAATGTAAGGGACGAAACTGCCGGAATGTCGATAGCGTTCGTCGATTTTACGGAGGACGTGGTGACATTGGGCGCAACAACGTCGTTACGTTTCTCTATCACAATTGAGCTTTTGGTTTGTACTTTACTTGTGAATGTCGGTGTGCCTAAATTAGTGCTGATATTTGTGTCCCTGAAAGATTAAAAGATGGATTCAATGCAAAGATTAAATTAAAAAATCGACACACTAACTAATTAACTTATTAATAAATTCCCAATTATTAATGACAGTCACTAGTATTTAAATAAAAATTTTGGAAATAATCGACCAAACTAGCAAGTAATAATCGTTTATTAAATTTCACGACGTTTCGACCATATGGTTGTGGTCCTTTTCAAAAAGTGAGACTAAAATAATTTATTACATATATTATTATTATCAATGAAACTAATATAAAATTCGCAATTTGAAACAACATAATACTTACAAGTAAATTTAGTAATAATTAACTCATCATACAGCAATAATCAATATCAGTTTTAGTGAGAAATATACAAGTCAAAATTAATATTGTATATTTCTCACTAAAAACTGATATTGATTATTACTGTATGATGAGTTAATTATTACTAAATTTACTTGTAAGTATTACGTTGTTTCAAGTTGCGAATTTTATATTAGTGTTTCGTTAATAATAATAATATATGTAATAAATTATTTTAGTCTCACTTTTTGAAAAGGACCACTACCATATGATCGAAAATTTAATAAACGATTATTACTTACTAGTTTGGTCGATTATTTCCAAAACTCCTAACTAACTTACGTTGTATCCGCGGGTGGTGGAATAAACATAGGAGTAATTCTTCTTTTACCATCTGAAGTCCTCGTTTCGATTTGTTTATTAATAGGTCCCTTGACCAAAGTAGCCGCACTATTAGTGGCTGGTGGAATGCTTGGAGTAGATAGCATTTGAACAGATTGATTCGATACCGGTGGCTTCAAATTGAGTAGTTCTGGTGCTTCCATCACCATACAGCCTCCTTGAACTAATGGTTTGCCGTACAATCTTTCGTGGAGGCTGCTCTATAAATAAAAAAAAAGTAAATAATGAATTCTTGAATAAAAGTAACAAAAGCTACATATGTAATATTGTATAATTACTTGTTCAGCAGGATCGAGAGGTTGCCCTAATTCCTGTTGAGTGAATTCAATAAATACAGCAGTTCCATCCCAAGAACAGGCAGTAAGACGAAGACCACATGGTGACCAGCTAGCATCCAGCACAGAATGCGTAAACAATTCGTGTATCACTACCAGAGGCCTTTTCAATGAAGTTAACCATACGGATAATGAACGATCTCGCGATCCTATTGCAACGCAGCAATACTGCTGTGGTTTAGAGGAACCTGGTTGTTTTTTCTGAAGAATATTGCCATTAAATCTCTATAAAGAAAGAAAAATTATACAAATGTATATTGTATATATGATGTATATCGTATATGTGATAATTTTTATATAAATGTTTCAGTATAATTTTTGAAAGAAGTGTATTCTTATCAAAATACAAAATATAGAGTAGTAAAAAAAAAAGAAATTTTCTTAGTACATACAACACATGTTACTGCTTTCCTGTGTCCAACAAAGTCTTTATCTTGGGTCCAACCATCTCTTTCTATTATTTGTGCTGTAGGTCCTCCTCCATTCATCGCATGGGCAGATACCAAATACTGACCATCGGGACTCCAAGAAAGCCTCAGAACATGAGTTGTTCCACCACATTCATCAAAAGGCTCAGATATTAATGCTGCTTCCGTCCAATCCGTAGTGTGCCACACTCTCAATGTTTTGTCGTCGGATTGAGATGCTAAATATTTTCCCACCGGATCCCAAGTAATTCCTTTCACAAAACCTGTGTGGCCCTTTAATACAGCTACAACAGCAGGAAATTTCGAAGCATCCCATACGATTACACTGTTGTCCACCGAAGCTGAAGCCAGCCATGGACTGTGCGGTGCCCACGCAAGATCTAGCACATCAGCTTCATGCGAACGTAGAGTCGCAATGCATCTCCAAGCTTCCACACTAGCTTTTCCGCCAAAAATGCTGCTTCCACCTGATCCTGATAGTCTCCAAATCATAATTAGTTTGTCCACACCACCTGACGCTAATAATCCACTGTTGCTCCATCTCACACAATTTACACACGCTGTATGCAAAAAATAAATACAGAAAATCAAACATAATTCTTAAATACATACATATACATCTGATTATAATGTATAAAAATCAAAATTTTTACCTAGATGATTATCCAACTGACAAAGCATTTTTGGAACATTAGAATCCAATTCAGCTGCCTCATCAATCACTGGTTCCATGTTCCATATAACAACTCTTCCGGAATCGCCACCTGATATTTGAAGGTAATAAAAGATAAAATACATAGAGAAGAAAATTTTAAATTTATTACCATGGGCATTTGCAGGATTTTTTTCAGGAGGCATAATTAATTTTTTTTTTTGTCTTTTCTTAATTTTTTTAAATTTATTTTTATTTTTTTTAAATATTAAATATGCAAATAAATCTTAGTGTCTATTTTCAAAAAGAAAGCAAATGCTTAACTTTTTACTGATTTCAAGATACTGATTCTGTGGACGCCTATAAGTAAATTACTTTGTTTTCATTATAAATATTCTAGTTTATTAAATATATTATTTTCATCAAACTAATATTATAAAAGAAAAATAAAGCTACCTTGGCCTCCAGTCGCAAATCTTTTTCCATCGGGATGTATATCGATGGAAAATATTGGATATCCTGATGAGAAAAAAAGATTAAAGTTAGGAAAATTTTTAATGATAAATTATTTTAATATTTTAATTATTCGAAAATTCTAATTATGCGAAATAAGAAAAATTATTTTAATATTTTAATTATTCGATAAAATTCCAATAAACTTTACGAACCATCATGAGTAACCCAATTCGGTTTGACTAGCTTCATTTTCCTCTTCCGTTCGAGACTATGCAATTGTTCACAATCCGATAAAGAAGATCCTTCAATTTCGTTTACATCTTAAGTCTACTTAGGTATAAATATTCGATAATTTCCAAAGGAAAGGAAACATTCCTCCGGCACAATTTAAAGGCTCGCACAAAACATAACCAGATAACCTCCGTCAATCGTACACTTTGAAGGCCCATATTACACTGCGGCTTGGAGAGAAGCGACTGACTGGCTGATTGGTCGATGCTGTTTTGTCGCTTCTCTATGATTGGTCGATCCGAGTTCAATGATTGCAGTTCTATGACGTCATGATCTAACAATGAAGAGTATTATTTTTTTTATGTCGTAGTACATTAAAAGAGCATTATATAAATAATAATAATAATATAATATTATATAAATTATACAAATTTAATGTATAAATCATTATCATATGTTTAAAGTTTATTTGAAAATTAAGATACAGCTATAGATATATATGTATATACACACTATATGTATTCATATGTAGCAAAAATGTTTTGGCATTATTAAATACTTATGTTCATCATCATGTATTCATTATATATTATATATATTTTTTATACATATATGTATATTCATATTTATATATAAAATAATTAGCCTTTTATATTTAATTAAATTATATATATAATTTTATACTACGAATTTGCAAATAGTTGTCAACCTGATTTCCTTGAGTTCCTTGATTACTTGAAAAAAAAACTCATGGACCACGAAGTTGAGCCAACAAAGCTTCATTCTTGCGACATTCAATAGTGAGCTGTCTGACTGCTACAACATATTTACGTTGTTGCTCCACAAGGACAACGAGTTGTCGACTAAGGGCATCCCGTCGATTTTTTTCATCAGTGCATCGTTTCTCCACCTAAAAATAACTTTCTTTTATTCTGCAACACTAGCTTATCATTGACTAGAATTTAAAAAAAAAATTAAAATGCACATAATTTAGAGACATATAGTATTTATGTGAGTGTAAACAGATAAATATTCAATCAATTTATATTTACAAAATGGTAATAATTCAATCGACCAACTCTGGCAAATAAGTAATTTTATTAAATTTTCACAACGTTTCGGCCCTTATCAAGTGCTATGTTCTTAAATCAAAGTAAATCACAACTTTTTTAAAAAACAAAATTCGATCTTAGAATATGACATCATATAACATGATAGTATAAAACGAAATAACTATGTCGTTTCATACTATCATGTTATATGATGTCATATTCTAAGATCGAATTTTTGTTTTTTAAAAAAGTTGTGATTTACTTTGATTTAAGAACATAGCACTTGATAAGGGCCGAAACGTTGTGAAAATTTAATAAAATTACTTATTTGCCAGAGTTGGTTGATTGAATTATTACCATTTTTTAATTATCATCTGGTGACTTCATAGTTTTATATCACATATTTTATATTTACAAAATTAATTAATTCTGAAAAAATAATCTTTATCTTTAAGCTCACAAATATAGAGAATATAATATTATATATTTTACTTCCTATAATATTCATTATATTAAAGCTTCCACTTTAATATAAAGAAATCACGTTTTTTTATCATAAAATCTATACACATATAATATATAAATCTAATTTAAGATAAATACTCATTTTCATCCATTTTATTTTCCTTAAATTTAATTTTAAGACAGTTTTTATTATTGCAAATATTATGTCTCTAAATTATTAATTTTGTTTTTAAATAATTATGTGCTTTGAATATTACCATTCCTTTGTTACGTTTTACTCCAGCAACAATTGTCTCAAATTGTTTCAGGAATTGTTCCTTGCCACTCGATGATGCCATGGCTCTATTTTTTGTAAAATATATTATATTAATATTATGAATATTTAATGTCATTATAATGTCATTATATTTGTGATACATACTCATTATAATTATCCTGAATCGAATTTAACAACGATAATTCTTTACTTATATACAATTTCGTATCATCCAGAGTATTATATAATGTATAATATTGTTTAGTTTCCTTATGCTTGGCTGAAACTGCAACAATAATTTTTCAATCAGTATTTCTTGAAATTAATTTTATCGATTTCATTTTATACTGCAGCATATTAATCTTATTAATTAAAAATATAAATATGTTTTTTAATCGGCCAACAGAACCAAAGCACGAAAAATTAATTATTCGGAACTGTATCTCTTGGTTTGAGATCACTAAGTTCCATATATAAATTCTTGTCAATCCATCATGTACAAAGAAAGTTCCTCTAACAAAGAGAAGTCCTCTAAAAATACTAAAATATAAAAATATATAGATTAATTTATATATGGAACTTAGTGATCTCAAACCAAGAGATACAGTTCCGAATAATTAATTTTTCGTGCTTTGGCTCTGTTGATTTAAAAAACATCATATTTATATTCTTAATATTGAGAGCCGATAAAAATATTTCTTTCTGATTTTATTAATTAAAATTATACTAAATAATACTAATTATATATTATATAGTATTATATAGTATTATAATAATAATAATAATAATTATGTATTATATACTATTATATAATATTATATTTACTATTATATAGTATAACAGTAATAATAATAATTATAATAATTAAACTATATTAAATTATACTAATCATAATAAATAATTAAAATATACTAAATCTACTTGATAAATATTCCTACCTTGATTATAAAGTTCCATAAAGCGTCGTTGATATTGCGTCAGTTCAGAACGTCCTGGGACATCATCCATTTGTCTCATCAAAGATGCAATAATTCTATTTTTCTTAGCCAGTTGTAATCGCATTCGTACTACAGCCTCCTTTTGTTCTTTATATTCTTTAACACAATCTTCTTCCTCCGCTGGAGCATCATCTTCAACTTCTTGTAACATACCTCGAAAAAAATTTAGGTCCGACTTGCATTGTTCTCGAAAATGGTGTTCTTGTTCTTTCAATCCATCATGTACAAAGAGAAGTTCCTCTAATCGTTTAAAAATACTAAAAAAGAAATAGATTATTTTGTATAATATTAAAAATAGCATTAATATCTAAATTTATAAATATAGAATTTAATTGATTATAATTAAAGTAATTTTATTACTCTTAAATACCTGTCATTATCATTAATTCCAATTTCCTGAATTTTTTTAAATGAATTCTCAATAGCTTCTCTTTTTCCACGGTATTCTTTTATTTTTTCTATTACTTCTGTGAATTTATTCGATAAGCCATCTCTTTCCTTTATTAACTTACTAAGTCTAGATTGTAATGTTCCTTTTGTTTATGTAAAGCATGTAACAAATCACTAGTGCCACTATTCTATATTAATAAAACCATAAAAAATAAAATTATTAAAATTTGTTGTCTCACATTTCAATTATATTGCATAAAAATATCACGCGCGTTTTATATAAGGATTTACCTCTGCTTTAGAAATAGACATGGCCGCATATTTTTCTGTTACTTTAGCAATTTCTTGTGCTTGTATATCAACAATATTCCCAACTGTGTTCACACTTAAACGCATCTGGGGATGAAAGATTAAATTGATAATTGATATAAAATAAAAATAATTTATATATATATATATATATATATTTGTATATTTTATTTATATTATATTTAATTTTACATTTTTATATATATTAATTTTTTAAAAATAATATTTTAATATGACAATTTTCAATAACAATATTTCATGTAATTTCAACTAAAAAATCATTAATTATTTTCGAAACTATCCTATGGATGAAAAATATATGCATACATATAGTTATTAAAATTTTTGATCTAAAAATTCCTTTACTATAATAATATATCCCACACAAAAATTATTATTTAATACAAACTTAAAACTTCTAATATATATTTTATAATTTTACATACCGAATTATCTTCTATAACAGCTAAAGCAGCAGTAATTTGTTCGGTAGTGTTCTATAGAGAAAATAGAAACATTAATTACTATATAAATAACAGTAATATTAATAAATTTAAAAGTAATAAAAATGTTTCATTACCTTTTCATTTTTTTCATTATTTAATTCGTGTTTTGAATTGTTGCTTTTAGATTTTAATATCGTTGTTATAGATGTAGTTTTAATAGCATCAAAAGGTGCTTCGTATTCCAATACTGTTCCAATAAATCTGCTTGATTCGTCTTTGATAAAACCCTCTTTTTGTTTGAACAAACGTCGTGGTTCATAGGCTTTCTATCATAAATATAAAATTACATATAATTATTATATATACCTAAAGTATATTTATTACAAAAATGTAAAAATGCAAATACAAATATATTAGTTACGTATCTGTATGTTTCTTTAGAAATAAATCACACCTTGACCAAATGTAGATTTCTAACGACAACTTTGTTAGTCGTCACTCCATTCTCAAAGTTTTCGCTAAATGAATGCTTCTTATTGAATTGATTCAATGCAAAGCCTCTCACAAAACCTGCCATTTCTTGGCGCATTTCCATGGAACGTTTCACCAACCACTGAATAACAGGGAATATATGAATGCAGTCTAAACCTTGTATTTGATGTGGTTCTATTCGGTAAGGACAGTTCATTTTGGGGAGCATAACTACTATTTTCTCCGTCAAGGAACTGCAACATATATAAAAAAGTTGTCTTTAGAAAGAATTTTTACATAAAAGATTTAAATAATATATTATATATTATTAATTTATTATTAATGTAATTAAAATATGATATTAATAATTCTTATAAATTAACAAAAATTAATCAAAATTAAATTAAATTGAAATTTTTAACTATATATAGAACATACATTTTTTGACCAATGGTGAGATTCTCTTGGAAAAGTAGATCCACATCTACATCAAAATTACAGGATTTTATACACCAGGTCATTCCACCGATAACCTGTTCAAACATATTATTTTTAATTATGTATAAATTGTAAACAAAAACTAAAAATAATTCACATACCTTATCAAAATTGGATAAACCTTTTATCCGTGCTCTAAAGTAACCTGCTGCAACGAGTAAGTCAATAATCTCTTGAAATTTAGTAGTTTGTTCCTCATCCTCACGTACGTCCACCTAAAAATACATTATTGAACATTTAAATGAGTAATTCAACATTTTAATAAAACTATGATTAATATAATCAACGATTATTTTATCAAACAATACAATATTTTTTAATATATGAAATAACTGATAAGTTAATCAAAGTTTGATCAAAATAATCCTTAAAAATAAGTAAAACCATGAAAATATATCATTATAAAATTGTATATTTTATCAACTAATTGATCCATTGTTTTAATATAAAGAAAATTCTATAAATATAAAACAATATATTTTGACTGACATGAAAATAATACATATATAAAAATAATATTTGTATTCTACAGAAGTTTTTATACTTATATTTTTATATACATATATAGAATAAATTTGTTTATTATATACAAAAAAATTTTTATTATATATAAAATAAATTTTTGTAAAATATATATAATACAAAAAATATATAATAAAAAATATTTTTCTATAAAAATAATTTTCTTATTTACGAATTTTTTACAATTACAACACGCATGCGCACAAACGTAACCACCCACTCACATACATACATATACTTGTAATATTATCAAAAAATAAGTATACATATAAACATATATATATTGTACACTTAAAAATATCAAATAAACGAATTTTTAAATGACCTGATAATAACAACAATATTAATATGTCAACTTATTTTATTGAAGTTATTTAATTTTTTGAATAAAAACGATCTAACCTTAAAATTACAAATTACAAAGTGTAAACTTATCTATCTTTATATTAATGTAAAAATATTTTACTGAACGGAAAAATCTATATGAAAGCTCATAAATATAATAAATATAAAGCTATATGGGAAAATATATTTATTTAAAAATATGCAGTCGCATGCGTAGTCAATGTTTTAATTTTTTAAAGAGTTTTTGGAATGCATATAAATTTTCGTACTTAATTAATTTGATAGATATATATCTTGGGACGCATACCTCCGTACTTTCAGAAGTTCTTGATAATTTTTCGGTACATCATTCAACATACTACAATTCTTCACGGTTGCTGTCATATACTGCCATAAACTACTATGCATACCTAGAAGGATGTCTTTGACACAAACGTCAAACGTCATGTGACGTCACATGACTGACATTCCCAACGCGCTGTTTTTCATGAAAAAGCACTCTGACATATTTAAAGCGAGCTTTTAAGAATAAAGAATAATAAAATTTTTATTAAAAAATACACAAAAAGTTTGACGATCGAGCTCTATTTAGCAAACGTACGTTATTTTGACGTCGATGACGTCATTAACTGTCAAATAATTAAAATTTAAAATAGACGAGAAATTTACGGGATAAAATTTTATTTTATATCAATAAATAAATAATATACAAAAAATATACATACACATATAATATATCATTAATATTAATATTACATTATTATTAATAATATTAATATATAATTATTTAATATTATTTTTAATATTATTAGTATTAATAATATTAATATTAATATTAATAATATTAATATTAATAATATTAAAAATAATAAAAATGATTTTCTAGGTAATCAAGCTTCTCTGGTAAAGTCAAAATAATTCAGAGCGCACATCTAGATATAATTTAAGCTCTATGAATTTCGGCGCGTTTAGAATCTAGGGAATCTAGTGATTTCTCTCTAAACTTTCCGGGGACTTCCGTCAGCCGTAAACAATTTTCAACAGTGGCCGATCCTAATCTCGCGACTGACGTTTGAGACGGTTTATTATATGTTATTAATGATCGTAGCCGAGCGTTTTAAAATAATTTCGTATTAAATTACGTCAGACCGCGTTCCGCCTCGTGTACGTTCAGTGTTATCGTTTTTTCCGCATCGGTTTGTTGTTTGTCGTCGTCGTCGCCGTCACCGTTCGTGCATTACTTTAGCTAGAGAGAGAGAGAGAGAGCGAAGAGAGGTTAATTTTGGCGATGGGAAACGTTCATACTTGCGGCCCGAATGAAGCTCTCGTGGTGTCGGGTGAGTCAAAAATCCATTTAGCAGATCTAAAACATATATAAAGTATATGCGACCTCAAATATATGTGAGTTTTTTTTCAAAACGCTTCGCCTGACATTGGCGACACTATGACTGTCCTGCAATTAACGATTGGTTAACAGTTTGGTGTTCTGTGTAAACAAGTTTATGCAGAAAAATGTTTAATTTTATATTGCACTTGAACTTATCGTACACGATATGAAACGATCTCTAAAACGATAATACAGTTTTTTTTTGCAATTTGGAACTAATATTCTGCATTTGCTACATTTTACTGTAGATTTTTAAAGTTTCTTTGTAAATTAAAAAATTAGAACAAGAGGAAAAAGTTTTATTTTATACCCTAAAAAAATATTTTTAAAATAAGAAAAATTCTTATTTGGAAACAACTTGATAAATATTATTCGCAGAAGCATTTCCTGTCATTTTTATTAGCATCTTTAATAGTCAATGCTACTGAATTAAATTAAATATAGCATAGGAAGTGTGTAAGCATAGTATCTCTATGTTAAATAAAAGTAATATTTGAAATGAATATTTTGTGGTGTCGGGTAAGTAAAAAACTTTTATTTAGTATATCTGAAACATATATAAAGCATGTGCGATCTGAAGTATATGTGAGTTTTTTGGAAAACGCTTTGTCTGACATTGGCAACATTATGACTGTTCTGCAGTTAATGATTGGTTAACACTTTGGTGTTCTGTAAACAAGTTTATGCAGAAAAATGTTTGAAATTGTATATCACTTATACACTTGAATTTATCGTACATGATATGAAACGATAATACTAATAATTTTTGTAATTTAGAACTAATATTCTGCATTTTCTACATTTTACTGTAGATTTTGAAAGTTCCTTTGCGAATTAAAAAAAAATGATTATTGAGATAAGAAGAAAGTCTTATTTTATATTCTAAAAGAAACATACATTTGTAAAATAAGATAAAATTCTTATTTCGAATCATCTTGATAAATATTATTTACAGAATAGCGTTTTCTGTCATTTTTTTCTAGCATCTTTAATAGTCGACGCTACTAAATTGAATTAATTGTAGTGTAGGAAGTGTGTAAGCGTAGTGTCTCTAAAAGTAATATTTGGAATAAGTTTGTAACATAAATCATCTCTCACAAACTTATTTAGTAATTTTCTGTGTAAAAGCATATTAATAATATTAAAGATTCTATTGAGTGTCTCGTAGCATTAGATTTATATATATATATGTAAATTAATATAATACATAATTATGGAGAAAACAAATCAACGAAACAATAATACAAGCAATTTCAATTAGTCGAAAATGGTAAAACTGCATAAAAATAATTAATAATTGTTCATTTGTATAAGTTTGATTTAAATAAGCAAAAGTGTACATTTGTTCTCAATTGAGTTGGCATTTGGAGTAAATTGCCAAAACTTTTAAAATTAAACAGATTAAATTGAGAAAAATTATAGCAATCTGTAATATATAAAATTTTCTCAGATATTATTTATTATACTTTCTTTTAGAATTAGAATAAAATCATAAATATTGTGCAATTATATAAATAAACTATTAAGTTCCTACAAAATAACTATACGTTTTGATAGTATCTATCAAATAAAAAGAAAATTATTTGTATTTAATTAACAGAAATATCAATTTACTTTCTATTTTTACTTTCCATTTTTTATTGTTATAATACTTTTAAATGGATATTAGAATGTAACGAAGAAATATATACAAATATAATGTATTATGCAGTAGCAAAGTAATATTAATAAGCTATATAATATGCTATAAAGTTGTAAGAGAATTTCTAGATAATTGGCACTAAATTAAGAAAAAATTAGTTGAATTAATCACTTAAGTGGTGACGATGAAAAAGAAAATACCAAAAAATTGATACAATTTATTTTAATGGATAAAAGATTTTTATATAAGAGTTTTCGAGGACGTTGATTATAAATATGAATTTAACGTTGCACAATTAAATTGTTTAAACAATTAAATTAAACAAGATATTGTAAAATAATCCTTACACAGTTGAAAATAATTATATACAATGCTATTTTGTTAAAAAAGTAACTAAAACTAATTATTTTTTTCTAATAGAGATTATTAACTATTTATTTATGGCTCTAAATAAGTAACAAAATTAATTAATATTTTACCAAATTGGGAAAAATGTTAAGTGCCAAAATTCTGAAAATAGATAATAAGTATAAAAGACGTATATTTTTTTAATGATACATTAAAATATAAATAATAAAGGTACTAAAATAATAATTATTTAATTACATTAAATTAATTGTGCATTTTGCACAACTCATTTCTCGATACTATATAGCTGTGCAGTTCTTTAAGAATTTTCAAAGCTAATTATAAATATATGACCTTTACCTTTCTATAGATTATAAAACATTTTAGAAGAGAGAGTAAAATATATTCTCTCTTAGGAATTTATATTTATTAATATCTCATCCTAACAATTATAATTCATCAATATGGATCATAATAGCTATTGCGTACAGTAATTTATATGCATTGTGCACGTATGCATAAATGTATAAAATATCTCTTGTGTTTTTTTGAATAATAGGTGTAAAAAAAAATTATATAGTTTATCTCTTTATCTACGTCATCTTGGACTTAAACGCCGAGATAAATATGATAATTGTCGATTATGATAGATTGGAATGCTCGTATTATTAAAAATATATTTATCATGTATTTTCTCATAGAATATTTCTTTTTTTTTTGTCGCTTATTTGTAATTCCATTAATTTGTGAGCTTGTTGTGCGAGACACGCAAAGGCGGGATGTGAAAGGTTTCCATCGCGATTAGCCAGTTACGTCATTGACGAGGACGATCGATGCGTTTGTTCGTGTCAAATAAATACCCTTGAACACTCATTGTACATAGTTATTATTTGCTCGGCGAATTAACGCCGAGCATTATTACGGTTGTGCGTCAATAGCAATTTTGCACGATTGTAGCTGATAAGTGGTTCTAACGGTAATAAGAAATGTATTGAATTCCGAAGAAGAATTTCCAGTTAATTAAATTTATACTTATAAATTTAACATATATAAGATAGGCAATAAGAGCCAAATCGCGGATGACAGTGCGTTATTCTAAACGAAACTAAATTTTTTCGTTAGAATTAAATACCTGTGCACAAGGCACCAAATTTTTACTTGGACACGGCCAAGATATAAAATTGGAATAATCTCTACAAGAGATTTTTAATTCCATGTATCCCCTATTCCCCTAAAGAAATAAAGTGCGAGAGAAAAATATAGATCCGAAAGTCGCAGAATCGGGAAACGAACCCGAGACCTTTCGCTTGCCGGGCGACTGCTCTTCCAACTGAGCTATTCAGATCCTTTCGATTCTATACTTTTCTCTGTTATATATATTAATGTTGGTAAATAAACGCCTTTAAGCCAGCGTGTATAAATTAAGAGTTTAACTAGGCTCTGTAATATATAAATATAAATTTAACATATATAAGATAGGCAATAAGAGCCAAATCGCGGATGACAGTGCGTTATTCTAAACGAAACTAAATTTTTTCGTTAGAATTAAATACCTGTGCACAAGGCACCAAATTTTTACTTGGACACGGCCAAGATATAAAATTGGAATAATCTCTACAAGAGATTTTTAATTCCATGTATCCCCTATTCCCCCTAAAGAAATAAAGTGCGAGAGAAAAATATAGATCCGAAAGTCGCAGAATCGGGTCATCCGCGATTTGGCTCTTATTGCCTATCTTATATATGTTAAATTTATATTTATATATTACAGAGCCTAGTTAAACTCTAAATTTATACTCTTTCGAATGTTACTACATTCTGAAAAAAAAATAAATTTAATTCTAAATAAAAAAAATCATCTAATTAAATTTGAGCTCTAGGTAGTACTACAATAGTACGAAAAATATTTTTATTTCTATAGAATAAAAAAATAAAATACATTTTCTTATTCCATAAAAATAAAAGCTTATATGGAATAACTTTGCTGGATTATTTTTTTTCTACAAATTAACTTTTTTATATAGAAATATTTTATAAGAACTATATTTTTTTCTTTACCAAATTTCTATAAAAAAGTTAATTGTAAAAAAAAAATAAAAATATAATTCTAAAAAAGAAAACCAATTAATTGTGCTCTTACTACAATAATACGAAAAATATATTTTACTTTTTCTTAATAAAAGTTTCTATGGAGTAACTTTGCTAGAGTATTTTTTTACAAATTAACATTTTTATAAAAATTCTTTTATAAGAACTATATTTTTTCTTAAAAAAAAATTTCTATAAAAAAGCTAATTTGTAGAAAAAAATAATCACTCTATAGAGAGTTTGATGTATAATTTATCGGAAATGACAAGCTTTTTTCTCGATATTAAAAAGAAAATAAACTAATAAAGTTACTACAGCTTGATAATATGTATTTTTATTCATTTTTAGATGACCGATTGCACAAAAATACAGAAAGAGAATAATTATTTCCTTCAATTTTTTGACAGTGAACATGATTTGCCTTTCAAAAATTGCTATTACAATTTTAAAAAATGTATTAAAATGCCAAAAAGTTATTTTAATTATAACTATGATATATTATAGAATATATTTATTATAGTATGGCGATATATTTTATTGCAGTAAATATATTAAACACATTAAAAATTGTAGCTTCCAAAAAGGATTCGTCTATTATGTCAATTATGTCGGTTAATAAAATATTTATAATTAAATATGTCTATTGCACAAAAATTGTGAACTAAACTATTTATCAAGTATTTTTAAAGATATTTATTTAAAATTAAAGCGTTTTCCAGGTCGCTAAATATGGATTTGATATTAAATTTGATAAAATTTATAATAATGAAATTAATAAAAAAACCATGACAATTTTTTTAAATTTTGATATATATGTATACTATATATATAAATATATTGATATATTGATCCATTATTTTTTTAATTCATGAATTTTGATAACGTATTCATATTCAGATCTATATAAGTGTAATCCATAATATTTTTATAATTGTTATTATAATAAACTATTTCCTTAAATAATTATTAATAAACTATCTTATCTCAAAACATAAAACTACAATTTAAATGACACGTTTTTAAGGCGAAAATTAAGTAATGATTATATATTGGCCTTAAAGTCTTAACTCAAAGTTAGAAATTAAAAATAAAATATAAAATTTATAATAAAAAAACGCGACATTTTCAGACGTAGGTTGCAGGTTCAAAAATGTATTTGTCACTCTTTATTAATTTGTATAAATATTATTAGTAGTTTTGAAGCATCTTTTGTATACACACACACGGTTTCAACGATCAATTTATCCCATTTCCTAAATTAAAGAAGGTAGAAGTAGACTACAATAAATATAAACTAAATTAAATGATTCAAATTAAATTGTTATAAATCTAATGATCGCTTATAAAAACTAATATATCAAAAAACGAAGAAACAATGCAATTTTTTACAACTTTTTTATGAACAAACACATATCACAATTATTGTACTTGTTTTTATCAATTATTTTGTTCTTAGAAACAGTATTGATTATTCAATTAATTTTTTTTTCTTTATACGTCAAACAATTTAAATAAATAATGAGCGTAAAATTACCTGGAGAATCATGTATGTCATTTCAACATCTTGGAATTACTTATAAGTTGGAAAACTCAGTACTTTATCGACTTATTAATTATTTATTTTAATACTTAGAATTGTTTTCGTCTTTATTACTATGTTTATCGCTAATTGTTTTTTACTGTTCGTTAACTATTAAATTATTTTTTTTAAACTTTGGATTTCCCGCAACCATGTTAATTATGACGTCAGAGGCGAGAAAATACACGTTGAAAATTTTTGCGTGTCATTTTTAGGTAAAAAGATATTTTGAAACACAACTTTAGATGGTTTTAACAGACTTTTAAAATACTTTTCAAATCTAATAAATTACCGCCAAATTTTTATTTTTAATATTTAATTAATTTTAATTTTATTAAAATAATAGAGTATCTATAATCCTTATATTTTACTCTAAATAAAAACTCATAAAAATTTTTTATATTTTAATTTTTTTATTAATTTAACTGATTAATATAATTTATTCTTATTATCAGTTTAACCACAATTGTTGACACCTAAATTTATTATTAATAATTCAAAAACAATGATTATTTATAATTTTCATCAAAATAATTATTTAAATATTAATATTTATATTTAACAGTACTTATAAAATAAATCTTTTAAATAAAAATTTATTTATATTAAAAGAAAAGGTTAGTTTTTAAATTGTATTAAAACTGCCATCAAAATAAAAATTTTTTTATCTAATCACGGCACGCAAAAATTTTCAGCGCGCATTTTCTCGCCTCTGACGTCACAATCTAACTGGGCGCAACGAGTACTTTAATTTTTTCGATGGCAGAAAAAAAAAGAATCTTATGCGCCTTCCCAGGTATCCTTGATCATATCCGCGCCTTTCTCGCCGATCATATAAATTACCGCATTTGCATGACCAGATGGTATCGTTGGCATGATCGCAGCATCGACCACTCTAAGTCCCTTGATGCTGTAAACTCTCAGTTGCGGATCAACAACCGCATTAGGATCCGTCCGCGGTCCCATTTTGGCGGTTCCGATCTCATGATTCATCATGGACGGTAGATGCTTGATCGCGCAACGCCAATAATCATCGGAACCGAACTCAAATGATTCGCAACCTGGTAGTTTTATGTCGTGCAACTGACTGCCGTAAGCCTGAAAGGCTTCGGTCTTGGATATGTTAATGGCGTGTTTCACTCCTTCTAAGACAATCTCTAAGTCAGCCGGGTGATCAAAGAAGTTCGGATCCATCTTGGGTGGTTTAAACGGATCCTTAGATTGCAACGTAAGACGACCGACGCTTCTGGGATACTGAACGATCGGCCAGATCGACCAAGCGTCCCGATTTTCGATAGGCCTGAAGACGGTGTTGTACACCTTATCCGTGATTCTCAAGGCCGTCTTCAAAACGCTACCGTTGTCCGAGTGCAGAGAGCCGGATGCGAAAAGCAACTCGACATCCGGTCTCTCGTCGGGAGCGTATTTGGTTCTGATGAACGCCAGAGACTCGGCGCCTCCGGGAACCGACATCAGGCCGTCCTTGTGTAAGAAATATTCCAGGAATATGTTGGGATTTAGGAGCTTGTTCTGCAGCAACGTCACGCTCTGGTTCACCATAAAAGTCAGCCCCAGGAAACCAATATGTTCGTACATGTTGTAACCAACTTTGGAGTCCTGAATCACCGGGATGTTCAATTCCTCTAAGTGGTCCCTTGGCCCAATTCCTGACAACATAAGCAATTTGGCCGAATCGATCGTGCCGGCTGACAGTACGACTTCTTTTGAGCAAGTGACCTTCTTCCACACGTTGTCCTTGATATATTCGACACCGTACGCGCGTTTGTCTGCATTGATCAACACTTTGGTCACTCTGGCGCCGGTGACGATCTCCAAATTCGGTCGATCCAGGTGAAGATAAGCCTTGGCGGCGCTGCATCGCTTTCCATGATCCATGTTTACCTGAATGTACGAGAATCCTATCTGATCCTTGCCATTGTAATCCACAATTTCATATCCCAATTCTCGACCAGCCTCTAGGTACGTCGTAGCTAGCTTCGTATGATATGGCACGTGCTCCACACACAAGTTACCGTTGTCGTTGTGATATGTATAGTCCTTGATATCTAAGTATAGAAATAGCATTTGATAGTGTCATAAGTCTTACATTTTTTTTCATTTAGCAAGACAAGTCAAAATGTCAGATTTGATTGCTTTTGTATAAAAAGTATTATGTATTTTCTATTTTTAAATAATTTTATTCGAATGGATTAATCTGAAATTGAAGTGTAAAACATATACATAGGCGAAAAACAAAAATTGCAAAACAAAATTAATAATTTTCTATAATAATTATAAAAATATATTTTTGCTTTCATCAAACTGATGGAATTTAACAATAATTGAAACAATAAATAATTAGCTATTGCTTGTAATTATGTTTTATAATATAAAGATTAATATAATACAAATTTAATGGTATAATTTATGTTAACTTTTTAAAATATATAAAAATAAAATTTTTGTCTCATGAATTAATATTTTGTCTTCAGAAAAATTGATATCATATATATTTTATAAATATTTGAAAGATAACGTTTCGATTATTTATGCAATATTATTGAGGTTTTTAATGTGCAAGAGAATAAAAAGATTAAAGTAAATTATGAAAAACATTTATATTTTCCTATTAATTAACTTATTTGGAAGAAGCACTAAATGTAGAAATAATAACTTCGTAAATCTTTCAACGTAATTCAATCAGAAATCTTCTGTTGTATAAAAAGAAATATGTTTAGTTTATACTTATATTATATTAACACTTAATAACTTTTAATGAGGTTGATATTATAAAATTTCTCCTTTTTCCCCATCTTTCTTTTCTCTTTTTATAGTCTTTTTCTCTTGCACTTCTCAAATTTTCCTTTTCTTTTTCTCTCTCTTTCTCTCTCTCTCTTTTCTGTTATATATCTTTACTTATCATTTTCTGTATACTGAGAAATAGTCTTATTCCAATGTGTATAAAGTTCAATGTTCTTAAAGAATTCTGATATTTGAAGGAAATTGGTGATAATAATAGTTTTTATATTGTACAATATTCTATAGAGAATATATTATTACAAAAGTATTAAATGTAGGAAATGAAAATGTATAATATAATACATTTTAATTTTTACATATCTTAGAGAGCTCTGAATTGTGTACATTTTGAATCGCGTGGCGAACTTTAAAGCTCCTTGGTACTCACTGTCATGTTAAATTGTGACGTCAGAGGCGAGAAAATACACGTTGAAATTTTTTATGTGCCATTTTTAGATTAAGAGATATTTTGATGAAACACGACTTTAGATCATTTTTACACGCTTTTAAAATATTCTGAAAACTATTTTTTTCCTTAACAGTCACTCAACGACCATAAAATAATTGAAACATCAGACTTTGTCATGCGGAATGACTGCGCAAGCCTCATAACAGTCATTTTACAATTGATTGATTATAAAGGGAAAAATAGACTTCGATCTATTTTAAAAATATGCTGAAGTTATCTGAATTAATGTTTTATAAAAATATTTTTTATCCAAAAATGACACGCGAAAATCTTCAGCGTGTATTTTCTCGCCTCTGACGTCACAAATCCAACATGACCGCGGCGAGGAGTCAGGAGCATTAAAGGAACAAAAAATGGACTTACCTGGCACCTTAAATCGTTCACTTTTTTTAAAATACGGAAGAACATCTTTGTAGGACCAGCCCACGTTGCCCAAACTGGCCCATTTGTCATAATCCAACTTGTTCCCGCGTGTATGGATCATATAATTTAGGGTACTCGTTCCACCCAAGGCTTTACCTCGCGGCCAGGAACATTGGCGATTTATCATACCCAGACAGGCGTTCTTCTGCGGCTCCACCAGATATCCCCAATTATAATCGGTCAGTTGGAAGTAACCGACCAGGAGTGGGACCTGATTGAGAAGGTTTTGCGCGTATCCCGCTTCCAACAACAGAACCTTCCATCTTTTGTTCTCCGACAAACGATTCGCTAAAACGGAACCAGCCGATCCGGCTCCCACGACGATGAAGTCGTACTTGGGAAATTCGATCTCTTGTCTAACTACATGTGCGTAATTTTTGACTAGATCCAGAAAGTCCTGAGCACTGTGGCCCGATGCGATGATGGCGATGAACAGCAATAGAATCCTCATTTTGTACGATTATGATTCTGCAAAATTACGATTCACATTCCTCTTATAGAAGCACTAAACATATTATTACAACCAGTGTTTGCTGTTATCTAAATTATATAGATGATCGTTTAGATAAAACTTTGGCTTATCTATAGATAATAAAAATATGTATTATCTGTATCTGCATTTTACAATTAGATGAAAAAGTGTTATCTTTGCTAGAATAATTTTCAGGTAATTTTGGTTTAGAATAATAGCACATAAAAATATCAGTGTTATTATCTAGAATCTAGAAAATTATCTAGATGAATCCTCATATAATTTTATTTTTTATCTAGATATATTTAAATCAAAATCATCTTAATCTTATCTAAGATGAATTTACATATTTTTATCTACCTAATTTTTAAATTATCTAAGCACAACACTTGAACACACATATCTACTTAATTTTTTCTAAACACGTTTACTCCTCGTTCGAGAAATTCAGCAATTTTTCAAACACTTCCCTTATAATTCGAACCAAAAATTTCACGTACTTCTCAAGATGTGGCTTGGTGGTCCTCGATGACTCGAGAAGAATGAGAAATCAAAAGCAACAATGCAGGACTGAACTGACTGAACTCTCCGGCGACGAGTATTTATAGGTTGTAAAAAGTTTTTATCGTCAACGAAAAGTATTTGAAAAAAAATTATGACTTCGTAGAAAAATAGGTGTGTCCAAGTGTTTCTGTTTAACTGATACAAATCTCTTTTTGCTTTTTTACATCTGATCTTACTTTAAAAATGCATGATATATATATGTGCGTGAGTGGATATGAAAATGTTCCATCAAAAATTAGAATAACAAATTTAATTAGTTTCGTGAAAAAATTGCTAATTCATGTGTCTTCGCAGACATATAAAAATATGTATATCATTTCACTCTTTTTTACAGATTACATTAAAATCAATTTTTTAATAAGTATTATATTTTATTATATATATTTTAATTAATGTCGACGCGATCTGCACAATGGTGTAATCAAAAGTAGTGTTTTGACTACTCGCCAAGTATTATAAAAAAAAAAAAATAATTCTAGATCAGCTGTGATTAGGTTCAATGTCATTATTTGTCATCGAACGCTATTGCATCTTTTTATTAGAAATTTTTCTATCTCAATCATGTTTTTGATTAAAATATCTCAAAAATTAACGCAATAATAACAACTAACGTTTTTAATATAATATTGACATGTAATATTTAATATAATATTTAACAATAAAATTTATTTAATATAATATGATGTGACTTATATACTAATTTATTTAAATCTGCAATTTACATAATTAAATAATCATTTTTATATATAGTTTAAGATTTTAAATATTTGAAAAATATATGAAAAGTGTAGAAATATTTTTTTATTTATTTTAAAAAATTGTATTGCAGAGATATCTATTTTGTGTCTTTTTTGCTTGATTTATATCATATAGCTTATACGATATTGTAATCTCGATCATTAATTTGATCTCCTTCTTCAAATATATTATTAATATAAAACGTATATTAATTTTAAATTTAAATTACTCCTGTTTAGCTGGTTCCCTCATTTTTCAACAATAAAAAAACCAATAGCGCATAATAATGAGTTATTTATGAGATTTTATAATATATTCCGCAAATTAAAAATTTTGATCTCGTTATATTGGATATAGGAATTTAAAACTTTTTATGGGGTCGACGTCGTCTCAGTCTCTCCACTAGTTAAAAATAAAAATATTGAATCAATCTTTGCGGCAGAATTAGGAGCTATTTATGAGCTTTCAAACTGATAGAGTTTCGATTTTTTAATAACTGTCGAGCTTTTAATTTTTTAATAAGACTTTGCTCTTGTACTGAAAATAAATAGAACATTTTCAATTATGAGCATAATTTTAATTCGCCGTATTTCTGTTATGTACATAATTTTAATTCCCGAGTTTTCTATTAGGTACATCATTTTAATACGCCGAATTTCTAATTTTCTTTTTCTAACTAAGAAATTAGTCGAAACTACTCAACCTCAAAATTAATAAACACTTATCAAATTTTAATAATTATATACACAAATATTTTAATATACATAATTATCAATCCACTAACCCCTCGATGCATACAACTGTCAAAATATGCAATAACACGAAATAAACGCAACGACAGAACCAATCGGTATCGCGGGAAAGAGGCAAGAATAAATATATATATTTGGAGACTCCGGAAGACTTCGAGATATTTAACAACATGTCTTTTTTTAGAGAGGGAGATAATTGACATCGACTCATTGTCAGCCCCCCACAAAGATTGAATTGTTGCCCAATGGAACGAGCTCGAAATTTTTTATTTTTTATTTGGATGTGAAAGCTCATAAATAGCTCATTATTATGCGCTACCTATTGGTTTTCTATTTTTGGAAATATGGTCAACTCGACAGGGGTATTTGAATCAGTTTAAATTTAAATCAGTAATAAATTTAATAACAGATTTACATATCTGAATTTTTTTCTTACTTCTGACTTAATTCTGACAATTTGCTGTCAGCAAGAAGGAGAATTTTTACTTTGCCTGGAATTTTCTCTTTGATTTAATATTAATCTATATATTAATTAATATTTATATTAATATATATATATATATATATATATATATATAGTAGTAGTAGTAGTAGTAGTAGTAGTAGTAGTAGTATATATATATATATATATATATATATATATATTTATTTAATATAATTGTGAAACAAATAAGACATATTCTCTGATAATGAATATTTCAGAATTTTTTGCATTGTGTTATACATGTATAAAGACGAATCAACAATAGTAAAAGATGTGAAAGAATGAATTACTAATACTTGTGTAAATAACGCGAGAAAGAGTTTTTATTTGAACATTTATTATTATTATTATTATTATATATTTCTTAGATGCAGATTAGACAGAACAATTTTTATTATGGACGATCGCAATATTTTGTTTTATCCATAGGATATACAAATATATACGAGTATGTTCATCTTATACTTATATTTCACTTACGCATACATGCATGAGATCCAGATGAGAGAATTTCTCTGGACTACATTTTTATCTTATTATTTTTTTAAATATCTCCAAAAATACTTATCAGCTAAAATGTACAGAAGTAGTAAGCATTAAAACAAAATATATAATTTTTCAATGAAAAATATACACTTCTATTTATATATAAAAATAACCTTAAACTATATATGGCTTTTAACATATGGCCTTAAATCGTCGCTATAAGTATCAAGAATAAGTATCAAAAGTTGTTTTCCTTCAAATATCCTTTGATTTCGATTTACATGAATTTCCCATAAAAGCTTGAGTTGTTTACCTGAGATATTTCACTGTTTTATTTAACATGATTTTACCGTTTTATTTCAAATTATTTTGTTGTTTCATTGGAGATTCATTTTACTGTCTTATTTCGATAATAAAATTATCTACTTGCAACATAATCTTGCATATATTGAGTAATAGAAAGTGTATAAAGCACGCACTAAAAATATAAAGTTACATCATTATATCTCTACGTGTTTTATTGTTTATGGCTTATGGTGGCTCTACGAGCCAGTTTTTGTTACAAAATTGTTCAATATATTTTGGAAGATGATGCTCTAACACAGAATTTTTTTTAGTATTTTTTAGTATTTTAGTATTTTTAGTATTTTTATTTTTGTGATCTTTTCAACCCTGAATTTACACTGTATTTACTGCACAATTTCTGTAAATATTATCACAGTCAAAAATATATTTTTTCAATTAATTAAACAAATAGAGAACGTATTACGAAGTATGTACACTGAAAAAATTTGTTAACTTGACTAAAATAAACTTTTAACAAAATATATTTTGTTAATTGAGCATATAAAAATATTTAAAAATATAAAATATATAATATATTAAATTTAACAAAAATAAAAATGTTTAAATTAAATATATTAAATTTAACAAAACATATACATATATGACTTAAATATTAATATACGTTTAATTAACAAAATAATAATTTAGTTGAAAGGTTTAGTTAAGTTAACACATTTTTTTCAGTGTATAAATGTACACTGGAAAAAAATGTTGTATTAATTGAAATTCTGTTCAAAAATGGAGGAAACAAAATTACTCTAGCATCTTGTTTGCACAACAAATCAGTTGTGAAAACAAGACAATGCAATTTGTTGCATTGAAAGGAATTTTATCCAGCTTATATACATTTCGAAACAAACACTTTCTGCATTCTTTCTTCGTAAACAAATATACATAGGCGCGGCTTCTTTAGCGAATATATCCTTCAAAGTCATAATCGAGGTGATCGACATTTTTGTCCTTGAAGATGAAAAATAAGCTACCAACTAGCCAGACGAATATTATGCACCGTAATTATTGTTACTCGTTTAAGAAACCCGTACTTGCTGACCTTACCGCGATTTTTCATTTAATTTTTGCAGACATCGAATCCCTTGTCTCGATCTGTCCTTCCTATGGACAGATATACAAAAGCGAGAGGTCGCGAAATTGAAATGCATTTGCCTTGTGTATATAATCCGGGCAAATACGTACCACGAAACGTTGGTTCCTCTTTCTTCTCGGTGCACGGGATGTCATTACTTCGTCCTCTCTTCGATGAAGCGCAATGATTTTTCTGTCGCCTCGAAAGAAAGCATATATACCAACTGACCACTCTCCGTTTCGAGACTCGCCGGAGAAATGCGCTTTCTCGTTTCGTTCACGTAATACTTACCGGGCTTGAGTAATGTATTTGGAACTGAGAATCCCTTCTTATAAAGTTATCGCGCACGTGAGCGGTTTGTATATTTGGAGCTCCATTTATTTTGGGTTGCTTCTCGCGAGTTACGTGCTTTTACGATAATAGATAACATGATGGATAATTAATATAAGTATGCTGTCTTCTAAGCTGGGCAATAGAGCCAAGGAAACGAAACGAAAAATTAATTAATTTTTCGTTTCGTTTCCTTGGCTCTATTGCCCAGCTTAGAAGACAGCATACTTATATTATTTATATTGAGAGCCGATAAAAATATTTATTTCTGAGATGATGGATAATTGATCATTTAATGACTTGATATTTTTATGACGATTTGTTAAAAATGATTCAAGAGTAAGGAATGAACATGTAATAAGGAATATATATAATAATCAGGGTGTTTCATAGAAAATTGCTGAAACTGATCAGCTGTCATCTTTTAATGCATGCAGTTATTGAGAAAACAAAAATTGTGTTAAAAAGAGGAAAGTCTGCAATTTTTAATGGATATAAATAAAATGTTTGTATATCAGTTTATGCGATTGAAAAAAAGTAATGAAAAAAGTGCTAATAATCACATATGTAAACTAATGATAAATATTTTCGAAGTGCGCATTATTTGAATTGGTAAAAAAATTCTGTTCTTTTACGAAAACTCGTAAAAACTTTTTTTAACATGTCATTTTTAATGTTATTGATGATCCTTTTAATAGCTGTTATTAAATCTGGCATTGTTAAAAATATTTATTATTAGTTTATGTGATTTTATGTAATTATTAGCACCTTTTTTATTACTTTTTAACAATAAAATCAACTATTATACAAATATTTTATTTATATCCATTAAAAACTGCAGACTTTCCTCTGTCCAACACAATTTTTGTTTTCTCAATAACTGCATGCATTAAAAATGACAGCTGATTAATTTCAGCAATTTCCTATGGGACACCCTGTATAGAGGGTGTCCCAGACTTACCGTCCTCATCCGTTAATGAGAGATTCCTGCGGTGATTTGGAGATTATTTTTTTCTCTGCGAAAATTGTCGAGAGAAGTCATTTTTTGCATGTTCGAATTTTTGCAATTCGAATAAATATTTATTTCAATACTGCCCAATAAATAATTTATTTTAAACTAATAATATTGATTTAATATGAAAAATATTGATTTGATATAAAAAAATCTTTTTCAAAACAAATCAATATTTATTTGTTTCAAATAAATTACTTATTAGACAGTATTGAAATAAATATTTATTTGAATTCATTTCTTTAGTGTATTTTTATAACTAAATCTTAAAAATTAAAATTATATTAAAATAAACTCTACCTGAAATAAGTTGAAGAAAGTAATTTTTCAATCTCTTATAACTGGAAAATTATTGGTTCCTTGATATTTTTGCTAAAGAAAAATCGTCTCTCATTAAGGGGTGATTCGGTAAATCTGGGACACCTTGTATATTATATACATACTATGATATGATTCAACATATCATTTTAAGCAAGAAAATTACATAAACATGTTCTATTCTGGACAATAAAAAGATACATTTCAGTTTTAAGGGCGAATACATTCATTCATTACTTATTAGAACCAAATTTTATAAAATATGTATATAAAATTTTAAGCTTGCAATATATATTTGAATAATTGATATTAATTAATAAATAATTTTCAATTAATAATAATTTTTTGAATAAGCGAATATGAACCATTTTAATTACCAGAAATTTTAAACTGACTCAGGATTTATCAAACGTGAACTAATGTTTACATTCATAATCAATATAATAAGAAACAAGGAAAATTTATTTAATAAATGTAAATGTTCGTCCTTAAACGTATTTTCATAACAGTCCAGAATAGAATGTTTATATTTTTTTGCTTAAAATGATATATACAATTAAGTCCTAGAATGCTGATCATTCTTTCTAAAACACCCTATATAATATATAATAAATATATAATAAAAAATAAATTTATATTATAAAGGAAATAAAATAAATATTGTATATATATATATATATATATATATATATATACATTTTATATATTGTATACATATAATAAAGAATAAATATAATATAGAAAAATATATAATAAATACAATAATAAGGAATAAATATCGATAATTTGCACGAATAAGAAAAAAAAGAAAAATATGCATTCTTGGAAAAACCACAAGACAACTACATTTAGAATATTGTTTATCTTTATGTTTTATTGTACATTTATATTTTTTATTTGCAATCATAAATATTTTAATTCTACTGACACTAGTTTACAGCTAAACATTATTTTAAATCAGAAAGTGTTTCTTATAGATTTTTGGATGTCGAAAACAATGTCGCAAACCAATTTCACTAACACATCAGATTTAAAAAAAATGATTTTTTTGCGATAATTGAGATTTTTTGTAAAAATGATTAACGTTATCTGGTAAGTCTGATCAGATCTTATCGTAATAGATTTCACTAATTATAAATGTATATTTATATATAGGGTGTCTTATTTTAAATATTTGCCTTAAATTTTTCAAAACAAATGCATTTGCCAAAAAATTTGTAGACAAAAATTGTATGATCTATATAAAGAAAGATACATAATAATAAAATCAATTTTGAAATTTTTTTCTAGAAAATCTTTTCCTCAGAAGCATTTCCCTATGAGAAGTAGTTTAATCTTTCATAACATGCTAAAAAGATGGTGAAATAAAAAAATGCATTTTATAGGGGTTGAACAATAACATTCATAACTTTTGATCAGAATTTCGATGGGAATAACGTGGACCCTTTTTTAAAAAAATTTTAATATAGCAAATAAACACATTTTTTATAATATTAAATCTCAATTATTTCGGAAACAACGTGCTAGTGAAAATTGGCTTGCGGCATTGTTTTCAGCATTCAAAAATCTATAAGAAACATCTTGTCTGCTTACAAATAATAAAAAAAAATTTATAAACAAATGTAATTTAAAATATGAAATTAATTTATAATTTGTATTTTATACATAAGACACGTTACTTTTCACTTCCCTTTGTTTCCTTGGCTTTAGTAATGTTAATAATGATATTAATGATGACGTAAATAATGAAAAAAGAATCTGACTTCTTAAAAAAATCTGAAATCTTAATATTTTATGGCACGCCGAGATATTTAAATTATAATTATTTTAAAATATAAATTTTATATATGTATATGTATATTATTTTTTATTCATGTGTGTATGACTACAAGAAAAAAATACAAACATGTAATAAAAATTTTTAAGTGTTTTATTAAAAAATCACTGTGAAATTTTTTATTAAAACAATGATTTATTAAATGTTGTGTTTAACATTTTTGTATTGGCCAGTCAGGTCGGATTTTAATAAATTACTTTGAAGTTTATTCATCACTGACAACTTTATTGTAATCATTTGAGATATAATAAAATTATCAATCAAATTATCAAGAGACACGTGCCTCGTGCCTAGTTGGACATAGCCATATGATATTTACAAGAAAAATAAAGTTACAAAAAAATTGTTAGAAAAAAATAATTATAATTTAAAATATCATGACGTACGATGAAATATTCATGTCATATTTTTTTTCATTATTTGCGTTATCATTAATATCATTATTAACATTACTAAAGTCAAAAAAAGAAAAATAAAGAGTAATTTATGTATATACATATATGTATATATATGTATATATATATATATATATATATATATATGTATATATATATATATTGTCTTATGTATATGTATATGTATTTTTTTCTTTTTATAAGTTTAAAAGAATTTCATTTTGTTTTTAAAATCCTGTTATGAATTTATTTATTTTTATTTTAATCAATTTATCTTTTTTAAAGATTATTATAACTTATTTTTTTTTTTTTTTAGAAGAAAATAAATTGCATTTTCTCCATATTTTTAATTATGTTAAAGCTTTTCTTTTATTTTGTAAGAGCAATAAAAATGTGTTAATAAAAGATCATTTTCATGAATTTATAATGCTGTTATGTAATAATTTTATTGTAGAATGTAAATTTATTTAATATCATTAATTTAATAATATATATATAATTATCAGTTTATTAGTTTAATACTATATAGTTATTATACATTGATATATGTGAAGTCATTTTGCTTCACATATATTTAAATTATAATATTTTTCTTTCTCACTTATACTACAATTTTATTTCAAAAGATCTAAAAATATTATAAATAATATTAGAATAAAGAAGTAAAAAAAGCCAATATTTATTCACTTTAATAAATTTCTTCGACTTCAGTTTAATTGATTAAAATTAAAATGATAAATGATTTAGAATTTTTTAATCTTATGGATTATATGATGAAATAATATGGGAAAACTATGAATTTTCGTTAGGTCTTTCTTATGAAAAAAATAAATTATTATTAAACAAATATACATATATTATTTTATTTACATATATACACATATATATATATTTACATACTTATAATATATATAATTATAAATACATATATAAATTTTAATAAAATAAAATAATAATTATACAATTATATAATTATATTCTGATAGAATTTGTTATTTTTTTTTTTAATATATGCCACGTACGTAAAATTCATAAAATCTTCTCACATAGATTTGCTTAAAGATTTTTAATTCTATTCTGCATTTTAAGCTGAAATCAGTTAGACTAGAAGGATTCTATTTAATTTGGCTAAAAATTATAACTTATTTATAGCGTGTACAATAAGTTACAAAAATATTTGTATTCTTGTAATTATTTTGATTTATAGCAATTTAGCTTTAATAAATTCAGTCTAATAAAAATAAATAAAACTAAAAGGTTTAGTGAATCATTAGAAAATAAATATCACAAAAGTATTTTATTGAAGTGTAGTATTAGTATGTGTAAAATCAAAATATTTGCAAAAAATTCGATCTGTTTTGCCTTCATTGTTCAAAATAAAGCACTTTACATTAATACACTATACCACATTATTAGAAGCAATTAGTATCGAAATAAAAAAATGTTAGTAAAATTTTCATAGCGAAAAGAAAATTAATCTATTAAAAACACAGTAAAAAGAAATCTTATTTGATAGTGAATTTGATAAATTCTTTACAAAAATATAAAATTAAAAATAATCAAATGAGATATTGACACATGATCAACATATTGAAACTATATTGTTGGTAACGGAACAAATCTATTGTAAAAGAAATAAAACAAAATATCTAGCAGCAAGTTACACAAACATTTATTACAAACAATTTTAATAAGAGCGCAGAAACCTATTAAAGAATTTTAAGACATTATTTCGATCAAGTATTTCGAAAAAATCTATAAGCAAAATAAATTAGATCGGATTATTTAGAATTCGCAAAATATATTTAATAAATATTAATCTTTGGGAACACGCAGCGTACTTTTAAAGAAAAATAAATGTAAACAATGTGGCTTATCATAAATTATAAATAATAAATAATTTAGCAATTCTTATTTAAATAATCGTAAAATAAGTTATTTATATACTAGCATTTACATTTGAAATATGCGGCTATTTCAGCTAGTATTTTTCCGCACTTTGTATCAGTAATGCCATAACAAACCTTGATGTAAATTCTATAGACCATTAATAATAAGAAAGAATTATAAAAACAAAATAAAGAAATTAAAATAAGCACTTGATGCAATTTAAAATTATGTAAAAGCAAGATCTATATCTTTGGCTTAAAATAAAGTTTATTTTTAAAAATGCTCTCAAATTTGAAGATAATTCAACAAAATCTTAACATTAAAAAGGATGATTGTTTGATATCGATTAAAATGTTCATTTTCGTAATATTAAGTTTTTTATTGCTTATTTATAATTTTTACATCAAATTGTCATTTTTGTGTAAGTTTATATTAGCAAGAGTTTTATTAATACAAATTGTGTAAACATTTTTTTTCTAAATTCTAAGAAGTATTAATAATTGTTTAAAGTTAATGTGATTAAACTTATTACATGCAAACAATGAAATAAATAACGAAAAACAATACAGTAAATATGATCACAGTCAAAAAGTTGAAATATTATTCTCACACATAAATATTTATGTTTGTGTTTCTTCATTTTCCTTTTTTTCTTGATTCTAATAATATTAATAATTACATTAATAATAACAATAATGCCGTAAATAATGAAAAACAATAATAATTTGACATGAATATTTTATGGTACGCCAAGATATTTTAAATTATATTTTTTTAACAATTTTTTTGTAACTAATCTCTATTTTTTGGTAACATATTTTGAAGTTATTACAAGTAATAGTTTTAATGTAATTTAAATGCAATGTGTGAAGAAAATAAATAAAAATAATTTAAAACAATTTAAATAAAAACTTTTTTTTCATACTTTTATATTTGTCACGCTAACGATTGAGTATATTATTATTTTATTTGTAATTTTAATCGTCAATATAAAATAATTTGCGTGACAACTGGTATAATCACTATAACATTACGATAATGACTTCTCTAAGTAACCCCAGTCTTCCTTGACCATATCTGCTAGTTTCTCGGCAATCATATAGACAGGTATGTTTGTATGCGCCGCTATAATCTCAGGCATAATAGATGCGTCTCCTATTCTTAGTCCTTGAATACCGATCACCTGTATAGAACGTTGTTACATAAATATATAAATACCCATAAATTAGCATATAATTTGTAGATTACAATATTTATCGTATCTTTTATAAATGTTACACCATATCCTTCCACATACCTTTAATCTGGGATCAACAACGGCGGTCGGATCCTCCTTCGGGCCCATCTTGCAAGTACCAGAGTAATGATAGATGGTACAAGGGACCATTCTGATCGCACATTCCCAATAAGCATCACTGTCATAGATGTAGTTTTCGCATCCGGGCAAAGTGTCATTGCACAACTGCGAACCGAATGCCTGCATTGCCCTTGTTTGACCAACCTTGATCGCGACTCTGATGCCAGCGATCATCGTTTTAACGTCTTCCGGATCGTCGAAATAATTTGCCTCGATCTCAGGCTTAACGTTGACATTGTTACGCAGCAATCTTATCCGCCCACGACTCTTAGGTTTCAACAACATCGGCAGGATGCTCCAGCCGTAATAATTGGTATACTTATTCCATATCTGACGCATTTCTTCGTTCAAACCCATCACAATCGGAAGAAGAAGATCCCCCTTGAAGCCACCACCGGTGAACAGAAGCTCTATATCCGGCAAACCGCTGAGTTTTTCTGGACTCTTAGTATTTATGAAGCCCAGAGCTTCGCACGCGCCTGGAATCGTAAGCGGACCCGATTGCCTGGTTAGGAAATCCGCCACAAACGGATTGGCAGGATTGATCATCTCTTGCAGTTTTATACCAACTGGCTCGTCCACCATCCACGTTAGTCCGCCGAAGGCGACGTGATCCATTAGATTCTCTCCGACCCCCGGGACATCTCGAACAACGTCTATACCGAGTTCGGCAAGGTGCTTGGCCGGCCCAATGCCGGACAGCATCAGCAATTGGGGCGACCCAATCGCGCCCGCGCACAGTATCACCTCTTTGCTCGCGAACACGGAGATGAGCCGGCCGAATTTTGTAAAATCCACCCCGATCACTCGATTCGTGCGACGATCGATCAACAATTTCCTCACCATGCTTTCGCGCGTCACGTGAATATTGTTACGAGTGTTTATGGGATACAGGTAGGCTCTATTGCTGCTCATGCGAGTGCCGTTTTTAATCGTGCTTTGTAAATACGAGAATCCTATCATGTCCCTTCCGGCGTTGTAGTCTATTATTGGGTACCTCAGCTCTTGGCCGGCTTTCAGGAACGCGTCCGCTAATGGGGTATGAAATAATGGGTAGGAGATGTGCAAGGGTCCTTTAGTTCCATGATAAGTGGTATCCGACTGCAGTTCTGGGATATCGATCGTCTCCAGTTTCTTGAAGTACTTCAGGACGTCTTTGTAGGCCCAACCTTTGTTCCCCATCTTGGCCCAGCGATCGTAATCCTCGGCTCCACCTCGGGTTGCGATCATGTAATTCAGCACACTACTGCCACCCATCACTTTTCCCCTGGGCCAGTTGCACTTATTGTTGTCCATCCCGAGGCAATACTTGTCGGACGGCTTGGTCTGATACTTCCAATTGATGTCGTTGCTCAGCTGTAGGAAGTGAACAGCCAGCGGGATGTCCATAATAAGGTTCTCGTTGGGTCCGGCTTCGATTAGCAACACCTTTGCCTGACGAATTTCACTTAATCTCGCGGCTATCGTGGCACCGGCTGTGCCAGCACCGATCACCACGAAATCGTAAACATCCCCGAATTTTGGGGTCCTGTCCGGGATCTCTTGATTCAGGTTGAATTGGCCCTGCGCCAAAAAGTTCAGGACTCCGACACCCGTCCTGAGCACATTCTGCAAATTCGGTACATTATTCGCGTTCTCGCCATACAAATTGTTATACTGTCTCGGAAAAATTTGTCTGGCCGTTCTGATCAACTGTGTTGGAACGATCAAGGCAACGATACTAAAGAGGCGAAAGACTCTCCGCATCTTGTTCAACATGTATCTGAGCAATTGGCTTGAGTGGGGCACAGTAATGCAGGCTTGTATCCTGGATGTTCGGATATATATACTTCCATTGAAATCCATATGCTTTGTATAGGTGTCACTATACGCAAATGTACAACACATATACAGGGTGTCCGGTAACTAACGGACCAACGATTACAAATGGATTCTTTGGTTAATTTGGGAACGATTTTTCCTCAGCGAAAATGTCGAAAAAGGTCATCATTTTTTACAACTTTCCAATATTTGTCATTATATATCTTTATAACTAAGCCTCAAATTAAAATTTTATTATAGTAAACTCTACCTGAAATTAACTGAAGAATGTAATTATGTTAGACTTTTAACTCCAAAACGTTTAGTTTTCAAAAAACCCATTTTTTTCAATCGCTTATAACTCGAAAATTATTGACTTCTCAACATTTTTGCTAAGGAAAAATCGTCTCCAAATTGGCCAGAGAATCCGCCCTTAATTATTGGTCCGTTAGTTACCGGACACCCTGTATATGATAATATATCTTTAATGTGATGCAGCGGTACAAGTATGTAGTGTGACAAGGAAAAAAGGAGGTCACTACGAGTCAATTAATTCTAAGAATGATCGCAAAAAGTAAATAAAATGGCATCGACTTACTCTCTAGATCTTAATGTTTATCTTTTTAAATAAAAATAGTAATAAGCTCTATTAAACTTAATGTTTGTGAACAAAGAAGGGCTATAAGAGCTATATTAAACAAATTGCAATTGTCAGTTAATCTTAATAAAATTCATTTAAAACAAGAAAATAAATACATAAGCAATAAACATTTATGTGTAGATGATATTAATAAAATGTATTTTAAAAAGAGAAAATAAATATATAAGAAATAAAACAATTATGCGAACGTTTCAAGCCTTCTTCAGCGCAATACAAATATTTTAATTATAAATTAGAACGTGATATTAAACATTAAAGACGGTAGTTAACATAGTCAAGATAATAAATATATGAAGTCAGTTATTGTCTCAATACATATGTTGTTGAACAAGTCCTCGTGTATGACAAACATTGTTTTCGATACATACTTCGAGAAAACACACCATGCAATCACCCATGAGAATAGACTTCCTGATTAATTAGTCAAGGGAGATATCTTGATTGAATCCTCCCGATGAAATGTTGTTAAACATTAAATCAAGATCTAAATAAACAAGATCCGATTATTCATTATATTCTGATAAGTAATATGCACTGTACACTCACTCAAACAAATCGGTGATAATTTTACAAAAGTTCCACGTATCAGATCCGACATCCCTTTAAACAAGGTTTTTTGCAGAGAACAAAACAGAACGTTAAACCTTCACAACTCTCAGATCGCAAATGCGGAAATACCTCAATGTTTTACCTTCTTATATCAAGGTTTGTTTATAAACCCTGATAATTTTGGCAAAGACTCTATAATGTTGTTATATATGTCAGGCAAAAATTCCGTATCAGTTTGTAGATTCAATCCATTAGCTTGTCTTTTTATAAATAACTTTTCCTTATCTTTTTGTTTAATTTATGTTGGTAAAATATTTTTTTACGATATTAAACATTGTATTGTTATACATTCCATACTTCAAGGAAAAAGAAGCACAGTTTTACAAGTTTATAATATAACATTTTCTAGAAACTAAGAACACGAGAATGTAATAAGTGTAACAGATTTATTGAACAAAAAAACATATATACATATATGGAAATAACAATAATTTATTGTGGAACATATATAGCACAAAACCTATGTTACACAGAAAAATATTATTAGATAGTCAATCGACAACGTAAAAATTTAATAGAAGAATAAAACACATTTAATTGTGTAATATTGAAGTGTATTACGATAGTAAAAGACAATTTTATAATTATTTAATGTTCCTAATCTCTTTTTACACCAATTTTTTAATCAATTTTGACAAATATAATTATGGACATTAATTTTATATAAAACTGTAATCGTGATAGATGTGATGTATCAGTATTATTTAAATTTCGAGTTTATACAAGTTTTTTTTCTTTGGTCACTCTTTTGATATTTATTGATAATTAATTATCAACTGCTAACCTTTTTATTATTATTTTTTTATTATATTTACAAGAGGCACTATCTGAATTATTTAATTAGTGGAAATCTTTAATTACGATATTATAAAAGAAAATGATGTATAATTTTACAGAAAGAAAACAGAGAGAAAGAGAGAAATTGAAACAAACAAATATAATATGAAATATACTTTATAACTGCACATAATCACGAAAAAAAAAATTGCTGTCACAGCATATTTTATGCTACTGTAGCAAATTTCGTTAATTATTATATAAACAGCAAAAGGATTCGTTAAGAATACTAATTTTATCTGCTGAAATATTTGCATATTTGTAATGATATAATTTGCTAATCCTACAAATTATATTGTTATAATAACCAAAACTATCTTTACTCTGCCATTTTTGTTGCATTAACAACGCAGTTTGGTTATATGAACAAATTATTCTGCTAACAAGCAAAATCGATTATAATAGCAAATTTTTGTTGTTGTTACCATGAACTTATATATCAGCAATGATGATTTTACTGTAGTAACGAAATATATTTGCTAAAAATAAACTATTTTGCTTTAATAGCAAATTAATATGTTTATATGAACAAATTAACTCAGCAAATTTTTTTATTCTATCAATTAAATAGATTTTGCTGTAACATTAAATAAATTTAAAAAATAATTACAACAGCAAAATTTTTTTTCCGTGAATTATATATAATTTGTATGTAATTATTATATAGTTTATAGGAAAATTAAATAATCGACCAAACTAGCAAAAATCAATTTTTTTCTGAGCGAAAATGTTAAGGCAGAATTTAACAAAAATATAAAAAGATTTATTTAACAAAAGTATAAAAGTTAGCAAGTTCATACTTCTGACATTTTTGCATATTTATAATTATCACAATACTTTTTAAACATAAAAATTACAATTTTATACAAAGAGCTAAAAATTGATTTACTAAAATTTTAAAAATAGAAAAATTTTACAGATTCTGCAAATATTGCACATTTTTGTATAGTGTTTCTCTTAAGTAGAACATTATCATTTTTTATACATCTTTAAACATAATTAAGTTTTTAAAACACTATATAGAAAGAAATTAATATTAATTAATATAAGGCTCCCTTAATAAAATTATAATTTGAAGAAAACAGGCTAATTAAGAGCCAGGCGTGATTATTAATACGCGAAAATATAGAAACTTAATATTTCAAAATTTTTTTATTTACATATTGTACGTTTTGGTTTTTCGATTATCTTCAGCATGTAATAGAGTACTAGTCGTTGACACAGAAACTCATGACAATGTATTGGCCTAATTCCGGTAGTCACCGCGAAGGACCGTTTGGTTACATTGCTTAATACAGTGTTTAGTACAGTACAGAAAGAAATTAATTTCAAAGACTTTTGCAAAATGAATAAATAAGGTGCAAATGGAGCATAACTATAATCAATATAATTTGTATAAATTATAATCGAATTTCGATCTAAATGATTGCACTTATCCAAAATTGCCTTAATTAATATCATAATCGCTACAATATTTTATAAGGCAACACTAAACATATTAGAAATATTAAAGATGTTTTATTTGTTGTAAATAGTAATAAAAAATACTAACACTAGTATTAGAATATATTAAAAATGATAAATAAAAAAGATATATATATATATAAATAATATATTTTTTTAATTTTTAAGTTTGAAATATGAACTTAATAACATTAAAATTTCAAACATTCTTTACATTTGCTTTATATCCATAAATTTCTAAATATTAACAGAAAAAAATATAAATATCTTGAAACCAACTTTTTCCTCTTCACTATTTGTTTTTGTTATTACTCTTTCATCACTAATTGATTTACTGATATTATTATTATTTTATATACTTCTTTTATAAATATAATGTTTATTACAGCATTTGACATTTCACATTTAAATATGTACATGTATTTGTCAAGGTCCAAGCACTATGCCTATATCTACATATGCAGAGTTATTCGAGAATTAGCTGAAGATTCTAAGGTCATTTTTAAGGCAAAGATAGTAAAGAAATGCTAAATATAGAAAAACTTAATATCTTAATTTCCTGTATGATATTACTTTTTTTATTGCTAAAATAATGTGCATCTGCAATTGCGTTTTTTTATTTATAAATAACTATATGTTTTCTTATAATTCAATGTCTCATAAATCTTAAGTTAACGCTTGATTGATGCTAAAAATTTGTATAAAAGTGAAAGATATGTAAAAACAGGTATTGGATATATCATAAAATAAATCAATCACAATTATACTTTAATATTGAAAGGTTTCTCTATTAAAGATTATTCTAATATATTGATATATATTTTTTAGAATAATTTTATATAAAGAAAAAAGTTATTCTTGCTCTCCTTTTTGTCAAAACATAAATAGCAACTAAATATTTTTGCCTTGTTACTTTTTTTATTTAAACAAATTGTATAATTTATTTAAAAAACTTATAACACAAATTTAATGGTAAAATTAAAAAACTAAGAAATTTGATTTTCAAAACTCAGATTTTCGTTTGAGCGTTTTTTTATTACAAGAATTTAATATCATACCTGACTTTTTTCGTGTATCTGATTTTTCTCAATAACAAATATATGCAACTATTCTCACTGTATCATTTACATTGCTAAACTCAAGTGTATCTGGGAAACATTCTTATCTCACAATCAAGATAGAATTAAGTTTAGCAATTTAAATGATACAGTAAAGTATATGCGTGCACTTCATTGAGAAAAATCAGAAACACGAAAAAAAGATATAATATTAAATTGTTATAACAAAGCTCAAACAAATATCTGAATTTTACAAATCTAATTTTTTACTTTTTATTTTCTCTTTAAATTTTGTCATTTTTTAAATAGTAGATTACATATAAAAAGAGTAATAAGATAAAAATATTTAGTTGCAATTTTATTTTGATAAAAAAAGAGTAAGAACAACAATTTTTTCCTAATTGAAATTTTTAGAATTCTTAGAATTGTTTTGCAAAACTGGTTTTACAAAACTGGTTT